AGCTGGAGAGTCACCATTACATCAATAGTATTAAAAGGTAAGAATTTATGGATGTCAATTTCTTTTTAATGAGGAACATGATGTTTTGGGGTATATACTTACTCCTGATAAAGTTTCAAAGTATATTCTTACTCCTTCATCATAACGTTTCAGAGTATATTCTTACTCCTGGTGGATATTCAGTTTCATCAGGAGTGAGAATATACTCCTAAATGCCGGTTCCTCATAATAAAGAAGTTCACGTCCATAAATTCTCACCGTTTATGTGTATCACTTCTAATTGCCATTCAAAGACATCAACACAATTCATCTTCTTAGTATCATTAGTGTTGAACAAGTGAAAGTGAGCGTTCATCATTTCAGCTTGGTGCTGCTCCAGAAGATCTGTTCTATTCAAGTTAAAGAAAACCCAGTCATACTGATGTTAATGTGTCACAGACGGTGACTAGGGCTGGGACGATACACTATGTCACGATACGATACGTAACGCGATATTTTACCTGCGATACAATGCGTATCACGATACATACACCTTGAAAGAATGACACGGCATGAAGATTTAAAATGATTTATTTCAAGGTATTTGTGGTTAACAGTAACACTATTGTAATAAACAAACAAGTAACTCCATCATACTTGCGGATTTTTCTCTGTTTTGAAAAAAAAGGTTGTGTATCGTTTTGTATTGATACACCAGTTCACGATACGATAGCTGTATCAAACTAAAATGTATCGTGATGTATCTGTGAATCGTCCCAGCCCTGTCGGTGACTACTGCAACACACATCTTTCCATTGTGGGCGCTCCTGTTTTGTGTACCATACATGGAACTTGATGATAATGTCATAAATATAAGTGTCTTGGAGACACAGTTATTATGTCACTTTATATTGTTGGGATATTCCGGAGGTTGATCATTTCCCACAATTCTCAATGTACGGAAACTACTTAAGACGTTATCAGAGAGTGTTGTTTTACGGCTGTCGTGCCACCTCTGTATTCATTTGATATTCTGTCAGAGCGGAAAGTTGGCAGTAATTGGTCAATAACATGCAAGGTGGGGATACGACCATCTGGTGTTAACGTGGCGTTGATGTGTTGACAACCACTAATTGTTCCATCTGTTCCGGAATGATGTAGCGCTTGCATTGGTACCTCTCACCGTAATGTCCATACATTTGCTGATTAAAACTTTGAACAGATGTATTATTTTTGGTTATGGTCTTTAATTAGGAGATAATTACAATAAATTGTGCATGTTTGTAGAGGGAAGTGTTTTTCAATGCATTAATCTTGATTTTTGAGTCCCATGGTGCTTTGTTAACTTTTACTGAAGTCGGATGTGAGATCAAAGATTAACTTGTTCTTCTTTTGATGTTCAATATTTTTAATTGATAAGGGGAGGGGCTGTCATTTATTGTTGGGAGGTGAATGGGATGAATGTAGTGCTTCACAGTCAGGGGAGTTGCTGGGGTAGTGGTTCACATTCAGGGAGCTGCTGGGGTAGTGGTTCACATTCAGGGGAGTTGCTGGGGTAGTGGTTCACATTCATGGGAGCTACTGGGGTAGTGGTTCACAGAGTGAGAGAATGGTTGGGGTACTGGTACACACTCGGGGGTCGGGATGGTGCGCTAGGGGTACTGCTTCACAGTCGGGAGTTACTGGGGTAGTGGTTCACAGAGTGAGAGAATGGTTGGGGTACTGGTTCACACTCGGGGGTGGGGATGGTGCGCTAGGGCTACTGCTTCACAGTCAGGGGAGTTACTGGGGTAGTGGTTCACAGAGAGAGAATGGTTGGGGTATTGGTTAAGTCAAGGATAGGGCTAGGGCTACTGGTTCACAGTCGGGGATGGGAGGGGCTAGAAGTCCTGGTTCACGGTCGGGGGAGGGGCTATGGGTACTGGTTCACAGTCAGGGTTGGGGTAGGGGTACTGGTTTGGGGGTAGGGTACTGGTTCACAGTCAGGGAAGGGGCAAGGGCTACCTGGTTCACGGGTCGGGAGGGGGGGGCTAGGGGTACTGGTTCACACTCAGGGTGGGGATGGTGCTAGGGGTACTGGTTCACAGTCAGGAGGAGGAGGGGTAGGGGTACAGTGTCAGCAGAGGGACATGGGTAGTGGTTCACAGAGTCAGGGGTGGGGTTGGAGATTCTGGTTCACAGAATCGGGGGAAGTGCTGACGATAGTAGTTCACAGAGTCGGAGGAGTGGCTGGGGGTACTTGCTAATTATGGGTATTGGTTCATAGTTACTTGCTCACAGATTCATGAAGGTTTATGAGTACTGATTCATTGTCGGGTAGGGGTCGGGTACAGGTTCATTGTCAAGGTAGGGGCTGTGTTTTGGTATACATTCGGGAAGAGCTGAGGTACTGGTTCACAACAAAGGAGGGCTTGGGTTAGTAATCGACAGTCAGGGGACGTTCAGCATGAGGGATCGGGAGAAGGATTGTGAATAAAATACACATTTAGTTGGAGAGGGCGATAACAATGGCCATTAATTTAAAGGTTAAAATATTAATAATATTTATGTGTTTTTCATGACAGCAATTTATTTTGTGCCAATTCTTATTCTTCGTGACGAGTCATGAGGCAGAATTGAAAAACGCTTTGGAAGGCTTGCAAAAATTAATTCACATATTAGAGCAGGTCATTTTTTTGTGTAGGCTCTCTTTAAAAAATGTCTTTGTACGGCTGAGGGCTGCTCAGTTGTATTATAGGAGTAGCATTGTCCTTCTCTTACATTGTTTTCATCAGTGGACATTTTGATGTCATCAGCCCGTTGATCACACTACTCGTTTAGCGGTAGCTATTTATCCAATTCACATCATCATCAACACTGAGTCCATGCTCCTGCTGGAACTGACAGCCATTCTTGCGTCACCGTATTTTGCCATTTCTCTGATCTATTTGCACATCACGATAATTGGGCAAGAAATGTTTTGATTTTGGTTTTAGCCTGATCAGTAACCAGCAGCCAGAAATGATGATTTTAATGGTTGGTTAGATTTGAATGACTTGTCGACAACCAATCTCTCGTTGATGAGATACTGCTTTTGTTCCCGGATATGTCGTACTACGCTCTGAGAGGGTTAGTCAGGCCCGGTTGAAAGGAAACACTTTGATGATGTTAATTTAGAGAAAGTGACGAATGACAAGCAAAGAGCGCTTCATTAATCACTAGTTGTAAAAATCTCGTCAGGTAGCATGGCTTTCAAAAGGCGTGTTATTACTGGCACAATTTATCACTCAGTTTCATCAGATTTTGGCATAAAAATTGCGCAAAAGTTTTATTTTGCCATCTTGATAGGCTTTTTTTAATTTCTAGCAATTTTCAGGATGTAATAAATCACAATAACATTTTGTAAATGGAGCATGAGTCGAGCCATAATATTCATATTAATTGAATAAGATTCCCTCTGCTATTGTATCGATTGCCTACAGCACAAAGGAGACGTAGCCCTTTATGAGCGGACATGTAATTAAGATTAATCAAAGTCCATTGTGAAAAGGTATTGATTTTTAGACATAAAACTTTATGGCATTTTAATATGTTAGATCCTCTGTGCGATATAGTTGGAAACCTGCTTGAGGATTAATGGCTGATTCTGCTAACATGACAAACGTGGACAATGAAACTCTTGCTTCATTTTGTTTAGACGTTTTAGTAATAATGATATTTATTAGGATAAGTATCTATTATTTTAAAGTATCCGGTGTTTTTCCAGAGAGACGTTGCCATAGCAATGGTTCAGTGCATTTTCCTTCTTCAATATTTGCTATCTGTTTCAAGAGTTTTATTGATAAAAAGAGCAAAGGTGTAATCAATAAGTTTTTCATTTTCTCGTATGAATCTGTAAAAATGTTTTTGAACTAATTTGTAAATTTTTCTAATAATTTACCTTGACATTGTTTTTTAAATCAATGACTCATTTGGGGGTTCGATGTTTTTGCCAGACTTATTTCAGAATTCAAGGAGGCTGAGTGAAAATATAAGGGATGATTCATTATGGTAGCGTGCCAGTATTTATGTTATTGATTGCAATTTTTTTGAAATTATTGTGGAATGGATTGAAAAAGTTCTGCATGACAGATGCGAGTCAACCATTTTGATGAAAAAAATGTTAAAACGCATGTGCAGCAAGAAATAAAGTAGCAAAAAGTGAAATGAAAATAGCATTCAGCCATGCTTACTGTAATGGCTCCGACATCATTGTGACAATACAGATGACAATCATTTATTGTTCTTTGTGCTGCCTGATCTGTGAAACAAATACATTTACTTATATTACAGATGTGCTTTATAACTTAATGTTTCATACTGACAAGCCTCTTGAACTTATACATCGTCTTTGTAAGCTTGGTTATTGTTTTCTTATTATCAAACAAATAAATAAATATTATGTTATGACATCTGATCATATTGGAGGAAATTTGTCCACAGCATACTTGTTCTCCATCTTGTAAATGGTAGCCTGGAGGTTAAAGAATTTGCTTGTCACTCCGAAGACCTGGGTTCGATTCCCTACATGGGTGAAGCCCATTTCTGTTGATTTGGTTGGTTGGTTTGTTGTTTAACGCCGCACTCAGCAATATTCCAACTTTATGGCAGCGGTCTGCAAATAAACACGTCTGCACCAGAAAATTCAGTGATCAACAGCATGAGCATCGTTCTACGCAACCCCATTTCCGGTGTCCCCTGCTGTTATATTCCTGGAATATTGCTTTTAGACTAAACTCACTCACTCACTCATCTTGTAAACCAGAGTGTTCAGAATAAGGAATATCTGTATTCTGAACAGTACTGAAGCTATTTCTTAATTTTTGAATGTCTTGTATAAGGCATTGTATCCATTTCAGGGTTTAGCGGTGAGGGCCTCTGCAAGATGGCTGCAGTATAGCTGCCAGCTGATGTTGAATGAGGGCACTTAATTTGCTTGGTATCTTCTTGACCACAATGCCAATTGTTTATTAAAATTGCTGACATCTGTAATTATTTTGCAGACTTTCCATACTCCAAGTTTTGGGGACGAGGACTTTGACCTCCCAGTGTTGCCTCTTGCTTCTGACCAAGATTCAGGGAATGCTGGGAACACCTCCCAGGCGCCGTTCTCCCATCAGATGTTGTCCAACTTGGATCTGGGTTTGAATCCCGCACTGACGGTGGCGCCGACTATGCAAACAGCGGACTGTGCACCATTAACGTCGATGCGAGGTCCGCATCCAATTGCTCCGAAATTCCCACCTCAGAACTTTGACGTTCCCGACATCAACGTCACTAACAGTGTTATGGCAAGTGCAACCAATGCCGACAACATCTTCGCCTCCATCGCGGCCTCCACAGGGACCTTGTTTCATGATGTGATACCCGACAGAAGCCCCATCTCCAGCCACCAGTCTCTATCAACCATCAGTCAGACCCAAATGGCCACTCACCTCGGCTTTCAGACTGCAGTACAGGGAGCATCACCTCCAGGTTCAAACTCAACGTCATCACCGAGTAGAGAGAGTAGCGAAGACAGCGATGATAGTCTGCCATTGGCTCAGGTGAGTTTCCTTGACAACATGTCTAAAGTACAGGAATCATTAACCCAGTTCTAATTTAATGTTACATTTAATATGTTTTGCAAACTATTTGTTCTTATTCGTCTTGCGTCAGATCTAAAAGGTCAGACACTGGAGATAAATATCAATATGGAATTCTTATCTACAGATAAGACATGCATATCAAAATTTGATAATCCATAAATTCATCAAAAGTTTTGAAAAAGGTTACTTTTGAAAACTATATTTTACCAGTTAATCTTGTCTTATCTTAATCTTTTGTAATTGCCAGATATGAATTCAAGCAACACAATCTCACCAAACGTTTAAAAACTGTTAAAGATATGATTAATAATTTAAGTGTCTGTATTTAGTAATATTTGTTGAAAGACTATTGAATCTGTCCGCTGGAGTGTTGAGAGTTCTTCAAGGGGGGTCGTAATGGCTCTCTACTTCAACTCTCTCTGTCAGATGGCAAGCAGGGGAGGTCGACCTCTATCTTGGGGGTTTATTTATCTGCGTTGCCCTTGCACTCCAAACTGACAATGAATATAGTCGTGGTCCGTCAACTCGCATAACATGGACTTCATTCACAAAGAGCTCAATTTCTTCAAATTTATCTGTGTTGTATTTTGAGAAAATATTGAAATTGTTGCAACATATTGGTATAAGCTGACGCCATTGTTGTGTCATGTCATTCAAGACATTGGAATGACTTGGGGGACATTCGAAGGTATATGGTATGATAACAACATGGTCTTTGGTAGGATTTTGGAAGCGAAATAGACCGAGTCTTCTTGGCTGCTACTCATCTTGTAACAATAGATGAAGGTTTATTTAGTTCACATGATTCATATGCCCTTCATAATCAAGCTGTGAAAACATTCGTTGGTTAAAAGGTTTCAGCTGGTATTAGGATCTAAACGTTCATCCATAACATTGCTACTGATCCAGGTATCATGTGTCTGTGATTTTTGTGCCTTGGTAAACGATAATATTCCTATTATGGGGATATATGAGTCATCTTTCTCCTTATACTTACAATCACCTGAATTTGTATGACAACAAAATTTAATTTATGTCACTGGTGACAGTCAAATTATTTTCTAATAATGTATTCCTTATGAAGTTTCTTTTTAAGAGAAATGTGTTGATTGTTTGAACAAAACACATAAGTTTGGAAATGTTACATCAAAAAATCGGTTATTATGTATTATATATTTCTTTCACGTTTTTTTTTAGTAAAATATTCAGATTTAAGCAACTTGTCAAAGATCATTTGACAAGACATAAATTGAATAAATAATTGTTTTTGCTCATAAAAATTGTGATTTGAAAAGGGTGCAATTAGAGGTGAAGATACTTTTTTGTATTGTAAGGATTTTATTCAATTATTGTTTTTTGCCCTATAGTTATGTTTATTAATGGATTGTAAGTGTCCATAGTTGTTTGTATAGTTTCGTTTTGTTCAGTGACTCATTGAATCTTTCTACACAAGTACTTTAATAAATCATCAAAACACCGCCTTTAAACTAACCAATAGTATGGGAAATAAAGTTATATATACAGTACGTATCATTCTAAAAGTATTCATCCATGAGTATTAAAGGAACCACAAGCCCGAGAACTGAAAAGGTGGATAAATGAAAGTTATTGGAGGTGAGAAGAGGACCAAAAGGGACTGGGTGAATGATTTAGTTGTATGATGTTCGCTGTAAGGTCTGTTAGGCATTACAACCTATTGATCATTTAACATTGAGATACAATATCTTTGAGATATCAATTTAAGGTAATGCATGGATTTTCTGGAAAATATTAAATACTGATCATTAAACCTATCCAAAATAATCCTATCCAACGGTGGATGACAAAATCCCAACCTATCGACAACACTAGGGAACATCCTCAAAGACAACCCTGGTCATGGTGGGCTTAAGATGAATGCATGATATTTGAACCAGTCTTTATGTTGATGAGGATTCCTTTTAGTCATCAGGCATGAGGAGAAAGATGGCTACAAGAATAAAATAGTTGTGTTGAATAGTATACAGAAGATCTGCACAAGATTGTTTTTGACTTTATTTATGTGGTGGGGTTTGGGTCCATTATGTACATCTGCCATGTTAACAAGTGCTTGAACTTGTTGCCATAGAAAACGGTTGCAGGTCATGATGGAGCACTCCCACAATTCCTCGTAGCGGTTGATAAAGCCTGGAGTGCGGCCCCTGCACTCACAGAACCAGATGTAATTGTAAGGCCATCTTGGGATGGCTTTGTGCTCCATTCACTGGCGGCCATCTTGGTTCTGTGTGTGTGCTCACCTGCTCGCAACTGCGTACTCACAATGTGGCAGTTAAAATATGACTATTATGCAGTCTGAGATTTATTCATCAATCGTGTTTCACAGAAAGGGAGGCCATGTGGATGTTATGAATAAAACTTAAATAAGGTGAATAAAAATATTTCAAATTTGAGTAGTCCTGTGAGTTATGGCTGCCATGTTTCTGGAATGTATGTAATAATGGTGTTAGTTTGTAAAGCCCAGCTTGGTAAAGGCTTCTTGACAAATTAATTTGGCTAAACTGGTTGTGAAAATTGAATAAGTTTGAAATTACCAAACATATGGCAGAACTTAATGGATTTCATCCTTGCTTCAGACCAATGTCCCAATAAATACATTGCGAGAGTGTTGATAGCGTTGTGAAATGGTATGTATATAAAGTGTTCAGACAATTCCCACAGAAGCATGTTCCAGATGATTGGTAAGATGGTGTCTCTGTTTGAGGATGTGTTCATCCTGATTCCACCCAGTGATGCTTTTACTGCAGTATATGGTAGATTGCATCTGGGGTGAAAATACCTATAATAATCTCCGTATATAAAACTATCACGACTCTTCCTGTACTGACCTTAAACCTACTAATGTCAACCTCAGTAACTACCCTGGTGGCATGATCCCCTCCCCCTTACAGACGACATCGTCACTACATGCACGGGATGGTGAGGTAGCCCAGTGGTTGGAGTGTTGACTCATCACACCGAAGATCCAGGTTCGATTCCCCTCAAGGGGACAATGTGTAACACCCATTTCTGGTGTCCCCAGCCATGATATCGCTGTAGTATTGGTAGCAGGGACGTACTAAACACACTAACAGACTACATCCAAGCACATATCATACCATACAATAAACAAACCCCCAACCTGATGACACCCCTGTCCCATCCCCTTACATTATCATGATCTCCCCTACACTATCCCAAACTCCCCTAAACAACCTCTACACTATCCCAAACCCCACTACACTACTGTCCCAAACTTTGTTGCTGGAACATTGCTAAAAGCCCCAAAATCAAACTCAGTCAGTCAGTAAACTCCCCAAACTCCACTACCCCCCTAAATCCCCCAAGTCTACCCCAAACTCCTCTACACTACCCCAAACTCCCCTACACTACCCCAAACTCCTTCTTCACTCCCCACACTACCCCCAAACTCCCCACACTGCCCAACACTACCCCAAACTCCCCTACACTGTCCCAAACTCCCCTACACTGCCCCAAACTCCCCTACACTGTCCCAAACTCCACTATACTACCATGTCCCTTCATACTGTATGCTCCAACATATGACAGCCCCACTCCCCTCCAAACACACATTGTTGTGACCCCCCTCCCTGACCCCACCTCCCTGTACTGGACAACCCGGTGTAGCATGGCTGACTGTATTGAGGGTCAGCCATTAAGGGACTGCTTCAATAGTCTTCTTTAGGGTTATTGAAAGGGTCTTTGTGTAAATCTTTGGGAGCAAGACGTTTAAGAAATGATTAAATGTTCTGTTTAGGTGAAGTTCTAAAATTGATTCCCTTTTGAATTGAAGGTAATGAAAGGCGGCAGATTTGGAAGTCTTCAACTGTGAATGCTATTTCGGATTGTTGCACGAAGCTTGCTACCTTTTTGGTTAAGTAGTCATGTGACATTTTTTCACTGTATTGTCTGTGTCTCTCAGTTGATGTCCTTAAAGAGGTCAGGAGCAACAACTGCCCCATCAGCCCCCAGCATCATCACCGTAACAACGGCACAGGCCCCAGTACAGTCCACCATCACGACCACAACAACAACTACAGCATCAGCGCCAACCACGGCCAAGAAACAGAAGACTCCCAAGAAGAAGAAGAAGAAAGACCCAAATGAACCCCAGAAGTAAGTGCTGAAACATATCGTCACATTTCATCATATCAGGGTTCATCTAGGACTCCCACTATTTTTCCTTGTCAGACAGATTGGGAGAAATTGATATTGTTAAATTTTATATTTAAAAAAAAATATTCTTCTTTACATAAAATATGAGGAATTGGGAAATTTAATTTCAATTTGGGAATTTTGTACAGTTATTCACTGCTGATTTAAGGCTGAATATTAACCTCTGAACTGGTCGTGATATATCCTGGCATACTGCCACATCTGGTCACATCTGGTCACATCTGGTCACATGGTTGTTCTGTCACATTGTTCACACAGTCATTCTGTCTTAGAAATTTATTCCGACAGTCCTAGGTTAAAGTTTGATATACTTTTATCCTGTTTGAATATACATGTAGCGAACAACAGTCACTAGAGTCACCATTAACCGTGCTCTGCTCCAGTCAGTACCTCCTGTCAAACTTCTAGACCAATCTCAATGTAATCTTTATAAGGCCCCCTGCAAGTACAGATGGACATGACAGTCAATAGTTTCTTGTGTTTGTCGCAGGTTGTTCGTTTATACAGATAATACATTAATGCATTGTTATATTGTTGCCTTTTAATTAGTATTAAAAAGATTTGGGAATTGTTTTAATAAAAGCCCTATTGTAAATCTTCCAAACTCCCAGTGAGCTTATTTCTATAAGCCAATTTCTGATCCCATAATTATGACACAAAATGAAAAGATACTCGTAGCATCTGGCGTGACACTATAAACTGATCTGTTTTCCTGTCACTAACTCTACTTCGGTCTAAATTGTGCAGGAGTCAAAGGTTTTTGAGTTGTTTATTGACTCTTAATTCAAACGACACAGTGGAGATGTTATTTATCCTCTGAACGAATTTTAATTATTTTGCAAGTTTTTTATAATCAGTGAACACAGTGTGCCATTAAGATATCATTACCCCCATTAAGTCAAAGGTTATTAAAGGTTTGTTCTATGACTGTCTAAAGAAATCTAAACTTTATTTTTAAGATTTAAAATCTTTATTAACCTTTTGGTTTATCTGATCACAGGGGTTTGTAATGATTGTATATTAATCAACTCATCTGACATGGCTGATATCAAACTTATAAAGTAATGTCAAAACAGTATCTTAGAAACTTGAGATATGGTAAAATATTGTACTGCATGTAGTCCTGTGGAAAACTGTTTTGGGTGATAAATGTTCATATTTCCCATATCAGACTGACTTTTTACATTTTCATCAGTTCTGTAAAATATCTGTTTTTAAGATTTGTTCTGATCAATATTGGTATGGCTGATTTTGTCTGGGAGCCAAACATTCCGATAATATTCCATGTGATATTGGAATAACAGCACCGCCATCTGTACTCACTCAATCTTTCATTTCGCCTTTACTTTATAAGGTATTTCAGACATCTGAAACACACATTCTGTTTAAATTCAGACATTCCATAAATACACAGTGTGCAAATAGAGCTCTCGTAACCTCTCTGCAACGTTCATACTTTACATTGATTGTCCAAGAAGCTTCACATTCACAGGCTGATATTCCATTTTTTTTTCATTATCTGGCATTAGAGAACAATGTTTTTCTGTGATCGTTTCCGTGTAGACACATGAGTACTGTGATAGACTGGAGATTCCTTTCTTTTCATTATTTCGTTCTACAAATTGAGAAAAAACCTTCGTAGAATTTTCTCAAACAAAATGTGTTTGTGAAGGAGCATATTGTCATTTTGAGCTCAAACAGAAAATGAAAAATAAAACTCCACCGTCAAGAAGCAAGTCATCTCTCCAAGCAGCAGGGCAAACATAATCCCATCAAATAAATATTTAAACTCTTCTTTGGTTATGTATGTTAGGAATGGACTCTATTTCGAAATTTTACATTTAGCTTGTACAAACAAATCAGACGAATTTCAGTTTGTTTTCTGTAGACTGGTGTCCTTTCCGTAAACAATTTTGACAGGCCATCCATTGTTGAATGAGCAGACTTGAAATGGCTGAACATGCATTCTGGCTATTTACTGAACTGCACAATGTCAGATGGTGTGTTTTCTCAATTCGCTCAAACTTAAACGCCAGACCCATAATCTCCCATCATTTTAAATCCTTTCATACTTTTTATTCTGTGAATTATCAATTCGTTGAAAATTTATGTTTTGTTATTCAGCCCCTGCTGCTGTGTTTTTTGTTCGAAGTGATTGTTTTTCAAATGCAGATGAAGTCCTGGCTATCATATTTCAACTCGGAGATGAACCGATCTATTCTAACTAGATACGTTGTCATTCAGATGTATGTAAATGATGGAAGGGCTGTGTTTGCTCTGTAGGGAAATTAGAGTGTTATTGTATCTAGATGGTATTGACTGACAGTTTGACAGGTGTTTGACACCCATGTATGCAGATTTGACCAAAACCATTGTATATCTGTCCAGTACATCAGTCAAACATTGAAACAAATATCATTTCATTCAAATTTTAGAATCTGTTGAATAATAAGAAATGGGTCTCCTCCTTTGTGTTGTTTGTAATACCGTATTCACTGTAATTAGAGCAGACACTAATAGATGGACAGAAGGGAGTTCTTTTAAGAAATAAAGCCATGATCTTCAGACACCTTGTGATTGCAAAAATGTGCCTGAAATGTTGATTAAACTTAAACATTTTCAATTATGGGTACAAGGTATTTATATTTCGCATCTGTGTTGCTGTTTTTAAAAAATTGTGTAACATACAAAGCTATCACATGTTTTCGGACATAGTATTAGGGTTATTAGAGCGTGTTAGGTTTATTGGTTGCTTGGAGGGGTCACTTATCGGCTCAGGGCACTTAATATGGAAACACACATAGCTTCATTACAAGAAGAACTGAAAACTGAAAATACTAAATTACTATTAATATCTAAAAAATGTCCACACCTTTATGGTAAACTGCCATGTTTAAGGCAACTACTTTCATTTCATAAATCACATGATTCCTAAACTGAATCACTTCTCTTCAAATTGGGCAATTAAGCTGGTTTGTCATTCGAGAGAGAGAGAGAGAGAGAGCTTGCAACATGAGCAATTTTCATGAAAATAATCTTCTTTTGTAATTCCCATATATTTGACATGTTATACATTCATAAAGCTCACCTCATTTTGTATACCATCCACTTGTCACCAGAACTTGTTACAAGTTTTTACCAATAAGCATTATCTGTGTATACATATTTCTGAAACATAAATTAAAAAGGCTCCTACCTGCACTAGTAAACAAACAACAGGATCTAGATAAAACAAGGCTGGCATTTGCTTTTCAAACAGGGTAAAATGTATTATAAAAAATGGAAATAAAAAAGCCTAAACATTATGCAGTTTTAAAGGACGACCTTTATCAAAACCTCACTGGGCCAATGATTCAGAAGTCTCCAGTTTTTCACTTTTTAAGATGACAGTTGTCACAGTATTCAGGTTGATAAAACTGAAACCAATATGGTGTACTACCTTTCTTTTGTGCTGGCTGAATAATGAAAAGGAAATAATCTTTCTCAAAGATTTATGTCCTTGATTTGTTATTCCTTTTTAAATTGAATTTACAATAATATGCTATTACCATCTCAGTGAAACACAATATTGAACACTATCGATGGACTTTTTGACACTTCATGGTTCTTTTTTTAGTACTGCTTTTGTTGTTATTATGCGAGAAACCTGTCTGTGTTGTTGATATTATGAAAGAAATCTGTGTTGATATTTTCAAGTCCTTCTCCTTGTTTCAGACCTGTGTCGGCCTATGCTCTGTTTTTCCGTGACACCCAAGCAGCCATTAAAGGTCAGAGTCCAAACAAGAGTTTTGGAGATGTGTCGAAGATAGTTGCGTCCATGTGGGACGGTCTGGAACCAGACAACAAGAATGTGTATAAGAAGAAAACAGAGGTTGCTAAAAAAGAATATCTGAAGCAGTTAGCAGCATATCGAGCAAGTCAGGTGTCACAGGTAGGTACTAGATATGTAGAGGTACATGGATATGTTTTGTAATTCAAGTTGTATAAGATGGCTCTAGGGAAGGTGGGGTGGCCCAGTGGTTAAAGTGTTTGCTCATCTTGCCGAAGGCCCAGGTTCAGTGTGTGAAGCCTATTTCTGGTGTCCCCTGTGATTATATTGCTGGAATAGTGCAGTTCGATCAGTTGCATTTCTTCATCTTGCCTAAAACCTATGATCCTGCGTTCTAATCCCAGTTTGCCCAATTATGATATAGGTTTGTCAGCACCATCACATTGCTCAGAGGTTTCACCAATGGAGTAAACGTCTCACTTGTGGATAGCTTTGAGTTTACCTCTGACAGTAAGCTGACATGCCATGATTTAACTGGAATACTGTTTAATACAGCATTGAAACCAACTCACTCACTCACTCACTCAAAGTGCCATAAAACCCTTCAAACATATTTAAGTTCACAAATACTTGTGATTTATACCCATGTAAAGAAACTTTTATTCCATTCCCAGGCTGCAGCTGACGAAGCTAGCTCAATGTCGGAAAATTCCCCCTCACCTCCGAACATCAGCCAGATGAGCATGTCAGGGGCAGGTAACTCTATGGGCATGATGTCCCAGATGACCCACGTGAACATGCCGAGTCCCCCCCAGCAACAGCAGATGATGACCAGCAGTTACAACAGCCCGCCTCACCAACCTCCGTATCCGATACAGAACATGGCGCCCCAGCAACAAAATAACGGCATGACCTATCAGCAGTCGGATTATTGTCAAGTACGTATAATGGCTCCGTGATTGTAGCCGTAAGACAGACCTAACTCCCACTCAAGACTTAAGGCCGCTGTAATGATGGTTGCTTTGTTAAACAGGGCCTTGTGGCCTCATTCCGTTCTGCCATCTTAGTGCTATGATCATCAGATGATCAGTTGATCAGATGATCAGAAGATCAACAGATAACAAAGACTTCTGACAGCTGTCGGGTGGAGATGATTTTTCTCAAAATGACATGTTCTGCTACCCATGAAGATTGACCTAACTAACTGGAGGCAAATAACCGGGTCGGGTGTACTGGTTCGCTGACTTGGTTGACACATGTCATTGTGTCCCAATTGTGTAGATCGATGCTCATGTTGTTGATCACTGGATTGTCTGGTCTGACTGCCATATAGCTGGAATATTGCTGAGTGTGGTGTTAAAACCTTGGAGTCAACTTTGTGTGCAGACTCTTTCAGTGTTGTCACAACCCCTAGTGTACAGTACACAACCCTGTGCACTTAAAAGAACCCACGAATCCGTTGTTATATGACCAGATGGTGGCCACATGAATACGTGCAAATATCTAAGTTGCGGGTACAGCAACGTGCAGTGCACTTGGACAAACTACTGTGACTATGTGTCCCAATCCACCCAGCTGTGAATGGGTACCTCGTCAGGATGAGAAAGCCACAATAACAATAACTCTTACGCCTAGTGGCTGCAAGAGTTGTATACTCCCCAGGGAGTTGAAATTGATAATACATGTCCCGTTGAGATTGACATCCAGTGATCGAGGGAAAAATACCAGCGCCTTGAGCATGCACTAGTTGCCTGGATATGTGCGCTATATAAATATCCTATAATAATAATAAAAAAATAATAAATAATAAACAACAAACAAACAGACCAACATGTTTACTGCCACTACCATATTTGGTGCATGATGAATATGTATGTACACACTGTCATATATAGTAACTTTGTAAGAAATGTTTATTGTTTTCTTACTGAATCATTCTACTTGTAGCAGTGGTGGAAAATTGCTGAGTGCGACGTTAAACAAACAAACAAAACTGGTAGTTATCACAAGATGAGTTAACGGTTTATGTAAAATGAAGTTTTTTTAATGTCTCTATGTATGTTTTTCAGAACATGAACCAGATGGATACTCGAGCTCAAAGCAACGGCCTGTGTGTCCGTAACGGTTGTATCAATCAGGCCATTGACAACCCAGGCTGGGACAGCGAATACTGCAGCAACGAATGTGTTGTCAGCCACTGCAGGTACGATTTTAGGAGTGCTTCACTGACTTGTGCTCATCACCTTAACATGGATGCAGTCGAGTAACAGCCGTTGATAGTTTTTAGGAATTATTGTAATATTTGTTAACTATATTCCACCAGAACTTATAGAAACATATATTATGAATTTTGTAATATAAAGCAAAAACTACCGTAATAAAGACTGCTCAATGACCCAGCTATAGGCATTGTCCCACAGCGGACTAATGGGTAATTAGATAATGATCACTTGTTTTAGTGGGAAGACTTACAGATTTAAATTGTTATTGGTGATAAATTACAATGTATTTTGGTTTATTTTCATTGAAGCCACACAGTTAATCATGTTGATAATGATTAGAGTAATTAATAATGATTTTGTTATGGAAATTCTGGAATGTGTCTCAGATTGTGGAAATTGTTCTGTAGCAATTTATGAAAGAAACCACAGAAAGAAGTCACAAATATCACAATATCCAGCTCACCAGAGTAATCATAGCGCTAGGATGATCATACTCCCATACTGTAAAATAGACTTACTTGTCAAAGTGCTAAGATTGCTTGTTGAAATGTTTGTTGTTGACTGCTTGTTGACCCTGTCTGTTCTAGTTTGTTCTTAGCCATGTTTGACTGAGTTGTAAATGTTTATATTTCATGTTTCAGGGATATCTTCACAGCCTGGGTGGCATCGAAGCAAGGAGGAAGCACATTTCAAGTGAAATAATGCATTACCATGGTAATTCATTGTGACCAGTCTTCTTAATTCCACAGTTGGGTCCCCCCGCCCTGGGGTTGTTTTGTGACATTTGTACAGATATATTTATTTTTGTACAGATTATGTATGAATTAGGTTAGAAATTGTGCCTTTTGGTTGATTTGAAGTGAGACATTTGCCAGCACAGGGGACATCTTGTCAGCTGTGGATGCGGAGGATTATTGTTTTCAGGAATATGTAGAACAGTTATACATATTTTGTGGACCAGAGGATGAAGAGGTGACCTTATGTGTTACAAAGGGTTGGAAGATGATATGAAGAAACAAGATCTTGGTGAATTGGAACAATGATTAAATGTCAGGAAACATTGAGCAAAGATTTTTCATTTTCTTTCAATGATGCTGCATCTGATGGAGATAGAAATGTTCATATGTACTGCCGTCAGTGTTAGGGGCACCGCAAGAGATTGTCTTGAAACACCCATTGGGCCACCGAACTTCATGAGAGGAATGATCAGGGCATATTCTTCACCGAGATCTGTGGCTTTACGTAACATAGGCCAACAAGACTTTGAGTGAAGGTCACTTGATGACCTTGACATGTGGATTGATGTTTCTGACTTATTAAAAGTGATCATTATGTTCATGGATCTCCGAGAAGAAGAGAAGGACATCTTTGCTGTATATTGTCATTTATGGGAGTCTGTTTTCCGAAAGCGATGAGTATGAGTTGCTTCGGAACTGTGGATGTCGCCTGCAGCAAATACAGTCGTAACAGAAGACATGTTACGTCAATATACATGGACCAGGCAGTAGATTGTCACATCCCTCCTAGGGCTGGGAGACGACACAGAACATACGTCAGTGTTCTATATTGGAACGCCGTGTCTACTGTCTCTTTTGGGCAGACCAAGTATCTAGATCTGTGCATCATGTGACAATGTCTGACAATGTGACACTGAGAATATGCAAGACTGAGAACATTTTCCTCGACGAATTAGTGTCACGACTGTTTGTTATCTGTGAATTATTTGTATAAATTTATTTCCTGTATATTCATGTGCAGTTTCATGTTTCTTGATATGATTCCTATGCTTATGGCCATGTATAAACATTGAATATTTGTCAAACTATGTGTCTACCTAAATCATGATGACTGTTATTGGTTGTTAATTATGAGGTCAATTTTCTTTAATCATGACACTTTTAATTTAATGTATGTGCTATTTTTCTGCAATTATATTGTCAAATAATTGTGAAGTATGAAATAAAGGAACCAAATTTACTATGTTGAGGAGTTATGGAGGACAACTGTAAATATCTCCTCATCTCCACGGTTTGTCTGTGTGATGTGTCACATGAGAGATATGTGAAAGTGTGTCACATGTTCGCATCAGGATGTCACACTATGCTGATGAAGCAGCGGAATTAGTGTCACAGTTGCCATAGTAACACATTTGATTTAGCAGAGTTTAAACAAAAAACGGTTATAAATTTGGACTATTGTATTCAAAAGTGATTTTTGTTGTGTTGGTTGAAATAATATTTGTTAGGTTCCCAATACCTGTGATGGATATTTGGTACAGTCACAGTCATAGACAATACTCTCTCTCTCTATAATATAGAAAATACATTTTACTCCAGTTGCTTGTAAATTGTAAAATTGCCCCTTCTGTACGAAATGTTTTCGTAACAATTCCACTTTTCATAAAAAATATATAATGGACACAACATCTTCATGCACAATTTGAAAATTATAGATCAGGTTAACGAGCAGGTGTGTTCTGTGTTCTCCAGCAGATGACATCACAACTGGTGCTGCAATCGTGTGAGTGTTTTCACCTGTGGATTCTGTGTTGTACAGTGGCCTGGCTATAACATCCAGGTGATGTACACGTCATTATGATCATTATGACTTCATGTATCTGCAAAATTGGTGTCACATGGATTTTGCTGAAATAAAACTTTGGAAAATATTCCTGTTGAATTTACTTTACGTGGACCTGAGACATTCTGGCATTAACCCTGTGCTAGTTGACAGAGGCAGTATCCAGATTCCCTGCAGTGAGGCTTCGTGAGGTGTTCAATTGCGAGTCATTGTTTCTGTGGCATATTGCTTATAACAGGGTATGAAACTCCCAAAAATTTCAGCCAGACCACAGGGCTGGTTAGATGTGAAACGTGCCAGCCCTGACCAAAACTTACCTGCCCCCAAAATATCTTCATATACATGTATGTCTAAATTTTAACTCGACCGTCGGGCAGGTGAATTTAAGAATCTGGCAGTCCGTGTTGAAAATAACCCGTCCTGGGTGGTCGTGCAGGCGGGTATTTCGAACGCTGCTTATAATATCAATCATCCCCGGGCTGATATTGCTGGAATATTGCTAAAGCCTCATAAAACCAAACTCACTATAATATCAATCACTGGTTTGGTAGGATGGTTTACAGAATGCTGGAATGTTGTGGAGTAACTACAAGAGGCATGATATATCAGATGGTATCACCAGTAGATCCTTCAGCATGCACTGTTTCACTGTTGCATAGAGGCCATTAAATGGACTGTTCTCTGGGACTTGCTTGAAGGCATGTCATCATATCCAACTAGACCTCTCATGATCTGGGCTAGGATTGATCTTCAGCAAGCCATGCTTGAATTAAGTGCTGACCAACGGAATTGGGTGGTCAGGCCATTGACTTGGTTGACACATGTCATGTTATCCCAGTTGTGTAGATTGATGCTCCTGATGTCAATCACTGGATTGTAAGGTCCAGACTTAATTATTGTCCGACTCTCCTATAAACTATGTAAAAACAAATTGATAACAAAGTAGAGAATTGGATTTACAAAGGCCAGGTGTGGAAGGCGAAGGCGGACGCAGGGCCAAGCCAAAGCGATTTAATGACCTGCTCTCCGTTGGACCCTGAACAGACGAGACAGGTAGCGGCGATGTTTCAAATGCTATTTTGACCACCCGAAGGTTGGAAGTAGCCTCTATTGGAAAATAGACAGCCTAGCAGCAGCAGCGAAGTATAAATCGAGCGAGAGATCGGTCCCGTCCGCCTAACCTCGCCACCTGACGCCATTTTAATTCACTCTAATTGTACAACAAAGTGAAACCATTTAGGATGAAATCTGTGGGTAAAGAGATTAAGGTTATGTAACATAGAGATAGGGTTGATAACAGTTGCAGTATTTGGAAGTTTGAGAAGAGAAGCCTGATTTAAGTTGCAGGAAAGTGATAGAATAAAACGGTTTGGCAAACATGGGGAGGGTGGAGGAAACTGAGAAAAGAGATGATAAAATGAAATTGCTAACAAGTGGTTGATAAAATGACGGTTATCTAAAATGGCGGAGGAATGAAAGAAAGTGGCGAATATAAATATTATGATGACGCCTCCAATTGTGTGATGACGTAATGGATGCGGATGTGATGAAATGCACATCTTTCGGTGTTTGTAAACATGAGCACGTGTTTTGTTAAGAGGAATTTATTGTGTTTGCTGTAAAGAAATTATATGTAATTGTCAGTAGAATGAGAATAATTGTAGGAATTCAGGAAATGCATGGCTGTATTAATAACGACATTTAGCCAAATAATGCTAAATGGAATTATTGTCCGACTCTCCTATAAACTATGTAAAACAAATTGATAACAAAGTAGAGAATTGGATTTACAAAGGCCAGGTGTGGAAGGCGAAGCGGACGAGGGCCAAGCCAAAGCGATTTAATGACCTGCTCTCCGCTGGACCCTGAACAGACGAGACAGGTAGCGCGATGTTTCAAATGCTATTTTGACCACCGAGAAGGTTGGAAGTAGCCTCTATTGGAAAATAGACAGCCTAGCAGCAGCAGCTGAGAAGTATAAATCGAGCGAGAGATCGGGTCCCGCGTCCGCACTAACCTCGCCACCCGAGCACTGAAAGTGCTGCCCATCCACACCCGAAATAAGGTAGAAAGTGTTATGACATGTTATGTTTTGGTAGAATTGATAATGTTAAAATTATGGTGGGAAAAAAAAACCCAGGAGGACTCCACCAAGTTTGCCAATGAAAGTACCAGATAACTTAACTTATGATGAACTTATGCTGCAGCTTAATGTCATCACAGAAAATGTGCAAACCGACGGAGTCAAGTGTACCCCATCACTGATGTAGTGATCTACACCTGGGTAGATAAAGTCGTGGCGGATGACTTCACCGTCCGATTGTCCTCATAAGATTGGCAACACGCCTATTCAGCTTCTTACGCCAAGTTCAACACACTTAATATCTCTAGCATATCGCCAGCAACACCGCGGCAACATATTGGACCAAAGGAGCCTGGTGTGGGAAGCCGCAACCCGAAAGTGTAGAGTAGCTGCTCCATGATCTGCTCAAAGAGCTCCCGGCCGGTGGTGACTCGAGGTCGTTTGAGCCCAGGTGTAATACTAGGATCCGGGTTGACTGGCTGAGTTGGCGATCAGATCATCTATTGCCGGCCTGTAATGGCCTATTTCCAGCCCCCTTGACACGCCACTCCACCGGGCCCATGCTGCCGAGGGTGTCCGCCAGCATAGTTCTCGCCGGGCCAGGTAGCTGTCGCCAACTACCCACACACCTACAACGATTACACAATTTGTCATTATAATTATGGAAGCAGTTTACATTCTTATATATTGGAGATAACAATCAGATGACCATCGACCAAATCTTTTAATGGTCTCTGCATCAACACCGTTCATAGCTGCCGTAGTAGCAGCCCCGATTCTGAAAGAGTGAGAAGTGAATTTAAGATGCCCCACGTCAAGATGACTGATGGCTTTCTGCAGCACTGCCTGAAACTGAAATCTAGTTAGTTGTTTGCCATCAAAGTGAAGGAAAAGATAAGGGGAAGCAGTCGGTCGCGATTTTAAATATGTTACAATGGCAGCGACGGGACATAGCGGAGAATATGGAATAGCTTTGATGTGGATAGAAGTACCTTTACCTGTTTGATCAGTCTTAGAATATTGAAGTGTGACATGCATGGCCGCTGCGTTACCTGTAATCTTTACATCATGAATAGTGAGAGACCTACGCGACGTGTCAGAAAGGGAGGAAGGTACCAACTCACTTATCCTGAAGAAACCGAAAAAGGCCAGTGTATATGCTGCTTTAAAAAGATTGCATTCATAAACAGAAGAACAAACAATATGAAGAACGTTGGAAATTGATAATAATATTTCTGCTGTGATGGGGCGTCGACTGTCTTTGGCCCTAGCTGCTTTGCTGAATCCTAAGAGCGTCTTCCGCACCAGGAAATGTTGGGATGCATCCTGCATGTCGTGCCACTTGTGCCAGGTTCCCAGTGCTGAGATATAGGCGTTGGCCGTTCTAGACGATTTACCCTGCAATGACAATGCTGACAAGTAATACATAATATGATCAAGCGGTGCCGGCCATGTAGATGGGAGACAATGTGACACTCTGAACTCGTTGAAAGACTGTAACGCTGTATGATAGGTCCTCCAAGTGTTTCTGGATAGTGACAGGTCCAGTAAACGGTCCGACTCCAGTCTTAGATGTCCCAGATGTCCAGTGGTAGTGGTGTTGCTGTTGAGTCTGCTTGTGGTGCTGCTTCCGGAAACGATCCCACTGAAACCTCGAAATAGCATCAGCTATAACATTATCATGAGTAGAAATGTACCTGGAACGGAACAGAATATTATGATTCAGACATGAAGTTACTAGCAAACGCACGAGAGACATCACCTTGGGGTTCTTGGATGTTTGCCTGTTGATGATGGACACGACAGCTTGGTTGTCACACACAAACATTACCTTGTTGTTAAGAAACTTAGGTGCCCACAAACGTAGGGCTACGATGACAGGAAACAATTCCAGGAAAGTCATGTCTTTCATGTAGCCCGCTCTCACCCATTCGCCTGGCCATTTACCATACGCCCAACTCCCATGGAAGTATACCCCGAACCCGCACGAACTGGCAGCGTCTGTGAAAAGCTCTATTTGGGTTGACGTGATCCACTCTTCATTCTGAAACACAGATGTACCATTATGGTTGAGGAGAAATGTTTGCCAGACTTTAAGATCTTCTTTCACTCCCCTGGTAATCCTGACTCGGTGATATGGTTTTACCTGACCCTTGATAGCGTCGTACAGGCGCCTGCAGAAAGCTCTGCCCGCTGGGATAGCACGTGTAATGAACTGGAGTCTACCGACCAATGATTGCACCTCTACTACCCGTATTTTCTTTTTACTGCTCGTAAGGATTGCTTGTATCTGCCGGGTGACCTCTGTTATCTTCTCCGCCGGTATTGTCACCTCCATAGCTACAGTGTCTATCGTCAGGCCCAAAATGTGATTGTAGTGGAGGGTCCGACAGTTTTGTCATTCGCAATCGGCACACCAAATTGCTGAAACATGTCCATAGAAAGTTTAAGTAATTCAGAACATGTGTTTGTAAAGGGATAGCCCCCTAACAAGAAATCATCAAGGTAATGAATTAAGGAATGCGAGGAGCTTTTCTTTATGATGCACCATTCAAGAAATGTGCTGAACTTTTCAAATAATGCACAGGAAATCGAGCATCCAAATGGTAAACATTTATCGAAGTAATATTTACCTTGAAAACACATTCCTAGAAGATGAAAGTCTTTGGGGCGGACCGGAATCAATCTGAACGCAGATTTGACATCAAATTTGGCCAACTCGGCACCTTTACCCAACTTTTGTACCATGGTAACTGCTTCGTCGAATTTTGTGTAGGTCACCGACGAAAGCTCCTGGGGGATAAAATCGTTAATAGACCTACCTTCTGGGTAAGATAAGTGATGAATAAGCCTGTAGTGATCGTCTGTGGGCACCGATTCACTGCTAACCTTTTTGCCTACCAAACCTATCGGTGATACAATCAAATCCGGAAAGGGAGGAGATTTAAACGGTCCACATATTCTCCCCAGTTTGATTTCTTTGTTGAGTTTTTCAGCTGCCACGTGTGGAAGTTGGGTAGCTGACTTGAGATTGTGTGCAAACCTTGGTCCAGTAGGCCCAGTGTACTGCAAATTGAAACCCTCAGAAAAACCCTGAAACAACAACTGTGCATCCAACATATTTACAGTACCATAGAGAGATAGCCAGGGAGAGAGATTAGTAAGATTTATTGGTACCTGAGCCAATTGTTTTACCTGTACTTGTGACGGTTGTGCTGGCATTTTGGTACTTGTGGTGTTGCTGGGTCGTGCCTGGTGCGTTTCGGGAACGAAAAGTGACGACTGACAAGAGCGGGCCCCGTGGTTGAAACTCTGACACTTGGAACACCTGTGTGGGAACTTGCACACGGATCTTGTACACTGAGAACGATTAAAATCCCAACATACATTATCATCACCCTTTGACGTTTTGGAGAAAGAAGGAATGCTTGGTGACATGGTTTTCTTACCTGGCAACATACACTTTAACCAAAGGTCACCGTCAATCTTACCCCATGACCTGGCTGGGTCACGTGCCATTTTGTGACGCAAGTGATAATCGTAGGTTGCCCATGAATCTCCGCCGTGCTTGAAGGCTGCTCCCTGATTGTTTCAGCGTATGACAGTAATTCCTGCACTCGGTCTGCGTGCTTGCTTACGTATATCCCCATGAAGATATGGAAAGCAGTCGTCCATGCGCTAATAGTCAGTGGACGTGCAGTGTGAGATTCATATGGCTTGAACAAGACCTGACCATTGCTATCTGAAACAAGTCTAAGCGGGACATGGTCATCGAGAGGTTGGTTATCCGATGGGGAGCAAATTACGGAAGTCAACATACTCGCCATTGAGGATTTTTGCCGAACGGCTTCTTTACGTGTGAGCCTATTACTTCCACGGGATATGTGAGCGGTAACTGACTTTGGAGAGATTGGGGTGAGGACTCCTGATGTCAATCACTGGATTGTAAGGTCCAGACTTAATTATTTACAGACTGCCGCCATATAGCTGGAAAACTGCTGAGTGGCCACACAACAAGCAAAACATCCCAATTGTGTGGATCAATGTTCATGGTGTCAATCACTGAATTGTCTGGCCCAGTATTATAAACAGTCTATGGTCATATAGGAATACTGCTGAGTGCAGGGTAAATGTTAGTATACCCACAGTAGTGCATTTCATCACAGCCTGAATCACTTTGAGCTTCCTCGCTGAAATGCACTAAAATAACTTTAAAAACATCAAACTGGCATGAAAACACTCACTCACTCACTCACTTGGTGTTCCCTTACCTTCCCATCTACCAGTCCAGTCACTCATGTTTATTGTCATTGAGGATGAAGGTCTTAACACTTCTGGGGAGGTGGGGTAGCCTAGTGGTTAAAGCGTTGGCTCGTCATGCGGGCTCGTCATGCGGAAGACCCTGGTTCGAATCCCCACATGGGCACAATGTGTGAAAACCATTTCTGGTGTCCCCCGACGTGATGTTGCTGGAATATTGCTAAAAGCGGCGTAAAACCAAACTCAGTCAGTCAGTCTTCACACTTCTTCCAACTGAGATACAGTTGAAGATAAAATCAGGTGACTTGACACAGTCGCCAGGGCATGGTATACGGTGAAAGTCAAATGGGGTCAGCATGTGACCTTGTATGGGTCCAGAGATGAAATTAGTTTTAATGCCCAGTTCAGGTTTTTCGCTTACACAGCGATGTTCATGCATGTGTATGTGACTGCCTCTCCTAGTCCCGGTTTTGCACCACTAGCTCAAGATACACCAGGACCCAGGTTAACCTGGATGGCCAACACAGTAGGTTCTACTCTTTGCCAGATGCTGTAATAATTCCTCTAGTGGTTCAAGAGTTCACCCCTCACGCATGGGTACAATGTGTGAAGCCCATTTCTGGTGCCCTCGTCGTGATGTTGCTGGAATATTGCTAAAAGCGGCGTAAAACCATACTCACTCCTCACCCTCGACTAGGGGCGGTGGGGTAGCCTTGTGGTTAAAGCGTTGGCTCGTCACGCCGAAGACCCGGGTTCGATTCCCCACATGGGCACAATGTGTTAAGCCCATTTCTGGTGTCCCCTGCCGTGATATTGCTGGAATATTGATAAAAGCGGCGTAAAACTAAACTCAGTCAGTCAGTCAGTCACCCTCGACTCAACAAATGGGTACATTCGGCTTCGCATGGCGTACTCCTGTCTCATCACCATCTGCATCACAGTCGAAACATGGCCTTATTCTGGTATTGCCCGCAGTGACACTGATGGACTGCTGTTTAAACTGAGGAAATCCTTGGGCTACTCACTCACTCACTCACTCCACTGTATATACGCTTTTATTCCTCCATAGGAGAGTACATAGAAATGCGATAATTCTAGCTATGCGTCGATCTGTAAATAATCGTGTCTGGACCAGACAATCCAGAGATAAACAGCATGAGCATCGATTTGCGCAATTGGGAACCGATGACATGTGTCAACCAAGTCAGCGAGCCTGACCACCCGATCCCGTCAGTCGCCTCTTACGACAAGCATGGGTTACTAATTCTAACCCGGATCTTTACGGGTCTACTTTTGTAAGAAATAGGGGAGATAATACCGTGTACATTCACCATCTACACCCTTTCTCCACAAATTTACTCATGTGTAAATGAACGCACGTACATACACACACGAAATTACACACGATCAAGATGAACGGATGGTTATCATGCCACGCTGGCAATAGCCCAGTTTCAGGGATTTTGGTAGCCAGGCAACCGTGTGTGACTTTGAAGCTGATTGCAGGTCACCATACAACATCGTTGCTCATGCTGTCGGTCACATGTTTCTGGTTGGAGGACGTCAGCGTATCTAGACCCCAAGATGGAGTAAAATTAACTCTGGACCGTCTGAAAGGATCTTTGACATCTTTATCGCTTCTGAATGTCCAACCGCCTCCGTGGTGTAGTGGTTAGAGCGTCCGCCCGGAGAGCGGAAGGTCGCGGGTTCGATCCCCGGCCGCGTCATATAAAAAGACGTTAAAATATGGTACTTGTTGGTCCCTGTCTGGCGCTCGGCATTAATGGGTACAACAAGGACTGGTCGGCTCGGAGTCAGTATAATGTGTCTGAGTGGGGTATTCATGCTTCACTGCGGCATGGTATCTCAGTGGGCTAGCACTATAAAACCAGCTTAAGTCTGGGCTAGTACAAGCAGCCGCACATACACATACACACACATGCACGTCGTCATGAGCGAAATATTCTCAAGTACGACGTTAAACCCAGTTTCACCTCACCTCACCTCATCTCTGAATGTCCATCACTGAACCCAACGTAACTTTGTTTCAAAACATTAGTATAAAAGTACAGAAAACGCCAGCATATATATCTGTTACCATTTTATTGATAGAACTAAGCGCAATATATTGAAATACAGAAAATCCACGACAGAAATTGTTACTATTACCAAAAATGTAGCATTCATAGAATGTGGAAGCGATACTGGAAGACATTAGTCGACATAGAATCGCGCTGCTCGGGAAGTATTCAGAGATATTTAAAATTCCCACCAGCTATATTCAAAACTCAATAACCTTAAAACAAACAAGCTATTCCCTCAAACAAGAAGTAACAGAGCGTCAAATCATCAACGTTGCAGAAATTTCCCGTGTCTGGAATAGTCCCGTAAAACAGAATCATATGAAGATTTCTTCGGACTGCTCTTGGTCCGTAGGGGCATTAAATGAGGCTGTTCGGTGTGCAAACACAGTGCTCTCCCTTGTTGGCTGTTTTACTATGTTATTCCCGTTGTATTTGTACATACTGTTCATGTTACTGTTTTAAGCCATAAGAACTCTTTAGAGCTAATCTTGTATTTGGTACCCTTAACCCACGTTAAACATATGTACTTGCATCTTGTGCCGGAAAAAATGAACACGATTTATCAGGAGGGTTCGATTACTAGTCTAAGGGAGGTAACTCCACCACCATCATGTTGCGACCAAACGAAGCGTTAAATGTCCCAAGTTGGAGATATTATCCGGCATCTTTATATATCACGTAAAGGACGTGACTCAGGGAGTATTGGAAATCTAAAAAAGTAACTTACAAGTCTAGGTGAGTTCTAGATAAGGAGTAAGTCAGTTTAGAGATATCGGCATAACAGTAACAACATAGCCTGCTGGCGTGCGAACATGTATGGCGCTTGTGTGTTTGTGTGAGTGTTTGCCTGTGTGCGCCCCCTTCCCCAGACATCATACATGCTACCTGTTTGAACATTATCTACACAACCGACTTTTCAAAACCCTTTTTCAGCCCGTTACAGCTACATGCAACGTTGTCACTGGCTTCATACACCGAGAGGATTTACACAAGTTTTGTAGAATAATTCCCACTGACATCGGAGAGCTCTTGTGAGTCGAACCCCAGATACAGAGCTCGTTCTACCTGGCCACGGGGAGCCTCTTTGGGAGACACATCGAAAGTGGAGCTCCAAGTCTTACCGGCGCCAACAGAACTGAAAACGTACATAAAGCATTTCATTAGTTGACGATTCAGTCAAATACAGAATTTGTTAAGAGCACATTCCAATTTATGACGGTTATAAATGCGTTCAGACAATGGGTCACTTTCGGCTCCCTGTGAAGATGCCGGGTTAGAAATGGTCTTCAGTAACCCATGCTTGTCGTCAGAGGCGACTAACGAGATCGGGTGGTCAGGCTCGCTGATTTGGTTGACACATGTCATCGTACCCCAATTGCGTAGATCATGTTGCTCATGCTGTTGATCACTGGATTGTCTGGTCCAGACACGATTATTTACAGACCACCGCCATATAGCTGAACTATTGTTGAATGCGGCGCCCAAACAAATCATTTCCAGCTCCCTGCCGAGTCTGACTGTGAGTCGCTAGCTTTATTTTACCATCTCATCCCACCGGGTACCCATTCAGTGCTGACTTCGAGCGGACGGCTTTCCTACCACACCAGCTCATGACTTTCTTCCAGTCGTGGGGATACCACGAATGGGGGAATAGTGCTGACAATCTAAATATCAACTTGGCGTAGCCCAGTAGTAAGAAACCAGTAATAGAGAGGATCTGACAAGAGTATTGTATCAGTAAACTTACTCGATATAGATTTTATCTGAGGCAATGCCAACTGGGTCGAATCCTCCTGCCAGCGACACCGAGCACCCCGTCAGCGGCACCGACAGCGGGTTCTTGAAGGAGGCTTCTACTTGGATTGTATCAGAGAGGCTGCAGGTGGCCGGACCCTGGTTTAATGCAGGTACGATAGATAGATAGGATAGTTAAGGCTAGATAGATAGACAGACTGACAGATAGGTAGATATATACGCCTGTTTCAGTTCCACGTATATATCATTCTGTCGATATACGTATTTACTTTCTGCTCACACTATCTATCCCAAAATGACTGACTCAGAAGGGCTTTAAGTTGGAAACCAATAGAGACTCTTACGATGCTGGGTTGGCTCAGTGTCAGTTCGCTTAGTCATCGCCATTACACATCTCAAATTTGCCGGTTGCAAGATACCCCAAAGTGACGAGCACTTTGGTAACGCAGGACACGGCAGAACTCAGCTGCGTTATAGGACGTCGTTCGTGTTCCTTTAAATCTCACAAATAAACAATAGTATTCCTGTCAAATCTGTACTTTTGTAACAGTTCATTATCATCTAATACGTGCAGAATTTCTCTTCTTTCATTAAATATTCTTGGACTGACTGACTGAGTTGGGATTTACGCCGCTTTTAGCAATATTCCAGCAATATCACGGCGGTGGACACCAGAAATGGGCTTCACACATTGTGCCCATGTGGGGATTCGAACCCGGGTCTTCGGCGTGACGTGCCAACGCTTTAACCATTTGGCTACCCCACCGCCCAAATACTCTTGGAATACGTGTGGCAGCCATTTTGTTTCACATGACTCAAGTCAAAAGGAGTTGATTTAAGCCTAGCAAGGTGAGTCCTAATAGTTGAGTAAAAAATGACAAAACTTAAGTCTAAGTCTGGTGATAAATATGACTTAAGTTTTACCACAAAACGTAAGTCGAAAAAACGAGAAAAGTAAGTTGTTTGATAAATACAGCCCATTGTTAAAGGATGCTAGGGATGTTGTTATTCCATAATATGGGTAGTCGGTGATCATATGCCCACACCAGATAGTACACTGATCTTTACATAAATATAGAACGTCTGTGTAAAGGAATATCCCCAGAAACAGATTCCATTTAGTGTTAAAGGCAAATAAGTGTGAACGTTATATAGAACAGGGTTGGCAGGGAAGCCTTGTGATTAATGCGTTTGTTTTATGGCCGAGGCATAGTCAGCTTCGTGATAAACCAATTTCACTATATCGTACAAGCGTTTGGTTCTTGGGATGCATACTACAATTGAGTCCCAAGGAGTTCAAAAGTAAGTGAGTGAGTATGATTTTACGCCGTCTTTAGCAATATTCCGGCAATATCGCGATGGAGGTTCCAGTGTTCCTAAGTGCGGATACGAACCCGGATCTTTGGCGTGACGAGCGAACGCTTCAACCACTAGGCTACCCCACCACCCCCTCAAATGTAAGAGTATTGTTTATATAAGTCTCATAAAGGGTCAGTACCGAGAGCGTCAGGTCGGGTTTCCTCAGGCGGAAGTCCAGGTCCTTTGTGGCATTGTCCCTCTCATCCTCCCTGCACACAGCCGCCGCCTTCACTTCAAAGTAGAAGTCATCTCGAGGTCTCAGGTTAGCTTGTTCTTCAGTTACGTCTATGGTGAACTCCTCGCCTGGTGACAAGACACAAAGGGAATGAGTAATATGTACTGACGACCAAAAGAAACGTCACTATAATCTTAAATCGGTCTAGTTTAAAAAATCCCAAAGATGCATAAGGTAAAAAAATAATCAAAGGAACATGGGCACCATTTAAAATGACAGTCATACGGCAACCGATATTGGTATGACAGTTGCCCGAGCAAATACAACCCCTTTTAATGTAATGAACAATGGTCCAACATATCTGAACTCATTGAAGATCAGTGACACATCACATTGACAGCATGTATGACCAACACCTGTTACAGCACATGCACAATTTCCTCGGCGAACAGAAAAGGTCAGCCGTCTGATGAAGTCATGTTGGACACGTCGTCTTTCTCCCAGAAGAGTCTGAATCACTCCTTGTCGGTTGGCTAAAGGATATGGTCGAACATGACGATTCATGACATCCCCGAGATGTGACATGTTTAGGGAGACCGAGGAAACATGTTGACGTTGTCTGGAAGGACATTTTGTACAATCCGGGCTGTAGATGTTGGAGATGTTGCCGACGAAGGACACCACGTAGCAGCTCTTATAGAATTGATAGGACAACTGGACGAAGAATGCTATCCATAAAAACTGTCAAAGGTAACGATTGCCAGTGGTGTTCCTACCTGCCCACAAATTCCTCCACACACCATAACACCTCCTCTACCATACCACATAACCTCCTGAACGCAACATGCCGCCGTTCGTTCCCCTCTTTGGTGGTAAACACAGTGTCTTCCATCAGCTCCGAACACACACAACCAACTTTGTTTAGTGAAGACGACCCCCAGTGACGTAGCCGGCAACGACGTACATCCCGGGACATTTTCAATCTCCGATGACGATGTTGCGCTGTCAATACCTATCCTCCGTAAGTTCCTTGTGCCCTGAGTTGTGGCCACTGTCTGTCGACTAACCATAAACCACAAGACATTCATCTGACGTGATTATCAGTAAACGGTTCCGGAGATGCAAAGTACCCAAGTTCCGGTCCTCACTGGACGTTGTTACCCCGGGCCTGCCTGTTCTTGGCCTGTCGGGCGTATGTCCGGGCTGTCTGTTACGTTACATCAGGCTTGTCACAGTAACCCTTGAACAACCCACAGGTCTAGCACTGTAGGCATGTGAGGCTCCATCTGTACCATACCCAGGGCCGCTAGCGTTGTTCGGGTGCCAGTCATGGTATTTCAGTGATGTTTTGATTATCAGCGTGAGCGTCAACATGTCGCCCGTATATATGCCTTGAATACACATGTAGTTTCGGATTCCCGAGCGGTACCTGTTCATTGCCACATGACAAAATACGCTTGTCAGAGGCTCATTGGTAAACAATTAGCCTCGGTAGAATCGTCCCAATAAAATTTGGTTGCCGAAAACATGTAAAATTCAAACTAATACACTAATAATAATAATGGCCATTTACAAAGCGCCTGTTTCCACGCATCCAAACATGTCAAAGCGCTGACGATAACCCAAGCTGCCTGTGAGGCGCTATAAGGTTAACAGTCATATGATCTATCCCACAGGGTACCCATTCACTGCTGGGTGAACAGAGGCGATTCATGAACAGACTCACTTGCCTAAGGTGAGACCACATGTATTACATGTGCTTCGTTGTGGGGCAGGACTGAAATATTAGAAACTCTCAGGAGTCAAGAAGCCAAACACGGTCACCCATCCAATGACTGTCCGCGACCAACGTTGCTTAACTTCAGCCTGAGCTCTATGCACAAGACCACACGCCACCACTAATGGAGCAGAACAGATAATACATACTGGCGCCAGGCTTCAGCTTGATCTCGTCACATGATTTTTGAGCAGCAATCCCCGTGACAGTGTCGAAATAAGTCTTGTAGAGAACATTGAGGCTGACTTTGGCACTTCGATCAGCCGTGTTGTTGTTCTTGACCTTCACCTTGCAGGTGAATGGACTGCCCACACTGGCGTCGCCCAACTCCTCAATCTCAATGTCAAGGTTTGCAGCCTGCAATGGAAAGGGTTATCCTGTCATTACGTTCAAATCTGTTTCATTATTGGTTAGCATTGGCGTCCGTGAAACATATGGGCTTATACAGCAGTCATCATACTTCGACTTATTGCCGTGAAAAAAAGGTTTAAAACCAGTGATCTTACTACCGCTGATTTCAGTTGAACTCCCTGGGCTTCTATACCAGTAAACTGGGCTTATAGATCGGTCGTCTCACTACCACTGATTTCCGTAAAGTAAACTGGGCTTATACACCAGTTATCTCATTACCACTGACCTCCGTGAAGTAAACTGGGCTTATACACCAGTTATTTCATTACCACTGACTTCGGTGAAGGAAACTGGGGCTTATACCACCTGTTATCTCATTACCATTGACTTCCGTGAAGGAAACTGGGCTTATACACCAGTTATCTCATTACCACTGACTTCCGTAAAGTAGACTGGGCTTATACACCAGGTACTTCATTACCACTGACTTCCGTGAAGTACACTGGGCTTATACTCCGAGTTATCTCATAACCACTGACTTCCGTGAAGTAAACTGGGCTTATGCACCAGGTATTTCATTATCACTGACTTCCGTGAAGTAAACTGGGCTTATACACCCACACACATACATGCACCTACCTGTGGCTCAGACGCACTGGGGGCGGAGTCGTCGCCGTTCATCAGACGGAACAGCTTCTCTGCCTCCCTGTAAATCTCCTTCTCCTCATCTGAGCCTGAAACAGGTCGGTGTTATAACACCTTTTCTCAGACATCCTTCCAGATGCCTTGACTGTTCCACAGGAGGACATACCATAAGGGAAATATTTTCTTATATACAACAGCATTTCAATATTAAACCTCAATGCAAAGAAATGCAAAGTCTAGACAGTCCGTACGAAAAGATTCAGTTTGATGTAAAGGGCAAAATGGCTGTGGAAATCATATGAATGGACCTCTGGAAATCAGAACGACACCAGGTGTTCGGAAAAAGGTTAAGCATGTCCTTCCCAACCGGTAGCACTGCCATTCATACAGTTTGCATAAAATGTTAGCATTTACAGCCCGAATATGTTCTCAATAATCTAAAATCTGTTTACATGACCAACTTATAACGAACACTACACTGACAAATCCAGCTCTGAAGGAGACTGATTCCACATGGTGGCTGTCCCATAGGATTGCTTTACCGTCCCCGTTATCTTTTAAGTCGGGGCGGGTAGCCTAGTGGTTACAGTGTCAGCTCGTCACGCCGAAGACCCGGTTCGAGTCCCCACATTGGTGGAATGTGTGAAGCCCATTTCTGGTCTCCCCCGCCATTATATTACTGGAATATTGCTAAAAGCGGCGTAAAAATAAACTCACTCACTATATTTTAATTCCACTGTGTCCTAATATCTCAGTTGACATCATGCACACATCATGCTATGACCTCGAAGGCAAATCAACACTGTCCGTCAGTCCTTACCCAATTAAATAGAGAAATGTTTGACTACAACGTGACATTATTTCCATGTTAATCTGGGTGTACCTTCAGCGTGCTTGTATAGATTAGTGAGGTCCTCTCTCTCCAGACCGCTAACATACGCCTTGCCTGTCGGTTTGTGGGTGCTGATGCTCTTGCCCACACTGAAACAAGCCAGAAGGTCACATGGGAACATTGTGGTTTGACACTACCAGAATGAGGCAGCACTCCTAACCATTCTCACCAAGCCAGTTCCATTACACCCAACAATTTCTCTTGGCTCCAGTTCATGTTACATCAATACACTTGTTCTACCCTATCCATCTCTTACCATGTCATCATCTATCCCTAAAATACATGCTTCTCCAGAATCCCTTCTCAATGTATAACGCAGAATGTTATCAATTCCTCAGAGTTGCGTCCTTAATCTATGTGTGAGGGGCGGTGGGGTAGCCTAGTGGTTAAAGCGTTCGCTCGTCACGCCGAAGATCCGGGTTCGATTCCCCACATGGGCACAATGGGTGAAGACCATTTCTGGTGTCCCTCGCCGTGATATTCCTGGAATATTGCTAAAAAGCGGCGTAAAACTAACTCACCCACTCTATATATGACTTGCACAACTACACCGTCCACCGTGTCCTCTCGCAAACAGTCGACGCTTTCCCTTCTACAGTCCTGCTGATTCTTGCACTATCTTCGCTGTACTAAACCAACCCTTCTCTCCACAACCCCAGAGTGCTCCTGATGTGAGCCTTCTCAAACGTCTATGGTACATTCTCTGAGTCTGACTTATAGAACTAATCTTGTACACTCTGACACCCCATCTAGTTGTGTTTTCTTATTCTATGTCTCTCGGCATTTTCTTTTGAATATCGACTGTCAACCACCCACGCTTTTTACCTTCTCCAAATGACTAAATACTCACGAATATCTATTACGCTTTGTCTCCACCAAGGTATTGAGCTGCTTGTTGTTCATCCATTCCACTTTGTCGGCGTTCACCTCGGCGTAGACGAAGCAGGTGTCGTCACCCTTTTTCAAGTGACCTTCTTTGACGGCAACCACAGGAGCTGGGCCACACACGTACACACCTACATAACAAGAAAACCTCGTTACATGTATAGAGTCTTGACCTTTTAATGTACGGATTTTGTATTAAAACACACTATTGACTGGCTGAGTATGGTTTTGCGCCGTTTTTAGCAATATTCCACCAATATCACGGCGGGGGACACCAGAAATGGGCTTCACAAGTTGTACCCATGTGGGGAATCGAACCCGGGCCTTCGGCGTGACGAGCGAACGCTTTAACCACTAGGCTACCCCACTGCCCCGCATACTATTGAGCTACGATTGTATAATGGAATGTAGTGAAGTGATACTAGCTCTAGTACTGGTTATATTGTCAGATTTGCTGAGGTTTAGTGTGAATAATAATCAGTTTTCCAGTTATTGTTCAAACGACTTATTTTTTGTTTGTTTATTGTTTAACGCCGCATTCAGCAATATTCCAGCTGTATGGTGCCGGTCTGTAAATAATCCAGTCTGGACCAGACAATCTAGTGATCAACAGCACGAGCATCGATCTACGAAATTAGGATACGATGACATGTGTCAACCAAGTCAGCGAGCCTGACCACCCGATTCCGTTAGTCGCCTCTTACGACAATCAGGGGTTGGTGAAGATCAAATCTAACCCGGATCTTCACGGTTCTGCTGACTAAGGGATCTTACAAGCAGGAACAATCGTACTGAATATGTTGACAGTGGTAGATATGCACTGAAGTGGTTACCTGAGTCTAGATCAATGTACACCACTCGTCAACTCTTTAGTACCACTGGCGCAGCCTAAGGTCGTGAAATATATACTGGAAATATGTTTCAGGTACTTAGGTGCGCACATCTGAAGAGTACCCAGTATGTTGAATATGAACGACATGTTTACGTGTGTATCTCAAGCCTTGTAACTCAAACCTCACCATCGCTACGCTCCAGGGGGGTGGCATCAATAACCTGCCACCCATCGTACTTCATGGCGTCTGTGTTCAGATCCGGGCGTCTCATGTAAACCTCATTCCACACGTGGAAGTTCCTGGAAGTAGACACAGAACATATAGAAATATAGCTTGGTTCAGGAATTAATTAAATGTAATTGTAGTAATCAATGCACCAACGTTCTTCATGTGTGATATGTTTTATTGACTATTCATAGGCGGATCCAGAGTGGTGGTGGGGGTGGGTTGGGTGTGCGAACCCTCTTTTGTACTGAAAGTTTATTAAATGACCATTGACACTCTCGTGAAAATGGGTGAAAATGAACTGTGCATCCCCAACTGTGCCATATACCTGGAATATTGCTGAGTGCGGCGTAAAACTTAACTCACTCACTCACTCTTAATTACAGTGAGTTTTGCTGCTGCAGAAAATGATCAATGTCTCATGGTAACACAATACTGTTCATAGTAATTATCTGTTTCTTAGCCTACATTCACCTTACGAAAGAGTAAGAATATAATTTGAAACGTTGTGTCCATCATAATATAAAAGTTGACATCCATAAAATAACCCTTTAGTAACCCACTCTCCCCCAAAAACAAAACCCTAACAGCAAACAAAAAAAATAAAAAAATACAAAACAAACCCCCACATAAAACAAACGACAATAAATCATACGGATTTTTTTTTAAAAGTACGAAAATAATATCCTTTAAAAAAGTAAACTCAGTGACTTACTCTCAGTTGATCAGTTTCAGTTCTGTTATTTCACTCAATATCGTGTGCAGTTAACTCTATTCTAGATACCCGGAGAGCGGAAGGTCGGGGTTCGAGCCCCGGCCGCGTCATATCAAAAGACGTTAAAATATGGTACTTGTTGGTCCCTGCCTGGCGCTCGGCATTAATGGGTACAACATGGACTGGTCGGCTCGGAGTCAGTATAATGTGTCTGAGTAGTGTTCATGCTGCACTGCGGCATGGTATCTCAGTGGGCTAGCACTATAAAACCAGCGTAAGTCTGGGCTAGTACAAGCAGCCGCACATACACATACACACGCATGCACGTCGTCATATGAGCGAAATATTCTCAAGCACGACGTTAAACCCAATTTCACCTCACCTCACCTACTGTATACAAGGAAATGGACCACACCTCTTCCTCCAGAACCTACTGTATACAAGGAAATGGACCACACCTTCCAAGGAAATGGACCACACCACTTCCTCCAGAACCTACTGTATACAAGGAAATGGACCACAGAACCTACTGTATACAAGGAAATTGACCACACCTCTTCCTCCAGAACCTACTGTATACAAGGAAATGGACCACACCTCTTCCTCCAGAACCTACCAAAAATAGAATCGTCCTTGAACTTCTTCTTCCCCAATACAAGGAAATCCGCCTGTATACAAGGAAATTGACCACACCGCCGTCCACCTCTGTTTTGATGACGTCGACGCTGAGCCTGGCCAAGTCGGTGTTGTGGGCAGAGGCGAAGGTGGTGACACTGCGACAGGGCAGCCCAATAGCTCTACACACTATACAGATATGAAATATATAATATCAGTGAATAATATCCACATATGTATCACATTACAAATCTTCATTATGCTAATTACGTTCAACCAGTGTCTGATTTTGATATAAACCAGTTGCTTCGTTCTAGTTAAATCGGTTATATGGTTACCAGTATGTTACAGCGCGCCATCTATGAACTACGCGTCAACTAATACTGCAGCAAGAATCAAGTTATATCCTTCATAAAAGACTCTCATTTTGTGTGAGTTTACCGAAGTGAGGAACTTCATAGAGTGTCGACCAAACGGCACGACCGTCGTACTGTGCTAGTCATCATTGTTTATAAAGATTATACAGACGTGTCAAGATAAATAGTTGGGATATTAGTGGTGTTCCGATCAATTGAAATAATCGAAGATTGGTCGAAGTGACCAAACGACCAAGCAATCGATCACATGTTCTCATAATCGAACACAAACGATTTTGGAACTGCTGTTTTAGTGTTTGAAACACTTGACGATGGAACATATCTTCGAAGTTGTCAGGGCCTGAAAACTTGTTTAGTTCTTAGAAAACTCACTTCACTAACTGAAAAGTCATGACTGAATATTTCTTGAAGACTCCAGAAAGTTTATGTTCATGATATATTACTCATCACTTTAAAGTAGCAAGTTGTATCATGTTATACATATCTACAATAACAACCGTGGTATCTGAAAAATGACGCTAACCAATTCTTTTCGATGATTGTTCGTTGGTAATGAAGCAATCATCAATTGTGAGATTTCAACCAATTCCCAACCCTATGGGATATACATTTCTTCGTTTTCGTCAATGCGAAGGGTCGTAACTGGTAATATTGTAACTGGTCCATCTCCTTGACCCTTGTAGTTTCATAATTGAAGGGTACAGATGTTCAGAATCACCATGTCAGGATCTATTCTTGCCCCGGAATCTGGTTGGGTTTGGTTGGAATATTTAACGCCGCACTCAACAATATCCCAGCGGTCTGCAAAATATTCGTGTCTGGACCAGACAATTCAGTGATCAACAGCATGAGCATCGATCTACCCTAGGAATGTGTAAGTAGTCCGTCTGTATTTATCATTTCAAAACTTTCTGTCTCATGAAAAAAAAATGAATATCAAAATATGTTGTTCATGATTTTATAACACCAGTTTTGCTGTTACGTGACCGGTCCCTCGTCAAGTCGTATAGCGTGTAAAATGAAGATGACATATATACACATGGAGAAAAGAATCGCCCGCCTTTGATCGTGGCACGTGCATATATAAATTCAATATGTGGACAGCGCGAAGGGTACAAATAAACAAAAATACAAACAAAGAAAACAATGACATGAATATATATGGCTATATGGGGTGTAAACATTATATGTGTTGCGACACTTTTTTCCATTGTTTATGTATATAGAGCTTGGTTGTTGAATCAGTGGTAGACATGTGTTTAACCTACCAGCCGTGGTGACAGCGGAAAACACCCAGCACTGGCCGTACCGCACTGGTTTGCCTGTCTTCATATACTCCAACAAGATCTTCTCACTACCCACCCACGTGGACGGGGCAACGCCCCCATCAAACTTCCCACTCCAGTTCCCCATGAGAACCCCGTCATCATCGTTGGAGTTAATCTGTAACCACGCCATATCTTAGTATTGTAGTCGAAGAAGTCGTGGATACATACTATTCACACTTTGCTAAGGATCAAATCATGGATTCAACATAAAACTATGATGTGGGGTCAAATTTGGTTTAAATATCTAAGCTAATTGTAAGCATGGGTCCTAGGTTTCAGTATGTCATTTCATCTTGTGGATCCCATACCTGCTATTGACAGGTGTTGTGTACTTCGTCAATGACTCGTTCCATGATGTGCAAAATGGTTGATTGGTGCCATGAAACCATTTTTTATGGTTACTCGTGTATCAAGTACATCAGGTTAGATTAAAGTGACTGTTTGCCCAAAGAGGGGTTACCATGTTATTATTTATCCAGTTTTATATGGATATAATTTCAAATTATGAATCTACGTTTCAGTAAAGGTGTGAATTTTTGTGATCCTTAGCAAGTGTGAGTAGTATAATTAAAATGAATGGGAACAGGATGGATCTTGTAATATTCTTTGGTCAATGAATAAGAATTGTAAATATATATTGACATAACAGTTTATTACTAAACATACATAATACAGGTTTTAAGGCTGTAGAATATTGTCTCGCACTACAAGGTGAGGTGAGGTGAAATTGGGTTTAACGTCGCGCTGGAGAATATTTCGCTCATATGACGACGTGCATGCGTGTGTATGTGTATGTGCGGCTGCTTGTACTAGCCCAGACTGAAGCTGGTTTTATAGTGCTAGCCCACTGAGATACCATGCCGCAGTGAAGCATGAATACCCCACTCAGACACATTATACTGACTCCAAGCCGACCAGTCCTTAGTTGTACCCATTAATGCCGAGCGCCAGACAGGGACCAACAAGTACCATATTTTAACGTCTTTTGGTATGACGCGGTCGGGGATCGAACCCGCAACCTTCCGCTCTCTGGGCGGACGCTCTAACCACCACGGAGGCGGTCTCTCGCACTACAAGAAAGCCGGCAATTGAACATCATTCTTTCTCCCCAGATATACAACCTAGGACTATTTTGGAAGCTTGACCACTGTCTGCTATAAGCAATGTTTTCATACTAAACATAAACTGCATTTGAAATTGTACTGTCACTGTATTTTGTGGTCATTGCAATGCCTCGGAACTGATGTGTAAACCTTTTGAATATTTAAATAGAATTGTTAATAATATCACATCTCTATGTTGTTTGCTGTTGCTGGTTTCCCAGCGAGTTCTTTGGGGATTTTCTATCCGATTGTGTGGTAGTGTATAGTGACTCTCATTTATGTATGGCATCAATGAAACTGTTGTAAAACTCACAATCTGGGCAATCATCCTGGAGACTCTGACTGGGCTGGCCATAGCTGGAGCGGCCTGGAACCCGAACGCTTTCCTCACAAGGTGAAGAGCAGCGTCCAATATGCCATAGTTGAACTGAAACATAGGAATAAGAATAGATGGGTAACCATTAATTGATCACTGAAACGTGGAAAAACGACTACCATGTGGAATAAATGGGTTTTATTGCTCCTGTTATTGTATGCTAATACACGTCTTCATGGATAACTGGGGCAGTGGGGGTAGCCTAATGGGTAACGTGTCTGAAAACACGACTCATATATGGACTAAGAAGATTTTATTGCTGCTGTTATTGTATGTTAATACACGTCTTCATGGATAACTGGGGCGGTGGGGGTAGCCTAATGGTTGAGGCGTTCGCTCGTCACCGGGTTCGATTCCCACATGGATACAATGTGTGAAGTCCATTTCTGGTGTCCCCGCCGTGACATTTTTGGAATATTGGTAAAGGGGCGTAAACCCAAACTCACTCACTCATGGATAACTCTCACACTCTTCTTGAACTTAACTTTCAAACTTTCAAAGGTCACTACGGGTGGGTAATGTGAAATAGGCATCACGTGTCGGGACAACAAAGAGACAATAACCTTAATGCGATCCTAACCCCAATGTTTTAGCAATGATACGGGGGTATAACAATAACATACAGAAATTGATGGCGGTTTCTTCGTTTACCTGGTTGTAGGCCCATGCTTTGACTGCGAGCTGATTGTAGGTACCGTAGTACTGAGTGCCGTTGTCGTTGAGGACCGTCTCTGTCCTCCACACGTCGTCCTCCATGTACACCCAGTCCTCTGTCAGATAGAGGTCACACGGATAGAAACGACACAACCCTTTCTACATTTATAATAAATCTCTGCCAAAAGCAGAGTCGATTGTTCAATTGTGACTATATCATGCAGGGCTTCAGATAAGGGCCGTATCGGCGTATGTACGGATAGAAAATATGCACGATACGGTAGGAAATAATTTAGAAAACGTAGCAGATACGCACCACAGCAATGGTGTATGGTCTTAGAATCATTTACAGACGTATTTATTGACCTGTTTACACAAGAGTGGCAATGTTGCGGTGCATATATAAACAAAACACAAGATTACTGATACGCCATTATTTTCCATTCAGTACTCTAAATGTACTCCAGTACTCCTATATTGAAAAAATAAGGAGTACATACTCCTGATGTTAATTTTTTTTATCTGGAGCCCTCTCATGAGTATGCATTTGTTTCATGAAGCCATGTGTCACATTTTTAAACGTTCACGTCTTGATGTTTAACCTTGTATCCATCAGTCTTCCATCTTCTACATTATCTTTATCAGAATAGAAACATACATCATTTAGAAAGAGAAAGTTTGGTTCAGTTTGTTGTTTTACCCGGTGGGATGTACCCGGTGGGATGTACCCGGTGGGATGTGATGGTAAAATAAAGCTAGCGACTGACAGGCAGCTTGGGTTGTTTACAAAGCCGAACAGCTTATAACCAACTATATTTGAAACGAACTAAAACCAGTGGTCCCTTTGAGTTCATTCTACGTATTTGACTGTAGATTACATATTTGATTGCAACGTAGAGTTGTTATTGTGTTTAACGCCGCACTCAGCCATATTACAGCTTTTACCAAATGTAGGAAAAGACATCCATTCCCTGCATTGGTAAAACCATCACACCAAATCAGCCGACTCCCTGAAACAACAGGCAGGAATAGACACTACCTTCTCAGCGTCCTCCAGCCTCAACAACCTCCTCCATGCCAACGGAAGAAAACAACCCACCGTCAACAACAAAACCCCGAAATGTGTTATTTACAAAATAGACTGTGATTGTGGACAATGCTACATAGGTGAAACATCCCGACCCATCAACACCCGAGTCAAAGAACATCGCACCTCTGTTGCTAATTCCGACACCAAATCAGCTATCTCTGACCACATCAAAGCCAACCCCAATCATCAAATAGAGTGGTCCGACATCACCATTCTCGCCAACAACCAAACGGACTTCACTAAACGCAAGCTCACAGAAGCCATTCACATCAAACGCCACAAGCCTACCATCAACCGTGACCAAGGATACTTCATTCCATCTGCTTATGATCCACTCCTCCACCAAGCCCAGTCTATTGTATAAACATCGCATCCATTGTATAAACATCTCATTGTAACTACATCTCTGGCTTCCACTCACTATCCTTTATGTACTTACTGGCTTCATCAGCTTACTGCTTAGCCAATCATGGCAATTATGTTGTTTCCTTTGTCTATTATGTTGTTTCATTGTTATATACAGTATATATATGCAGCTCCTACACTTCATGTATCACTCTTGCTTGACAACGGTACAAGAATCTGTATCGAAACGTCGCACTCACGAAAATAAAGAAGTTGTTATCCATAAAAACTTGTTATATATCATATTACAGCTGTTGGCTGTAAGTAATCGAGTCTCGACAAGACATCCTGAGCATCGATCCGTGTGAGTGAGTGAGGGAGTATAGATTTACGCCACTTTAAGCAACATTCCAGCAACTGAGCGTTGATCTCCGCAGTTGGGATATGATGACATGTATCCTGATCCCGTTAGTCGCCTCTTACGACAATTATGGGTTGCTGAAGACAAACTGTAAACCGAATCTTCATGGGTGAAATGTTGTAGTGTTTACACCCCTTTCTGTAATATGATCGCTAGCTGGACAAGTTAATTTAAAATACCTTTAAAGAAGGGGACAAGTAGTTTCTCACCTTTGCACCATGGATTGAATATGATGTCAATGACGTCCGCTGTGTGGTTGTACTGCCAGACAATGTTCTTGCCGTCCCTGACGTCCACGATAGTTTGAACAGCAAACTCCCACTCGCCGATGGGTGCAGTTGCCGGAACGAAGACGGACAGAGTGAGGGAGTTGCCCTTTTGACCGATGACCGTAGCACCCCAGCTCTTCGGCTTGTACACGGTGGCTCCAGTTTCGTCCACCCTGAAGGATGCGTTCAAACCTTTGTTGGGCTTGTAGTCGTCACCTGCAAATTGTGTATTGGATGAATATTCATGCTGCAAGAGACAGACAGACTTGCTGCACTCGAAATGGCTATCATTTATTTAATACCAATTTCCTTGACAGGACTCTTACATCCATCGTGTTCGTATTTATCGTCAATATTGTTCTTAGTTCTGCAGGATAACGTTATCTCCTCAGGAACTCGTCAGCTCTTTTATCAACAACTGGTACAATATTAGTTTTGGTCACCCTTCTTTACGTAGCTTACCCAAATTAAACGTTAACGTGATATCGTTCTTCTTGATGTCATACGGCCTGTCGAAAGTAATTGTCATCTTGAAATCTTGACCTCTACGAAGAACAAGCTCTGCGTCTCTCTCTTCAGTTCCCTTCGCGCATGCGTACATATCAGTGTGATGCTCCTTGGCATTGTCGGCGTAGTGAAGGTCGACCCCAGTCACGTGCAGTTTTGTTGCCAGCTCTTCTTCCTCAACCTCTGGCTCCAACGGCTCTTCTGGCTCCTCCGGCTCCTCCGGCTCCTCCGGCTCCTCCGGTTCCTCCGGTTCCTCCGGTTCCTCCGGCTCCGGCACTTCCGGCTTTGGCACTACCGGAGGTGGGACAACCGGCTCACACACTTCTGGCTTCGGCACTTCCGGCTTCGGTACTTCCGGCTTTGGTACTTCCGGCAGTGGGACCACCGGCTCACACACTTCTGGCTTTGGTTTTTCCGGCAGTGGGACCACCGGCTCACACACTTCTGGCTCCTGGGTCACCGTTTGCTCTGGAAATGACGGGAAGGAATACACTTCATCATGCAACACAAATCATCTTGGCGAGTGTCAAAGGATAACTTTACAATGACACTAACGTTCTGCTCAGACAACAAAAATAATCAATTGTATAAAAAATAATCAGTTGTTTAAAAAATAATTAATTTAAAAAAAAATAATTGTTTAAAAAATAATCAATTGTTTAAATAAAATCAATTGTTTACTGGACCCTCAGCATATTCCAGCTATATGTCGGCGGTCTGTAAATAATCGAGTCTGGACCAGACAATCCAGTGACTGGCCAGTCTCACCCCCTTTACATAGCTGCATCGAAACCTGAGATGGTTAATGATATGCAGTGCTGTAGTTAATATACTGTATCTAAACATACGCCCTTATCTGTTACTCTGTCAGGGCCTAATCACTTTTAACTAATATCAGGGAACTCATTTCTCACTATGTTAGGGCCCCGAGGGACATGAAGATTAGACCTGGCCCCTGTAATCCATGCTTGTGAGAGGGAACTACATTTGTAAATGGACGAGGGGACTTTGTGGTGAAAGTGGGGTTTTCCTAATATCGCAATTTGGACTTACGATGCAGACTGAATTGTCTACACATACTTGGGATACTACGGTATACAAGAAATGGACAAACAACACATGGGTAGTACTCAGATCAGATTATGCCTGAGGAATTTTTGTACATTAATAATGCTATTGACTTATTGTGACCAACCCACAGGGGAGCGAGTGACATAAAATTTTACGTCACAAGGGCAATAGTTCAGCCATATCGTGACGACCCCCTCCCAGGGAACACATGGGAATCCAAATCTACTCAGGATTGATTTTAGCAGGTTCTTGAAGGGGTGTAACTTGAATGAGTGAGTGAGCACTAATTAAATCCACTATGAACAGTTTTCCAGATGTATCAGGGAGTGTGTGCTTCATGTGGAAGGAGAGCTGAAGCAGTGCAGAAAACCACAAGCAGGGATATGGTGCGAAAACCCCCAATATATAACGCGATTAGGACGAATCTGGATTTTGGTGCAATGATCATACATTCCTGTCATGACAAAGGGAAGCAACTATGCATGATAAATAGTGGCACGACAAACAACAGAACCAGTCGTGCTTGTTTTAATATAACGGTAAAGATTCTGATTGATTGGAGTGACAGAATCTGGACAAATCGGTAATGAATAACAATTGGTGAATTAAAATACAGCGGAGAGTTTAATGGATGTCAACTTCTGTAACAGGATAAACACGACATTACGGAGTATGTTCACAGTAATTCGTCAGGTGAATGAGAAGTAGGAAGCAAAAAACTATATATGATACTTTACAAAAAATGATATCAATACAACCGCCCCTTACTTGTATCACTTCTATATGGACTCGTGTTTCGAGTCTTACGAGATCTCGTGTAGAATTCTAAACATACTTTTATAGACCAAAAATGTCTTATTTAGCTGTTTTATTACGTATTCTCCCAAAGACGACTTTTCCAAGTATTCCCAAACCACATGTCTTGCCCGTGGAATTGGAGTATGGATGACCAAGTTCCGGCCCTCAAAAGTTACAACAGATTCGTTATCGAATTTATCAGCATTATTAAATACCATGACATCGTTACCTTGTTGTATGACCGTTGTTTGACCAATCGTTAAAGTTTGTGGGGTCTGTGTCGGACGCTGTTGAAGCATCGGACGTTGTTGGGGCCGCGGGCGTTGTTGAGGCCTCGGACGTTGTTGAGGCCTCGGACGCTGGGGTCCAGGTCGACGTTGGGGACTCTGAGGCTTCTGTCGTCTTGGACCTCGTTGCCGTCTCCATTCAACTTGTTGAAACGTAGTAGTTTGAGAAATTTCCTGCTGTTGCCCCTGGAAACCGCTATCACTGTCAGGGCTTTCAGGGCGAAGGAACTTGTCATCACATTGTGATGGGCGTGGTCGCGAGGTGGGGCTACAGTAGGAGGGGAACCGCCTGGCAAACCAACTCCTGCCTCCAAATCTGACTCCTCTAACTCTCCTCCCGCGACAGGTGCGCCTAAAATAACCCCAACCAACTCAAATTATATTCTTGTACAATATAATGCAAATAATATCGGCTTGAAAAAGCTACTGTACTTATCTACATGAATAAGTCCGTGGTGTTAATGTCATTTAAAGAATGCTTTATCTTTCAGACGGGTTGTGTGAGGTCCAGTGCATGGGTGACCGTGTTTGGCAGCTTGACCCCTGAGAGTTTCTTGGACTTCAGCGCTGCCCCACAACGAAGCACGTACCTTAGGGTACCTCTCGGGTAGCTTGACTCATAACTCGTTCTCGGGTTGCTAGAATTTCATTGAGTTTGGTTTTTCGTCCTATACTGATATCACACGGATTTCTACATGACTGTGTCTTTAAGCAGCCATGGAAAGCAGAATTGCCCAAAGTGGTGCCATCAATAGCTATATGAATCTCTCTGCAAGTCACCTTCTCGACAGAAATGATAGAAAGTTTTAATGCTAAGAACTATTCATCCTACCTGCTAGGGATGCGCGAGTTGTTTCTTCTTCGGAAAAACCCAAACATGATGCACTATCCGATGTGACTTCAAATCTGTCACAGTAAACCTCTCGGCTGTTCTGGAAAGGAACAGAAGTGAAACAATGTAATGACACAATGTTAAGCGGCCTTCACACAACAAACTAAAGTTTGACAACACATGTTAAAAATTTAAATTTGTCAAACTCGCGTTTTCACACGTCAAACACATGTTGTCAAACGTTCGTGTCATTGGAGCGCCATGTCTCTACCGGTGCGGCACAGGACAACTTCGTTGACTGCGATTGGTTGTTTCTGTACAACACGAGTTTGACAACACTTCACACCTCAAACTCGAGTTTGACAACACCGAAAGTTTGATGGAAAAGTTGGTGAGAATAGAAACTTATCCTATTTCTCGACAACAGTGTGACAACTCTGAAATTGGTGTTGGTGACGAGTTGTTGGAATGTTCACACTCTCAAACTCGAGACTGACAACATATGTTGTCAAACTTTAGTTTGCTGTGTGAAGGCCGCTTTAGGCAAACAGAAGAATGAAGTATGGATCAGAGAGAATCTAGACAACGAAACCACTGCCATATTCCATGAAAGATAAGGAAGGATACACACAGTTGGTTATCATCCATTCAAATACTTACCAGAACCAAGAAGTATGGGATATGCGAGTCATATCAGTTTATATAGTCATCATTCTTCATATAAATGTATATAGTCACGTGTTTGGACACCCAATACCATCAGGAAATGTATATTACCTGCTACAATTATTGTAGTTCACTCATACGTATTTAAACAGATCTGTTGTATACACAACAGGTTCGTAGAGATCTGGTGTAATGTTCCCCTATATATCGGAGAATAAACACCATATAACATTCTTGCCAGAAATGCTGACTACGTTCGTATTTTAAATCAACTATACAAGTAGGCAGAGGAGTCTAAAACCCCCGAGCCTTACCATGAATAATGTATGTATGGTACACCTTCAGGGGGTGGGGTGGTGTGTGTGTGTGTGTGTGTGTGTGTGTGTGTGTGTGTGTAGTCTAGTGGTTAAAGCGTTGGCTCGTCAAGTCGAAGACCCGGGTTCGAATCTCCACATGGGTACAATGAGTGAAGCCCATTTCTGGTGTCCCCCGCCGTGATATTGCTGGAATATTGCTAAAAGCGGCGTAAAAGAAACTCACTCACTCCACTGAAAGAGTACCTCCGGCAGCCATCTGTGGCATGAAAGTGAGATGGCATTGTCTGTTGATGGAAACAACTGGCTCCCTCTCTGTCATCTAAATCGCACGGTATCTTCCACTGAAAGAGGGGCAGTGGGGTAGCCTAGTGGTTAAAGCGTTAGCTCGTCACGCCGAAGACCCGGGTTCGATTCCCCACATGGGTAAAATGTGTGAAGCCCATTTCAGGTGTCCCTCGCCGTGATATTGCTGGAATATTGCTAAAAGCGGTGTAAACCTAAACTCACTCACTCCACTGAAAGAGTACCTCCGGCAGCCATCTGTGTGAATATGGTGTCAACCGTCGAGGATGATGCTTCTTCCTTTGAAACTGGGGGCAGGGGGAGTAACAGGTTGAGGAAGAGTCAGCCGCGTAGACTCTTCATTATACCAACTACACTGAACAAATGCTTCTTTTTTGCATGTATGATCAATTTTCTGAAATGATCGAAAAAAATCCACTTTGCATAGTATCGTCCAAAGTTTCACCTTTCAGTTTTGGCAAGCTTGCAACTACTTTTGAAAACAAATATTTAATTTTTGACCATTAACGGTGTGTTCCCAATTATCGGAATAATTTTCCAAAAAATCAAATTGCTTCTGCAACAAAAGCGACAATATCACACATCCACATCAATCCACTGTAGAGTTCCATCTATCAGTCATATACATATGCACAGTCTAGTCAACTGTTAACCTGAAAACACATCGCTAACGTATGGGAAGCGGGAATCGCGTTTCGTCACTGATGCATCGAATTTAGTATGTTGAATGTTGTAACCTTGATTGAACAGCTTCAGAGCAAAGTCGTATGGCACCCTTTGAAATCCTGATGAAAAGAGCATATTCAATTGTACATCCAAAGTTGTGCAATGTAAACACCAAAGGCTGGAGTTGATTCCTAATGCATCCCGAAACCGGTCCGGATGGAGGGGAGCACATTAGGGGCCCATGGGCATGCCTATTTCATGTCTAAATGCTTTGTCCACAAATGTTACAAAGATGCTATCAATCAGCAAATCTAGCATTTCACATATTGTTTTCTCAGTAAACATCAAATGACATTGGCTTTCATTTTTGAAATTGTTCCTAACCTCTGACGATATATATCTGTATCTTTGCTCACCACGTGTGTTAACAAATGCCCCGTTGTTAAAGGAATGAAGGTTTTGTTTTGGCTTCTGACGTGGGATAGGTATGTGCTCTCTGAAGGTTGGTGTGTGAGATTGTAATCATTAAAACTGCTTCTTTAAATTGTGAGAACCCACGTTAATAATTCCTCTTTTCTCAAATACATTCTGTGATTATATAGAAAACTACCTTCCTCGATAGTATTAAGAATTATGGTTAATACAGGACAAGGATTTGGTGGTATATTCGCTGGACGCAGCAATGTATCTCTCCTTGTCCCGATTTTTAATTCCTCCGTACAGTCTACAGGTTTTAGAGTCAAGCCGAAAGCACATAATATATGATTTGGGGATATTTCTTCCTCAGTTATCACATTGGCCTTATTTGTGACTTTATTTGACATGTCACTTTTCCAAACTTTTTGGAAAAAAATTAATGTAAACCTTTATTTATTTTTCCGATATTTTTTCATGCACAGTTTCTTTCAACTGCTTTTCATTCATGTGATTAGAAACACCATCCGCCATATGATTTGGTGAGAGGTATTTCTCATCCATAATCCGTCATGATACTGTCGTCTACAGTATGTCTATGAATAAAAATAGCAAACCGTCTGCAGTTTTGTCTCAACCATCACATGTCGATTGCAATACAAGGACATGTTCTGTTCAAGGGGAAACCAAATCTTTACTCTTCACAAAACGTTGGGGTCATGAACAATAGTGAGTGAATAAGGTTTTACGCCGCTTTTAGCAATATTACAGCAATATCAAGGCTGGGGACACCGGAAATGGGCTTCACACACATTGTATCCATGTTGGGAATCGAACCCGGGCCTTCCATCACTTTAACCACTAGACAAAGCGTTAGTACACAAATATGTCTTGCCGACAAACATCGCATAGTCTGAACAATATAATACATCTAATAACTTTTCAATCAGTAGCAGGGTGTCAATCTGGACTTTGGAAATTTCAAGGAACGTCCATTAATCACTGTTAATTATTTCTTCCTATCTGATTGTTGTTGTTTACTTGATTTAAAATAATTGTTCGTATGTGTCAGCAGCATGTGGAGCGTCTAGGGGCTATTGGCATGCTGGAAAACTGCAGAGGGATTAGAAATCGTCACCATGCAGCTCATCTCCATGCTCCATGTTATGCCAGTGGTCCGGTGTTCGAATCCAATGCTGGTGGCATGATAACCATTGTCCTTAATATGTTTCAGGGAGTATTAAGCATATGAGTAACTAACATGAACATTGAGTCACGTGAACAAACACTAAACAAAGTCGTTATAACTCAACACATCCAGAATACAATATTTTCTTTTTTAAAGTTAGTTTTGCCATAGCAAAAATAACGTTTGTTAATATATTCAGGTGTTTTCTTGTAAAGTAGCCGCATGTACCGTCCCTGTCTTCAGCTGCCCACTGGTCCGAAATCCTTCCTACCAGTATGGTCTGAAAATGAGCCTAGTCATGACATCGATATTAGTGAGGAGTGAGTTTAGTTCTACGCCGCTTTTAGCAATATTCCAGCAATATTATGGCGGGGGACAAAAGTAATGGGCTTTACCCATGTGGAGAACCGAACCCGGGTCTTCGCTGTGACGAGTGGACGCTTTCACCACTAAGCTAACCCACCGACGCACATTGACATCAAAGATGGTTCGTTCTCCTTTGTAAAATACTAGTAGCTAATCCTCCTTCGGGAGGCATTGGGGAGTTTCTTATCCCCTCCCCATAAAGCAGTTATCCAGCCTTATCTCAAGCAGTTATCCTCCCTTTCCCCTCCCTATTAAACAATTATCGTCCCCTATCCCCTCCCTGTTAATTAGTTATCTTGCCTTATCTCAAGCAGTTATCCTCCCTTCCCCTCCCTATTAAACAATTATCGTCCCCTATCCCCTCCCTGTTAAGCAGTTATCTTGCCTTATCTCAAGCAGTTATCCTCCCTTCCCCTCCCTATTAAACAATTATCGTCCCCTATCCCCTCCCTGTTAAGCAGTTATCTTGCCTTATCTCAAGCAGTTATCCTGCCCTTTCCCTCATCCCTATTAAACAATTATCGTCCCCTATCCCTCCCTGTTAAGCAGTTATCTTGCCTTATCTCAAGCAGTTATCCTGCCCTTCCCCATCCCTATTAAACAATTATCGTCCCCTATCCCTCCCTGTTAAGCAGTTATCTTGCCTTATCTCAAGCAGTTATCCTGCCCTTCCCCATCCCTATTAAACAATTATCGTCCCCTATCCCTCCCTGTTAAGCAGTTATCCTGCCTTATCTCAAGCAGTTATCCTGCCCTTCCCATCCCTATTAAACAATTATCGTCCCCTATCCCTCCCTGTTAAGCAGTTATCTTGCCTTATCTCAAGCAGTTATCCTGCCCTTTCCCCATCCCTATTAAACAATTATCGTCCCTATCCCTCCCCTGTTAAGCAGTTATCTTGCCTTATCTCAAGCAGTTATCCTGCCCTTTCCCCATCCCTATTAAACAATTATCGTCCCTATCCCTCCCTGTTAAGCAGTTATCTTGCCTTATCTCAAGCAGTTATCCTGCCCTTTTCCCATCCCTATTAAACAATTATCGTCCCCTATCCCTCCCTGTTAAGCAGTTATCTTGCCTTATCTCAAGCAGTTATCCTGCCCTTCCCCATCCCTATTAAACAATTATCGTCCCCTATCCCTCCCTGTTAAGCAGTTATCTTGCCTTATCTCAAGCAGTTATCCTGCCCTTTTCCTCCCTATTAAACAATTATCGTCCCCTATCCCTCCCTGTTTAAGCAGTTATCTTGCCTTATCTCAAGCAGTTATCCTGCCCTTCCCCATCCCTATTAAACAATTATCGTCCCCTATCCCCTCCCTGTTAAGCAGTTATCCTGCCTTATCTCAAGCAGTTATCCTGCCCTTTCCCCTCCTTATTAAACAATTATCGTCCCCTATCCCCTCCCTGTTAAGCAGTTATCCTGCCCTATCTCAAGCAGTTATCCTGCCCTTCCCCCTCCCTATTAAACAATTATCGTCCCCTATCCCCTCCCTGTTAAGCAGTTATCCTGCCTTATCTCAAGCAGTTATCCTGCCCTTTCCCCTCCCTATTAAACAATTATCGTCCCCTATCCCCTCCCCGTTAAGCAGTTATCCTGCCTTATCTCAAGCAGTTATCCTGCCCTTGACCCTCCCTATTAAACAATTATCGTCCCCTATCCCCTCCCTGTTAAGCAGTTATCCTGCCTTATCTCAAGCAGTTATCCTCCCTTTCCCCATCCCTATTAAACAATTATCGTCCCCTATCCCCTCCCTGTAAAGCAGTTATCCTGCCTTATCTCAAGCAGTTATCCTGCCCTTTCCCCATCCATATTAAACAGTCTCCACATCCCCTGATTCTTGAACCCTAGACACCAGTGGTACATGTCAACCTGTTCCCGACAGACTACAGAGTGACATTATGCACTGCCGGATAACTATCACATCATGCATTATGTGCACCTAGTCACAGTTGTGTGTTGTCTTCGTGCATACCAGCATGTGTGCCTGTCTCTGACACGACCGCTGACTCAGCAAGGCTTTATACTCAGCTGTGAGAATACAATACAGAACAAGCAAAACAAACGAGAATTATTTAAATAAAAATAGAGGAAAAAACCCCAACTTTCTATACACGCTCTGTGGGATCTACACACAATTTGGATGGTTTCAACCAACACTAAATTATTTTGAATTGAAAGATTCTTATCAATGAGAAATAAGAAACGCGTTCCACATCCTTTTGAAATGTCTGAACCACAGAGTCGGCTTTTGGATTCCGCCTATAAAATGTACATGAGTTGAATCACTATCAAGCAGTAATGATACCACCTTCGCGAAAAATGGAGCACACCCCGCCTCGCCAGTCTACCCGACACAAACACTTGCAAAGGGTGGTGGGGTAGCGTAGTGGTTAAAGCGTTTGCTCGTCACGGCGATGACCTGGGTTCGATTTCCCACATGGGTACGATGTGCAAAGCGCATTTCTGGTGTCCCCCGCCGTGATATTGCTGGAATATTGCTAATAGCAGCGTAAAACCATACTCACTCACTCACTTGCAAAGGCAAGTAAACTCATCACCCGAAAAAACAACAACAGCACGACATAAACCAAAGCTGATCCGGACAATACTTTCGTCACCAATGTACCAAATGCTATAACGCCCACCCGCATTCCACCATAAAACGTTTTGAAAGTCTCCCTGAGGCCCTGAATGTGTTAGAATTGGTCTTCAGTAGCCCATACTCGTCGTAAGAGGCGACTAACGACTAAAGGGATCGGGTGGTCTGGTACGTTGACTTGCTTGACACATGTCATCGTATCCTAATTGCGTAGATCGATGTTCATGCTGTTGATTGTCTGGTCCAGACTCGATTATTTACAGACCGCCGCCATAAAGCTTGAATATTGCTGATTTCTGCGATTTCAGCGCCTTGACCATGTACTAGTTGCGTGGATATGTGTGTTACGTGGATATGCGTGTTACGTGGATATGCGTGTTACGTGGATATGCGTGTTACGTGGATATGAGTGTTACGTGGACACAACAACCAAACCAACCAACTGAATGTTGCAAATCAGGATGAAAACAGCTGACTCAAAATGCCGCGAAATGCAAAGACCAAAGTCCGCCGCTACAGGAACACTGCCGTGGCTGTCACAGAAGGTTTGTTGCATGATTCATAGAGGAGCTCCGATATGTAGGCGAGTATTACACTACATCTGTCCACCCTAGCATTCCGAGGGTAGTCAGGACTGGCTAATCTTTTCCACTGACGTGATATCTGCATGCTGTATCACCATTCACGTAATGTTTACATAACGAACTGGATATCACACAGAGAGGTGTCTTATTAGCTATAAAACACGTGCCCAGCATAATACATATATGTATGAAGAATGATCCCTATATATACGATGATTCTGTCATATGCTGTACTTCTTGGGTCTGGTAAGTATTGGCATGAACGATAACCAACTGTGTGTTTCCTCTTCATCTTCCGCATTCTTTTCCATGGAATATTATCTCGTTCTCTAAAATAATCCCGCTTCATACTTCATTCTTCTACTAACACCGTCTAACCAAGATTTACATGAATTCCTTTTCCTTTCAAGGCAATCTGAAAGGCCTTCAGTGTTGAAGACTTTCTGCACAGCCTCAGCTAGAAGGTGATCGCAACGATCTTACAATGGGCTTTTTCTTCCGATTCGGTAACCCACGCAATCCCAGGTAGGAATATGTGAATCTTTAGCATTTAACTGTTCGTTCTGTCTACCCTTTTGAGATGGTTGTGTGTAGATGAGTCGTATATCGTTTGCTAATAATTCAGTTTTGGGGAATTGAAATAGTCATCCTAATCGAATCCCAAGTTCGAATACTTACACTGGCCAACGATCATTGTGCATACATCTATCACATATCTAGAATAGGTGAGGTGAGGTGAGGTGAGGTGAGGTGAGGTGAAAATGGGGTTCAACGTCGCACTTAAGAATATTTCGCTCATATGACGACATGCATGCGTGTGTATGTGTATGTGCGGCTGCTTGTACTAGCCCAGTCTTAAGCTGGTTTTATAGTGCTAGCTCACTGAGGTACCATGCCGCAGTTAAGCATGAACACCCCACTCAGACACATTATACTGACTCGAGCCGACCAGTCCTTGTTATACCCATTAATGCCGAGCGCCAGGCAGGGACCAACACGTACCATATTTTAACGTCTTTTGATATGACGCGGCCGGGGCTCGAACCGCGACCTTCCGCTCTCCGGGTATCTAGAATAGGGTAACCTACACACACTTGAGTGAAATAACAGAACTGAGCTGAGTCTGTGAGTAAGTCACTGAGTTTACTTTTTTAAATATTATTTTTATCATAGGATATTGATATAGCACATATATCCACGCAACTAGTACATGCTCAAGGCGCTGACATCGCAGAAATCAGCAATATTTCAGCTAATTGTCGGTGTAATGTAAAAATCGAGTCTGGAGCAGACAATCAAGTGATCAACTGCCTGAGCATCGATCTACGTAATTGGGATATGATGACATGGGTCAACCAAGTCAGCGAGCCTGACCACCCGATCCCGTTAGTCGCCTCTGTAGTAAGAGGGTTGCTGAAGATTAGTTCTAACCCGGATCTTCATGGGTGAGATGAGATGACGTACCAGGGCATCTTCATATACCAATCTATTTTATGTAGGATGACTCACTGATACACTAATTTATCTTTTCAAAAAATCTTTTGTGCTTAAACAAGTTCAAGATACCAGAGACCCTTCAACTGGTTAAACAAGTATGGATCTAAATTCCCGAATGGTCTGTTAAATGATTGTATTCTTTCTGAAAGTTCATTCCAATTCTCAAACAGGCTTTGAATGAACAAAACAGTCGTTTCTATTTACATGAACCAAGTCGATTGCCTGCTGATGGATAATTCGTCCCCGAGACATAATCACTAACTTGGTAGCAATTTACACAGTAGTGTTGAATAAACAAAACAGTCGTTTCTATTTACATGAAGTCGATTGCCTGCTGATGGATATTTTGGCCCCGAGACATTGTCACTAACTTGGTGGCAATTTACACAAAATGTTGAATGAATAAAACAGTCGCTTCTAAATGCATGAATATGGATTATAGTGCTCATGAAACGTTTGTGAAGATAGTTTGAATGGTTTTAATTTTAACGGATTATTTTCAGGTGTCGCAGGGGCGGCATGGGCAGGTTCAGGGGGAGGGGCGGTCGCAACCGAGGAGGCGGACGACGTCGATGCATTGGTTCCAGGCGGGTGCCCTCATATTGCAGCCCCAACTCTCGACCACGCCCTTCAGAATGTGACGAAAGGTTCTTTCGACCTGGAATCGGTAATTTTTTTTAACCAACTGTTTCCGAGGCCACGCCCGTCAACACGCCCAGGGCCACCGGGTTCACGACCGCAAGGCCCGTCGCCACGCCCACCAATAGAAGAATGTGAAATACCAACTGTAGGGCCCGACTGGGAGCAAGCCACGCAGCAGCAAGGTAACACCTGTCACAATATATCCTGAGACATCACAAATCATCACATGTTGTCACCTAACACAATGTCAGAAATATTTCGATTTACGGCAACAAAATATTTTCAGCAAAGTTTGCAATTGTTTACCAATAAGCGTATTTCATAACGCCTCATTTTTAGTGCTGTATTATAGTATTATATCAGTGTTAAGAAAAGTTAGTTTAATCGTTCGAATCCTAGTTACTCGTGAGTGTATTCCAGGACACCATTCCTGTCCTGTAGTAAGTGGACCCATGAAGATGTGGGTAAGAATTGGTCTTCAGTAACCCATGCTTGTCGTAAGAGGCGACTTATGGGATCAGGTGGAATATGAAGATGCCCTGGTGCGTCATCTCATCTCACCCATGAAGATCCGGGTTAGAACTAATCTTCAGCAACCCTCTTACTACAGAGGCGACTAACGGGATCGGGTGGTCAGGCTCACTGACTTGGTTGACTCATGTCATCGTATCTCGATGCTCGTGCTGTTGATCGTTGGATTGTCTGGTCCAGATTCGAATATTTACAATCAATCGATCGATCGGTCAATCAATCAATCAATCAATCAATGCCAAGTGCAGGGATCCAAAGAACCATGTCCTTCATTCTTGTGAAAGTCGTTAAGGGCAATGTAGGTTCCAAGAATCACTTTCCTGTCACTAATCAAATGGTGAAACCCGTGTCGACATTCAACTTTCAGGCATAGCCAGCGAGATTGGCTAGCAAGATTTGGAGACTATTTTGCACACTGGTTACGACAATGACCCTTTATCTATATGATGATCCATTAGGTTCCCGCGTAAAATAGTGTCCTCCTTTGTGATTCCACCAAGACAAAATTGGTCAGTATTGTTTCATTGTGTTCCCTGAGACACAGGGGAACTGTACTAGGTCATGAAGTCTGGCAGGCTGGGTTCACTCTGTCTCATTCCAGCTGATGTAATTTGATGATAACATGTGAATAAACGTGGTACAGTACTTACGATTACTCTCCACACAAACACCTGTTGATGCTGGGTCGTGATGGTGGTGCGTGCGTGCGAGCGTGCGTGTGTTTGTGTGTGTGTGATGTGTCCTAACCCATCCTCTATGCCTTGCAAGCACCAGACAGAGTAACCGCAAGAACTATCGTTTAATTTCTTTCGGGATATTCAAACATGTGTTTTCAACTAGCTTGTCGCTACATCATTCAAACTGCTACGTAAAATTGCTAAAACTGTGTGTGATCGGATCCTTATTTCCAGAAGAGACAATACCAGAGGAGCCAGATGTAAAAGAAGAAGAGCTGGCAACAAAACTGCACGTAACTGGGGTCGACCTTCACTACGCCGACAATGCCAAGGCGCATCACACTGATATGTACGCATGCGCGAAGGGAACTGAAGGCAGAGACGCAGAGCTTGTTCTTCGTAGAGGTCAAGATTTCAAGATGACCATCACCTTCGACAGGCCGTATGACATCAAGCAGAATGATATCACGTTGATGTTTAATTTGGGTAAGCTACGTTAGAATATGTGCCTAATAAAACCAATACTGACAAGAGTGTTAGTACTACGGATTAATGTTTCTATTAACCACCAATTAGAATAATGATCCAATGGTGTTAGTAATTACCAATGTGTAGTTTTGCCTTGGGTGTATTTTCTAACCTCAAAATAAATATGCATTACACAATTTGCAGGTGACGACTACAAACCCAACAAAAGTTTGAATGCATCCTTCAGGGTGGACGAAACTGGGGCCACCAAGTACAAGCCGAAGTGCTGGGGTGCGACGGTCATCGGTCAGAAGGGCAACTCCCTCACACTGTCCGTCTTCGTTCCGGCAACTGTGCCCATCGGCGAGTGGGAATTCGCTGTCCAAACTATCGTGGACGTCAAGGACGGCAAGAACATTGTCTGGCAGTACGACCACACAGCGGACGCCATTGACATAATATTCAATCCATGGTGCAAAGGTGAGAACATCAGCTTCCTTCTGCTGCCAATAGGGGAACCATGAGTTCACAGATGGCAGTGTCATGTCAGACACGAGTCTGAATACAGCTACCATGGACTCATGCTTCAGCCTTGTATTTGTTAGGTTCTCCAAGATGCAAAACCGTTGCAATTTCTGGTTTTAAGAGGAAAAATATTGTTCACAATTCAAAATCCGGGATTTATTTACAGACGAGTTATTTGGGTTACTCATTGTGTTTTCGGAATGGTCTTTTACAGCTTTTTTTGTATGCGCTTCTGTTTGTGTTCTAATGCGCGGCGGCAACACAGGCACCCGGTATCTTTTGTAATATTCTGCCCGCCGTGATATTGCTGGAATATTGCTAAAAGCGGCGTAAAGCTAAACTCACTCAGTCAGTGTAATATTCTGTCACAGTAACCCCAAAGGCGGTTTTCATTGCATGTAGATTTTAGGAATTCTAAGACCAAAACTAAGAAAATTCTAAGAATCTTTATAAAGGCCCCTGAATGTTTATTTTTATTATTATTATTATCATTATAGGATATTTATATAGCACACATATCCACGCACTAGTGCATGCTCAAGGCGCTGGTATTTTTTTCCTCGACAATTGGATGTCAATCTCAACGGCACATCGTATTGTCAATCTCAACACCCTGGGGAGTATAAAACTCTTGCAGCCACAAGGCGCACCGAGTTATTGTGGCTTTCTCATCCTAACGATGTACCCATTCACAGCTGGGTGGACTGGGACACATAGTCGCAGTAATTTGTCCATGTTCACTGCACGTTGCTGTACCCGCAACTAGGATTCGTGGGTTCTTTAAAGTGCACAGGGTTGTGTACTGTACACTAGGGGTTGTGACAACAGTGAAAGAGTCTGCACACAAAGTTGACGCCTAGGTTTTTACACCCGGTCACATGTGGGCTCGATCCCGACACCTCAACCTCGCTGGATCACTAGCCTGGCGCCTTAGCCAGCTCGCCCACCGCGCCCTATGTTTACAAGATGAGAGCAAAGATAAATACCAATCGCTCCCTTTCAGCGAAACGAAGAGCTGTGCGGTACAACTCTAATTGCAGAAGAAACTAGATTACAAATACAACTACAATGAGTGTGATATCGTGTACGTAGACAAACGCCCTTTCAATGAACATCTAGGCAGAATAACACAATATTTGAAGTTAATTAAAAAGGACGAAAAGATCTATATCAAAGATTAAACTCGAAACTTCCAAAACTTTGTATCGATATTGGTCAACCTTCCGTTTCACAACGTATATCGACAAACTGCTTCTGTCTTGAAACGAAGGTTAAATATGAAGTTAATGTTTCAAAGTGCAATTAATGGTTTTGTGTGGATTCTAACAGAGGACTGGGTGTACATGGAGGACGACGTGTGGAGGACAGAGACGGTCCTCAACGACAACGGCACTCAGTACTACGGCACCTACAGCAAGGTCGGGGTGTCAGCCTGGGCCTACAACCAGGTAAAGGGAGCTGCATGTCAGGGTAGAGTTAAACCAGGCTTGTTTGGTTGTTCTTTAACGCCACACTCGGGATTGTATGACGGTGGTCTGTAAATATTCCAGTATGGACCAGACAACCCGGTGATTGACTTTATGAGTCGTGATATTGCTGGAATATTGCTAAAAGCGGCGTAAAACCATACTCACTCACTCACTCAAGGCAGTGTTCCACAATTTATTCCCAGATTTCCTCCCACAGCGCTATTCAGGTTGGTGATGAAAACTGTAAAATATTAAAGGAACGCTTGAATGTTCCTGTGTTCCTTTATTTGTTTCTCTCAGTATATATATGTAATGGTAAGAGAGCCCATCCACAGTTTCAACCGGTCAGTTAAGGTAATAGTTTCATGTCTAACTACTTCATGTCTGTAAGCTCATGCTTTCGACTGCAATGTTTCAGTTCAGTCTCATTGTCCCGACTCTGTGATGCCCATTACATTACCCACCCGTTCTTGCCCTTGGAAAGTTTGTAGTTAGGGGATAACTGTACTGTGTTTGACGAATTGGGGACGTATACCGGTGATTATATAGCCTCAAATTTAACGTTATATCGGCTACGCGCAAGCGTTAAATTTGCGGCTATATAACCACCGGTATACGTCCCAAATTCGTCAAACACAGTACAGGTATCCCCATTCTAATTCAACTCGTTTTACGCTGTTTTCTTGTGAAAGAAATTCATTATTTAAACCAGGTCAAAGTTCCCCTAGGTCAAAGGTTAATCAGATCACTCCTTGAACTTACACCATCGCCAGAAAAAGTAGTTCCCTTTTCAAACTACACACGTTTATTATGTGCACACAGACTAAATCTGACAATGATGAATAGATCATAGTATTATAGATAAAATGGACGGAATTATGATGTAACCGCCCTCTAGTTACAGAAATGAGCGGCCTGCTGATTCCTCAACTACGGGCCATTATCAGTTCTGTTGTCAAATGACGTCACAGTAGGTGACTTCACGTTCCATAATGACGTCATAAACCTTGTTTCATGATCTAACAGTGTTGGGTCAACAGCCCGTTGCGAGTAACTTGTTTGAACTTAAAATTAAATTTATGATACTGTTTTGTCTTTTTTAACACAGATTCCACCCATTTTAGCTGGAAAGGGGAGTTAATTAACCTAGAGCTTCTTCGAATGACAATGTCCTGCAAAGCAGCGGTACCCCAATAGTGTAGGGATACATTCAAAGGTTTTGGTGAATCGGTTTTCAAATTGCGACCGTATATGATTATACGGTCGGAAATTTATAGCATTGACCAATCATAACTCGTGTTACATACTACGTTGAATTAGAATTTAAGTTTTACAATGTCATACAATCAGTACAAAAAGAGTGTGAGGGTTTTACGCCGAAATATGTCACGGCGGGGACACTAGAAATGGACTTCACACATTGTATCCATGTGGGGAATCGAACCCGGTGACGAGCGAACGCCTCAACCATTAGGCTACCCCCACCGCCCCAGTTATCCATGAAGACGTGTATTAACATACAATAACAGGAACAATAAAACCCATTTATTCCACATGAGAGTCGTTTTTCCACGTTTCAGTGATCAATTAATGGTTACCCATCTATTCTTATTCCTATGTTTCAGTTCAGCTATGGCATATTGGACGCTGCTCTTCACCTTGTGAGGAAATCATACGGATTCCAGGCCACTCCAGCCATGGCCAGCCCAGTCAAAGTCTGCAGGAAGATTGCCCAGATTGTGAGTTTTACAACAGTGTCATTGATGCCATACATCTTTGACAGTCATTATACAACCAGCTCAGAGACTTTATGGCCTCGGAAACTGTTATGTATACTTATTTAAATATTCATGTACTGATTTAAATATTCTCCGAGTACAATACGAAGATGTGGTGTGGTTACAGGTTAACTCCTCCGACGATGACGGGGTCCTCGTGGGCAACTGGACCGGGAAGTATGCTGGGGGTGTTGCCCCGTCCACGTGGGTGGGTAGTGAGAACATCCTATTGAAGTATATGAAGACAGGGAAACCAGTGCGGTACGGCCAGTGCTGGGTGTTCTCCGCTGTCACCACGACTGGTAGGTTAATCATAGTGACACATCTGTTTAATGAAGATCAAAATATCAAACGACTTAATGAGGTTGACAGTCAAAATATGTTCGTGGCTGCAGTTCATATTTTAGAAGTCCTTTGTGGGAGAATCTTACCAATATGGACACACATGAATTTTGAACATGCACAAATATATCAGTAAAGGCTACCTTTTCCGTTTGTTGTCCTAAAACCCTCAAAGGTCGGTTACTTAGTAGCAACCAGGACATATTGGTTTCCATTTGGATGAATTTATACTAGGCTCAGCAATATATGTAATAGTGGACAAGCCAATTACCACTTTGCTTTCGGTACAAATCAGTGCAATATTTTCGCTTCTCTGTATAGTGTGTAGAGCTATTGGGCTGCCTTGCCGCAGTGTCACCAACTACTCCTCTGCCCACAACACCGACATGGCCAGGCTCAGCATCGACGTCATCAAAAGACAAGTGGGCCGCAAGATTGAAGAAGTCAGGGATGACTCCACATGGTATGTCTGGATGAGTGGGTGACTTTATTTTTACGCCGCTGTTAGCAATATTCCAACAATATCACGGCGGGGACACCAGGAATGGGCTTCACTCATTGTACCCATGTTGGGAAACAAACCCAGTCTTCGAAGGGTGACGAGCGAACGTTTCGACCACTAGCTTCCCCACCACCCCGTATGTTGGGAGGTAATATCCGGTTTTCAAAGCATAAGAATTATAGTTGTTCAGTGGTAGCGTGGTGTTGCATGCCTTGTTGAGCGGCATTAGACAGATTAAGCACGTCTGCATATTAAATATTACATTACAGTTTGATGAAATTTATAAATATCTTGGGCAGCTAACATTGATATCTCTCATGGAACAATCCAAGCTTTCCAAATTTGATGTACACATATAGTGTTATTTTGCCCTTTTCAAAGGCCCCATGAACCCGGCTAATGCTGATATTCGTTATGTTTCCTGCAGGAACTTCCACGTGTGGAATGAGGTTTACATGAGACGCCCGGATCTGAACACAGACGCCATGAAGTACGATGGGTGGCAGGTTATTGATGCCACACCCCAGGAACGAAGCGATGGTGAGGTTTCTCTGATATATTCTTCGAGACCTTGACCTTCAAGTTATGTTCAGTTCGATTGTTTCTATTGCTGCGCTCAAGTCTCTTGACGTAGATCTAACATAAGCTTTCTTGGTATGTAGGTGTGTACGTGTGTGGCCCAGCCCCTGTCGTTGCCGTCAAAGAAGGTCACCTAGATGTGGGGGACGACACCAGCTTCGTCTACGCCGAGGTGAACGCCGATAAAGTGGAATGGACGAACAGCAATCAGCTCAATGCCTTGGTGGAGACAAAGCGATATAGAAATGTGTGAGTCTTCAGGCACTACGGCGACTGGGTTATCGTGTGTGTGTGCGTGCGCGCGGGTGTGTGATTGTTGGCAGTGGTACACAGTAGTGAGTGAGTGAGTATGATTTTACGCCGCATTTATTCCAGCAAGGGGATACAGTGGTACACAGTAGTGAGTGAGTGAGTATGATTTTACGCCGCTTTTAGTAACAGTTCAGCAATATCACGGCGGGGTTACCAAAAATGGGCTTCATACATTCTGCCATGTGGGGAATCGAACCCGGGTCTTCATTGTGACGAGCGGACGCTTTAACCACCGCCCCCAAAGGAATACAGAGTAAGGTATGAGAGTATGAGAGTAACACAGTAGGGAATGGATGAGAGGAACACGGAGGTAGTTCGCTGGAAAACTGTACACGATAAGCACGCGTACGATACAGTTTTGTGGATTTGTAACTTTAGGTTTACGCCGCTTTTAGCAATATTCCAACAACATCACGGCGAGGACACGATAAATGGGCTTCATGCATTGTACCCATGTGGGGAATCGAACCCGGGTCTTCGGCTTGACGAGCGAACGCTTTAACCACTAGGCTACCCCACCACCCAGTTTTGTGGATAAAGAAGGTGTAAGTGATTGAGAAGGGAGGCGGCACTGGGTGAGGCGGCAACACAAGCATGCTATGTCAGAAGTAAAGAAGGTTGATTGGCCGATCTATCTTTCTACTTACTGATGTCTGTCGTTGCTTCAGTATCGGCAAGTGCATCAGCACCCACAAACCGACAGGGAAGCCCTACGTCTCTTCTTCAACAGGCAACTTGATGACTGGGGATGACAGGATGGAGAGGGAAGACCTCACTAAGTGCTACAAGTACGAAGAAGGTACGCCAATATTTACATTTAAGTATTTTGTCATTGTAGTCAAACCTATGGAATACTGTATGGGACATTTTCGCGATCTCGCATTCTCGCGATCTCGACCTTTGGAAACAAGCTAGAAATGCCAAAAGTGCGAGAATGCGAGATCGCGAGAACGCATTCAAACCTATATTGTTTTTGTTTTTGTTCCTGTATCTGATGGTTAATGCAGTGAACCAATTGCTGACGTTGGTTCTTGTTGCAGACGACTGCGTTAGGTCAGTCAACACACGTGAATGTGGTTCATGCAGCTTCACCAATATTCCAGCAATAGCACATCAGACGATTGAAAGGTCTTCGTCCATTTTAAAAATATGGGGGACTGATCAAGGTTACAACATTTAAGGCCTATTATCCAATTTATCTCTAGGCGTGCCTAGGGCACGCCACCCTTACGATGCGAGTACCTACGTTGCAGGAATGACATTCGTGTTCATGTCAAGATGAGAGGGTTTGACAATTAAGTGTATTTCAGGATCGGTAAAGGAGAAGGAAATTTACAGAGCTGCAGAGAGGAAGTTCCGTCTGATGAACGGTGACGACAGTGACCCGGCCAAAGCCGCTGCCCAGCCGCAGGTGAGTGGTGCGTGCGTGCATGAGTGCGTGCGTGCGTGCGTGCGTGCGTGCGTGCGTGTTTGTGTGTACATCTTTGTTGTGTGCGTGTGTGGTATGTTCGTTTGTTTCTGTTTTTCCTCTGTGTGTGTCTGTGTGTTTGTGTATGTAGGTGGTGGTAATGGTGGTGGTTAGAGGTGAAAATGTCCTGAGCTGTCTGTCTTGAGGGAGCCTGGGTGAATGTTGGTTTTAAAGTGTGTGGAGTGTTAGAAGTGTGTGGTTTGGTAAAGTCTGAGAAAGTAGGTGATACAGTTTGAGTGACTGAGGTGACTTCACGTACTGGCTGTTTGTTTAGAGATCTGTGAAAGAAACCGACAATCCTTCAAGTGACAATCCTTCAGTAGCTGTCTGTTACTGAAGAGGTCTGTGACGTAAGTAATGTGGTTTGAACTAAACCTAGTGCATCGACAGTCCAGAGGAGGTCTGTGACGTAAGTCGACAGTCCAGAGGAGGTCTGTGACGTAGTCAGAGGAGGTCTGTGACGTAAGTAATGTGGACTAAACCTAGTGCATCGACAGTCCAGAGGAGGTCTGTGATGTAAGTAATGTGGTTTGAGTGACTAAACCTAGTGCATCGACAGTTCAGAGGAGGTCCGTGATGTAATTAATGTGGACTAAACCTATTCCATCGACAGTCCAGGGGGGGTCTGTGATGTAAGTAATGTGGTTTGAGTGACTAAACCTGGTCCATCGACAGTCCAGAGGAGGACTGTGACAGTAGGCGATAATGGTTAAATTTAAACATATTTGATTCACAAAGTGAAAAGGATCAGAGACAAGTTCTTACAACTCCAACCCCTTTCAAAGAAGATGCATATAACAATTTACATCTAGAGCAACTATTAGAAGCAATCATTGTGAATTATTGATCGTAGGGAAATAATATAATACAACAGGTACACAGCAAGAAACTACTGCAATCGTTTGCTTGTATAAAGATGTGCTTTTTAAATATATGGTTGTTATTTTAATGACTACTCAGATCTGTAATACCATTAAGAAGAACTGACAAAGTAATCATAGAATTACAAACATCTGAAATAGCTTTAATCCTGATTCTATACTTACTGTATGACGCACCTGCGTATGTGGCACATTATGTTTTCTATTGCTGTAAGAAAAGTAAAGTGGAGCTAATGTATATAGTTCTGAATATATATTACTCCACAATGAGATCATGGATCATGAAAAGGTTTTATTCTTGTTTTAGGCAAGGAACTATTGCTGTAATTACTTAAATTAAATAATTCCCCGAGCCTACCCACTCAGGAACTATTTTATTTTGGTAAACTGGACTTTCGCAGTTCTGAATATACTCATGCCAATAATGGTTGTCACACCCCCACCCCCACCTCACACCCCTCGTCCCCACACACCCTCTCCAATTAAAAAATTGAAGGGGGTGACAACCATTATTGGCATGAGTATATTATAAAATTATTCTCCGTCCCGGTAGCGTTTCCAAACATGTTTCATGATATAGTGAATTAAAAGATATCTGCTTGGGAAGTCCTGGGTCTTCCATCAGGAAATTTCTAACTGTCAACTCGTTTTTTTTCCACAACCATCTCAGACTTAGCATGCATACTCGAAATAATTGTATTAGTGGTTGGTTGGTTTGTTGTTTTACGCCGCACTCAGCAATATTCGGCAATTTGGAGGCGGTCTGTAAATAATCGAGTCTGGACCAGGCAATCCAGTGACCAACATCATGAGCATCGATCTACGCAATTGGGATATACGGTGACATGTACTTACCATGTGAGCGAGCTTGACCACCTGATCCCATTAGTCGCCTCTTACGACAATCAAGGGTTACTGAAGATCAATTCTAACCCGGATGACGGGTGTGTTTTAGTGACTAAAATATGTCAGTTTTCCTGTTGAGATGGCGACAAATGTAGAACAGAAATTATTGTGAAGAAACCAGACTTCATCAGATTCGTTAAGCAGCAAATTGAATCAATGGTAGATACACGAGGCCAACCATTTTAGTACTGGGCAACGAACGGTCATCACGGTCTGGCAACTGTGACACCAGTCTTTCCATTGCAGACTGGCAACCTTGACATTGAGATTGAGGAGATTGACGATATCACAGTAGGCAGCCCATTCACCTGCAAGGTGAAGGTCAAGAACACTGGCAGTAAATCATTACGTACCGCCGATGTGATGCTCAAGGTGATGTACAAAACCTACTTCGACGCCGTCACGGGGATCGCTGCTGAAAGCACAGTGGACAATGTGAAGCTGAGGGCTGGTGATTGTATGTATATCCTTAATCCTCCATAATCTGTAAAAACCTATCTTGGGTGTATGGTGTGTATTTGCACCTGTACACTGCAACTGTAAATGTTCAGTCGTAATTGTGTACAAAGGTGAGTGAGTGAGTTTAGTTTTACGCCGCTTTTAGCAATATTCCAGTAAAATAACGGCGGAGGATACCAGAAATGGGCTTCACACATTGTGCCCATGTGGGGAATCGAACCCGGGTCTTCGTCATGACGAGAGGACGCTTTAACCACTAGGCTACCCCAACGCTCCGTGTACAAAGGTAATGGAAGACCAAACCAAACACTGACCATGACATAAGCCTCACAACAGGTTCCTCAAGTCATCAGTTTTGGACGTAAAGGATATCTGTAATTTTTCATCGGGTCCATGATTCTTGATTGGGAAGACGCAGAGAACAACGTCACTAAAATGTAAATCAACATCGTGTTATTACCAAGTATGTAAATCAACATCATCAAGATGATGTCGACTCTCAAGTCTTTTGAATTACATATCTATTTACTCGTTCTTTTGACAACCCCGTGTATATTTTTCCAGGCAAAGAATTCACCATAGATGTAACGAGAGAGGAAGCATGCGAGAGGCCTGAAGATGAATTCAACTTCGAAGTGAAAGCTGATGTCATTTGCTGGGAGGATGAGAGGGACAATGCTACAAAGGACCTGGACTTCCGCCTGAGGAAACCCGACCTGACGCTCTCGGTACTGACCCTTCATGAGACTTATATCAATACAGAAGCAGAACTCAGGACTTATGGGGTTTACCCCATGAGAACTTATGGGTAGCATGTATCCCAAGATATGCCCTGATATCCTTGAAATCCCCAGATATCCCTGATATCAACATATATTCTTTGATATACCCAGATACCCTCTACTATCTCCTGATATCCTCAGATAGCCATTGATATCCTTTGATATCAGTTGATTTCAACATATATTCAAATATCCCTGATATCGTGGGAATATACCCAGATATCCACGGAAGTCTTCTGAAATCCCAAAATAACATTTGTACAATATTCAGGTGACATAAAAATCCCACCTGCATATCTCATGAACAACGATGAGAGGTCTCTGGATATACAACTTCTTTATCATAAAGAATATAATTTCAAACTTCTAAATACCACTCAAAGATGCATATCTTATATCTGAATATATATGAAATGCATTATCAGTTATCATAATCAGTTTGCTGACACTTGCTGCATGCGTTATCCATCAGACACCTGTATCATGGCTGTTTGGGTATTTTGAAACTCCAAACATCAAGGCCAGAGAATTATTGAATATCTTCCGATAACTTATCTTGGTTGTGCATGAGAGAATAGTATGTAGCAGGTTTGTTGTTGATTATATAAAATGTTAAAAGTGGTGTAACATTCTGTTGACTCGGTGAACTATTTCTCTATAACCAGGGTCCGGCGACGTGCACCCTCTCTGATACAATCAGAGTGGAAGCTTCCTTCAAGAACCCACTGTCGGTGCCGCTGACGGGGTGCTCGGTGTCGCTCGCAGGAGGATTTGCCCCAGTAGGCATTACCAAGGAGACCATGGAGATTAGGTAAGGGTTTCTGATCCGACTTAAGAGCTGCTCTATGTTATTGGCTTTACCGACAGGTCAACTGATGCACTGGCAACATCTGATGGTGTGATGGACATACTCTGTGACACATGTGGCATAGGTATTGTGTATGAGATTTAACGAGGTGAAAACTCTGGACGGAAGTTACACCCACCATTGACATATCATGAGTTACTAAGATTAGATCTATCTATCTTTTTCTATGTTCATAGTAAAAGATAGCTAATTTCAAAACCCGACAGCGATCGAACAACGCAATGCTAACATCAACCCAGTTACTGACTACATTTGCCATGCGAAATGTCCATGAGAACTACCTTTGAATACTTAAAACCTCTGCAATGACTTGCTATTTTTCAGGAACATCGGGCCTGGCAAATCTTGGTCCACCACTCTCAATCTCTGTCCCAAAGAGGCTCCCCGCGGGGCGAAGGCACGAGCTGTTTGTTTGGGGTTCGATTCCAAGGAGCTTCCTGACGTTACAGGGAAGTTCTCCTTGGAACTTGTGGAAGAGGCTGCAGTAAAGATAACCAAGTAATTGAAAACTTCCTACAGCGTTATGTAACAGCGTTTGAAATGTATTCTTTTCTTCATTTTGTTAAACTTCCAAATATCTTGGTGATGGTAGAACTAATACGTGAACGCTTGCGTAGCCTTGATGGTACCATTTTAGGCTGATTGACGTATGGTATGATTGAGCGGCCACTGTGGTAGAACTTGGAGGCTGATAGGAAAGAACTTTGAAAATAGTGCCTTCCAGATTTGAGGAAAGTGTTCTCAGAGACCAGAGGATGATGTTTCATCTCTTTGATGATGCTGTTGAATAGATTTGCAGATGAACCAATGCTTTGAAGGAACCGTTTAGACCTTTGAATGTGGTTTGTATTGGAATGGAGAGATGTCCGACGATTTCGTACGGTTTTTGTCGCTTTTGTTTTTTAAGCTTTGGTGATACTTGTTTAGACATTTGATGTAACTGATTTGAAGGTGCCTGTGCAGGTGCTCTGGTCGATTGTATCTGAGACTAACTGAAGGATTGTATGCAATGTCTTGCCTTGCCAATACCTAGAAACTACAACATTGGTTACAAACATCACTCTGAACGCAAGTCATAATAACGCATACTGGTCTCGACTTTTGCAAATACAAACCAAACAATATATTTGTTTGATGTCTTTCAGTGGCATTTAGAAGTTGTACATTGATGTCCAAGATATTTTTATGGATTAAACTTCTTTTTCAATTTCTCTCACGACGTTTCGAGACCATTCCAGTTCACCTAATGAAGGGACCTGGAATGGTCTCGAAACGTCGTGAGAGTAATTGAAAAAGAAGTTTAATCCATAAAAATATCTTGGACATCAATATATTTGTTGCTTGATGGGTAGGGCTGGATACAATGACTGATAATCGGAAATATCGTCGATAGGAAATATTCTGAATGATTATCGATATCAAAATTGTGACTTTTGTGATAGAAAAAACTTTTAATTTTCTCGAACAATATACAGATTTAGGACTTTATTCTTGATCTGCTTCTAAATTATGTTCAGGACGCTGTTTTGTTAATAATCCATGCCAAAACATGTCACCACTCACCAGTGAAATGTAATTTTTGACACTTTTTTGCATTTTTGCTTAAAGTTATGTCTCCGATATTTATCGATGATCGATCTCTGTTATCTGTATCGTTAGACAGCACTAACACTTGGTGTCCAATATTTATCTCTTTTCTTCAACATATTTGTTTTATGCAGTTGTTCTCTCCAGTCTAAGTAAACTTAGGCTCAGTATTATTCGTTACACTGCTATACTGAGTCTAACAAACCCTAGCAGAAGGTCGCGTCAGCTAACCTTTTCGACTGACCAATCAGGACAAGCTTACCAAATCGCGAAAGTTAACACTCGCACATACCATTTGAACCTTTATCTCAAAAACTCGAACGATTCAGAATGCTATTTTTTCTGCAAGATCGCTTCCGAGTGATACACATGGAGGAGTAAACAATCGCTGAACATAGCGTTTTTGTCAATATTCAAGGAAGTCATCTTGCGGAAATATAAGCTAATAGTAACTATGTCATTAAAAAGCCCATAAGCGTATCACTGCAGGTCAAATAGCTGTGTTTTATGCGGATTTTCGTTTGTTGATAGATCAATGTCAGCGACCAGTGAAGAGAAAATCCAAAAACCGTTTTGTAAGTCCCGCCGAACCCAAACGAGTAGTCGTTGTCTGATTGGTTAAATCCGTTCGGCTGTCTCGCGTTTGATTGGATGGTCGTAGGTCGCTCAAAGGTTAGCTGACGCGACCTTCTACTAGGGCTTGTTAGATTCAGTATAGCAGTGTAACGAATAATACTGAACCTAAGTTTACTTAGTGTGTTGTTCACTCAATTGTAGCACAAGTTGTTATTTTCTTCCAGTAAACTGCTTATAAAGTATATGCCAGTGTTTCTTTTTCATTTTACTACTGCCGTCAATGTTCTGAAATGGGATCATGAGGTGGCACCATTTTGGGCCCAAGGAATCGGTTTACTGAGACTGGTTATTTGCTGACGGTTCGGGTTCGACCGTTTTGCTACAAAACAACAAGCAAATGCTTGATGGGCATCTATACGTTGAAAGGTAACATACCAACGTTTGGTATGGATATACAACTTCTTTATTATTTACAACACGACGTTTCTGGGTTTCAGCTCTGTACACCTCAATCAAAACATATCACTTAATCTCCTTGATGTCTGTACATCTCAATCAAAACATATCACTTAATCTCCTTGATGTCTGTACATCTCAATCAAAACATATCACTTAATCTCCTTGATGTCTGTACATCTCAGTCATTAATTCTATCTCACTGGCCTCCTGTACGTACTATATACTTTGCTTGTAAATCATATTCTGTCATTCATCTGACGAGGGGGCAAGAAGAGCCCAGAAACGTCGTGTTGTAAATAATAACGAAGTTGTAAATCCACACCATACGTTGTTAAACTACACATAAATCAACGATCTATGGAAGATTCCGAACATGTGGATGTTGCTTGGAATTTGATTAAAGGTAGCAGCATTAAAGTGAAAGAGAAGTCCGGTTTCATATGTCCTACAGTGTCATCCTGTGACATAAGTCTTAAATATGGATAGGCAGTCCGGGACAGTCTCCTCCTTTTTAAAACCTGTCGTCATCACTGATTTTCTGTGATTCTGTGATTTCAAAGCTGTTTTGTTTATTAGGGCCAATTAAATCTGAGTCAGAAAAAAGACTTTTTGTAAAGTGAGTGAATATGGTTTTACCTCGCTTTAAGCAACATTCCAGCACAATCTCGGCGTGAGACACGAGAAATGGGCATCACACATTGTACCCATGGTCGTCGGCGTGACGAGCGAACGTTGTAACCACTAGGTACCTCACCGTCCACTTTGGGTAAAGTCTAAGGATTCGTATTTCTTCCAGGATGAGTTTATTACCAATTTCCGGACTTGTACCCGACAATATATTTCATGACACCTATGTCAGCCCCACACCATACATACTCCTCTTACCGGAAAACGGGGATATTTTTCTAACCCTTGTAAATGAGTGTCAGTTATATACTTAGTGTCATTTGAGATTTCCCTTATTTAACTCTATGCTGTTTCCGTGCAGATGTTATTCTGCTTGTGTTTGAGTTCACTTCTTCTATAGCGTCCTTACTTAGCTGGGCGGTGGGGTAGTCTAGTGGTTAAAGCGTTGGCTCGTCACGCCGAAGACCCGGGTTCGAATCCCCACATGGGTACAATTAGTGAAGCCCATTTCTGGTGTCCCCCGCCGTGATATTGCTGGAATATTGCTAAAAGTGGCGTAAAACCAAACTCAGTCAGTCAGTCAGTCCTTACTAAGCTGAATCCACCTTGAATGAAATCTGTGGTGACGACCTGGCTGTCTTGGGTAATCGTGCCGCCTCAGGCAGACTGTTGGGTTCGCCTGTCTCACATTATTTTCCCATTCCATTTTGTAATGCAAAACCCCTAAATGACGCAAGTCTAAATTTCGTCAGCACCTAGTCGTATTCACACAGCTTCAATAAAATAGAAAACATGTCTCTTAACGAAAGCTGGCGGAGCGTGAACAATGGAGGGCGAATTGCAAACAACAGCAGGCAGATGTAGCTAGTTGAATGTGAACTTCAGTGTTATGTCAATACCTGAACTGACAATTTCAGCCAAATTATACTCACCAACCCACAACCATACCCGAATATGTGTCTCTCAAAGCACCGAGACCGACATCTTAATATCATTGTCAAGGGTTCACTAACTAAACTGTGTGTGTGTGTGTGTGTGTGTACGCGCGTGTGTGTGTATGTGTGAGGGTTTGAGTCATTACGGTGTATTAATCTTCATGGATACATTGCTTAATGCAACACAGCAGCCGGGCGTTTTCTTTACTCTTAAAAAATGTAGGGGAATTTCATTTTTGATTAACGACTGAAAAATGGAGAGATATATCGGAGTCAATCAATGTTGATATGATAATAATGAATGTTTTGAGAGTGTATCACCACTTACACTTCCTTATGACCATAGTTGTTTGTACAGTAATCGCTCTTGAATGATGGTTGGTGTATGGCGTGAAATTTGCATGTGTAAAATTTTCATTTTCAAACAACAACAAAAAAACGAAGGAAACAACTGTGTGATGTAGGGCTGGGACGGGTCCATATTTCCTGCCCGGAGACCCGACCCCCTATTACCCGACCCTGGTACCCGTTATAACACTAATTGCGAGTTATTCCCCTTCAATAAAATCAGTTATGGATGGGATTAGAGTGGCGTCTGGAAATATTTTGAATACTCGCATCAGGCACAAAGACAAACTGCACTTTGTGCACAGTGCAGCTAAGTCAGAAAGGAGGGAGTACGTAATGGATGTGGAAACATCTGAACAACAAACATCCCCCCGTAACAAACCAGGAGCTACAAACAAATGCCGTTCCAATCTACAGGCAAAATACAATTGAAGGTATAAATAAAAAGTGTATACCATTAAACTAACAAGTAAACAATGTAATGTAAACATAAAGTTTTCAAAGTAAATACCTCTCTCCCTCTTCTGTGGACTCATAATCCAATCACAGTAGTCAGACAGTCAGATTGCTTATTTACGTCTGACCATATGTACAATAAATAAAAAAAAAAAAAAACATAAAAAAATACAGTAAATATACTCTCCCAAAAAATGAAACGCATCATGAAAATAGCAATTTCATGTAGCAATGAATTAAAACGTGATTCATTTTACAAAAGGCTTTGCTCTGTTTATGAGTCCTATGGTGTTGATGTTTTGAAACATCACAACAAAACGCACCATCCGTAAAATACCCGTATTTAACAGCATGATTTTCAATTTCGGCGTGTAGTGTCACAGAATACACAATTCACACGCAATGCACGTGAAAGTTGGGGATCAGATAGTCTCAATGATGGGTATAGAAGGTGGATCGGTGTCTGTCGATTATTCACTGTATTTGGAATATTGTTGACGAACGCAAAATGCCACGTCTAAGTGAAGCCAACCGTCATATCGCCATTGGTTTGCTTGAAGCTGGCCAGTCTCAACGTGCAGTTGCCCGACGCATGATTGTTCACCAAAGCACCATTTCACGGCTCTGGGAGAGATATCGCCGGCAGAATTCGGTAGCAGATGCCCCTCGTATTGAGCGACCTCGAGCGACCACTGCGGCGCAGGATCGCTACATCCGGGTACATCACCTGCGTCATCGAACAACTACGGCGACCAGTACCGCTCGACAAATACCCGGATTGAGGAGGTTTTCTGCACAGATCGTCAGGAACAGGTTGAGAGAGGCTGGTTTACGTGCCAGAAGACCTTATTTTGGCACTGTGCTTCGACAACAACATCGTCGACATCGAGTTCACTGGTGCACCAACGTTCAGGCCTGGAACCTACCGAATTGGCGTAGAATCTGGTTCAGTGATGAATCACGATTTCTATTGGTACGACGCGATGGAAGAATGCGGGTGTACAGACGTCGACGTGAACGTTTCGCCGACGCTTGCGTTCCCCAGGTGGACAGATTCGGCCGAGACAGTGTTATGATATGGGGGGCGATCACCTGCCGTAGGAGAAGTGATTTGGTGATGATCCAGGGCAACCTGACAGCTTAACGGTACTGTGACGAAATCCTACGCCCACACCTCCTTCCAATCATTGATCGCCAGAGGGAGTTGTTTCAACAGGACAATGCCAGGCCCCACACAGCACGTCACACTAGAGACTTCCTCCAGAACCACAACATCAATGTGCTCCCCTGGCCCTCAAGATCACCGGACTTAAACCCGATGGAACATCTGTGGGATGCCCTTGACAGACGGGTGCGACGCCGTAACCCTCAGCCCCAGACACTTCAAGCAACTCGCACAGGCACTACAGGCTGCGATTGGGCAACACGAGATTCTGAGACTTAATCGTTCGATGCCGAGGCGATGCCGTGCAGTTCTGGATGCCCACGGTGGTCACACGAGGTATTGACTTCAGCGCCACCACACGTCTCCATGTGACACTCAAACTGATTTCCTCGAGTTGGTGCCAAAGACGGGTGAGTCTGCATTCCCAGTGTGCAATTTCGCTATATTTCATTGACTCATAAAGCCTACAGGATGTTTCAAAATAAACAAAAAAATACAGTTGAAATTCCTATATGCGCTTCTTTTTTGGGAGAGTATATTATAAAGGGAGTTATGAGAGACGGTTGATAATTAAATATCACAGAACAATATATTCGAAGCATATGAGTAGATAAAATGACAATTGAACTACAAAAATATGAAAATAAAATGTTAAACTTATTTATATAAAATTTGGCGGCGTCTTAAAAGGGTTTTAAAGCAGTTTTTTGCACGTACGTTTATAAGATCTTGAGAGCTTAAAAGGAATGATGACGTCTCAATTTCCGATAAGAGGGTAAAACGTGGCATGAAACACTTTGCTGATGTTAAAGGGTCTTCTCTTAAATAGTCGTTAAGGCCTCTGTTATATCGAATATTGATTTATGGATTCTGTAGGACAGGCCCTCGTGTCTATGCGAGGATCAAAGATTTTTTTATAAATATATAAAAATTTGAGACGACCCCCGACTCGAAATGCTTCACAATACAATACATCATGTATTGTACTGTGAAGCCTTTCGAGTCAGGGGTCATCTCAAAAACAATATTTTTAAAATCTTTAATCCTTGCAAAACACGAGGGCCTGTGTTCTGTAGTGCCAGAGTTTGTTTTTCCCCGATCCCCGTTTTGCGTTCTCCAGGTGTGATGAAATTTCCCTTGTTTTCATAAAAGCTTGTAACGATAGTTCTTCACAGTCTCTTACAGTGATGATGTTGTTTAAAAGAGCATCTTTGGTGATTCCCAATGTGTTCATTCGCCGGTAAAAAAGCTAAGTGCCAAGGCTTGTGTCTGTTCCGTGCTTGATTATTTTCCCAATTAAAAACATAGGGCTCTATACGTTCTTGGTCCATATTCATCATTCTCCTCCAGTAACGAATCAAGCATATATCTTGTCGTACACTTAGTTGCAGGGTTCCATCCCATGTCACCAATAACATCTTCATTAGCCTCGACTTCAATAGCCTAGACCTAGGTAAAATCTCCTAGCACGGTTTTGAATTGCGTTGATTGATGAATAGTCTTGTGTTCCATAGATTGAAATGCCTTAAGTTATAACTGGCCAAGGTAAATGCATCGTACAGTTTGGTAAATGTTTTGAAACCGAGTTACCTTATCGGTAACAATAGGTCTACCTTCGCAGTTTGTTCAGACTCTATTTGAGGCGGACGTCTGCGTTCTTGAGTCATTTACATGTAAACAATAAACTACTTGGCGTACTTGCAACCTATGTTACACGTGACATGCTTAGTTGTTGACAGTTGATACCTTGTGCTAGTTTAGTCAACAATCTCAAACAAAAGACAACAATCTCGTTGTAAATATATATAATAATTATAAACACATTCAATTAAGTCTTAATTTATTAGTCACGTAATCAAAGCGGGTCCGGGTAACGTGACGGGTACCCGGGTCCAACTCATTACCCACCCGTCCCGGGTACCCGGGTTACCAGTCCCAGCCCTACTGTCCTGGCCTGCTGGTTGCACGTCACAAACACATGCAAAGGCTAGTCAACTGATCATCTAAAAATTGTATGGTATAAGTCAAAATAGGGAATGACAGGAGACTTGATTTTCACCACTTATGCGTGATATTTGGAATTATCCCCAACATTTCTACCATTAACATCGTCAAAGCCTTTACTGAGACCTTGGATAGTTGTAACCTTGATCGAACAACTTCTGAGTCGTATGACTCATCGATTCGTATGAATCGATAAATTTGTTTTAAAAAACTCAAATGTGGAATGGAAATTGATTCCATGTTAATCTTTTACTTTCGATAAACACTTCCGGGTAAACTATTGGTAGGTTCGCGGTCCACAGATCTATCCCGGCAGCAGAGAGGTTTGTATTCACTGACAACATGGAGAAACTGAGTAAACGTGATGAGCTACAGCTGAGGGAGGTTGATGTCGCCCATGATCGGATTCACCGCCAGGCTTCTCTCGTACTGTATCCCACTATTAATGTTAAAGCTGTAAACAACGAACCCAGTGCTAACTTGTACGAATGTGACTAAAGCTGTAAACAAATATCACGAACCCAGTGCTAACATTGTGCTTGTACGATGTCAAAATGTTGACTGTTGATGGAATCAAAGCTATCGTGGCTGCGGATAACAATAATAAGAGAATAATGTTACATTATATGTCAGAAGGAAGCAACTATCAGAAGCATGTACAATCGTCCTTGGCAAATACCAACATTACTTAACAATCATATAGCTGTTAGTGTTCCAAATGGGAAGGAAATAGTCACAAATTTAGTTCGTTTTTCAACGCCACACTCATCATTATTACGGATAAATAATCAAGTCTGGAACTCGGAACTTTGGAACTTTATAAAAAGTTTCTTTGACATGTTTTTTAAGTGAGTTTGTAAAATAACTAACATCTAGGCATTTTATCAATTGCCTAACTGATAATACGTTACACATACAACGAAACTCAGTGTTATCAAAGCTCCAATGGAGCTCTATGAAAGTGAATAAAATTCTGTGAGAGCAGCATTTCATTATTTAATCCAGTCAACCATGTATATTAAATTTATGTCTTGCATTAAATTTTATGCTTTGTAATTACACACGCACGCGTACGCACGCGCGCACACAAATCTATTTTATACCTACCTCTTTTGACCTTTTCCGCTATGAGACAATTTCCGTTTTGGGTAATTGGTAAAGCGTTCGCTTGTCAGGCCAAAGTGCCGATTCCCACTTAAAGTTAAAGGGCAAGTGTACACGAAAATTAACCTTTTTGTCTTGCACTTTTTCTTCATAAAAAGTGTTTATCAAGTAGTTTTATATCCAAACCAGTATATATATTAGAAGTAACTAATTTATTATTTGCGTTATATCAATTCATATTTTCAACATTTACCAAGAGTTCTATATCCACAATAAACACACCATGGCTTATGTCCCTTGGAAATGACGTCATTGGTGCCCAAACGATAAACGAATGACGTCGTCAGACCTTATTAGACCCATTTCACGTGGTGCAGGTATAGGTGTGGTTCTTGTGTCTCGATGCGCAGGCTACTGTTTTAATCCACATGTTGCCTAGCCGTCAGCTGACTATGTTGTCAGTTCTACACTGTAATGACGTTGCAGTATACATTGTACTAAAAGTGTTACCACGTAACCAAATTGTATAACATATTCAACCTGAGTCGGTCGCCTTTCCAACAGTATCTTTTTTCATGAAACCTTAAACGTATATGCACTACATCTTGCTTGCCATCGGTGAATGTGCCGGCATTCTACGTTTGTTACTAAAGTTCTTACATAAATCGTACGATTCATCGTACCTTCACTTTGATATCGATAGTACATATCCAAATACATCACGCAGATAAATGCAATTTGCAGTTTTGAACACTGTTTGAAATTCGTTTTTCTATGATATCATCCGCTCATTGCAGATCAAATTTACTGAAAATTACATGCTTCGTAAATCTTGCCAGTTTTGACACATTACTAAATCACCATTCACTGCGTTTTGCGTAATTTATGGTATGTCTTAATTCAAATGTCAAATTTTACTGGGAGAAAGACGTGATCATTGTGATCAGCGATAGTTTTGTTGTTGTATGATCGAATCACCAAAGCTCGTTCTGAAACATTATCGATGAACCGAGAATCGCTGAGAATGTTTTGGAAAATACGCAAACGTCAAAGTGAATTTTCAGCTATATTACATAGAGTTTATAAAATCACGTCTATGTCGGTTACGTTTCGTCCATGAAATCAATTGTATAATTCAACACCATCTTCCTTACATGAATCCCTGAATTCCTCATACAGTTCAAAATAAACTGACAAATGGACTCTGTCACCAATACAAAGACGAAGTGTTTCAGTGAAATCTAACGAAATATATCGAGGATATAAGATGCCGCGCTGTGAAAGAATACTTGTTTGAAATGTATACAAAGCCAGTCTCAGATTTTACACAGTGTATCCGTTCGCCTACTTGTTGCATACAATTGCTCATTAGTTTTAGAACATGCGTGGGAAAGGTATCGTAGCAAGAGATAGTTAAATAAAACAGGTGTATTCCAATGATTTTCTAGATTCGTCACAACATATTATAGTTTTTGAAAGCATGGCGCAATAACTGACGCAAACTCACGCACAACGATGACGGTACTTCTCTTAATTTATGACTATTTCCCTTGGTCACAATAAACCAAAAGAAAATAACAACCAGCAGACTGACAGAATTTTCGGACTACTTACATGTCACATTTATGCATATACGTTGCTTGAAACAACGAAAATTTCCTTCGAAAACTCCGGCGTACTCATGTCAGTGAACACGCCATTTTGAAAAAGTCGCTTCCCGATAGTGATGTCATACGGACGTCAACATTGTTATACATATTTGGTATTTTCTTTGAGGCGAGGTTATGAATGAAAATACACACGATCAATCCGTCCTGCTGCTTACATGTTCTGTTCTTATGCTTCTTCGTATTTTCACAAACTTTTTTTCACGTGATTTACATCAGTATTATTATCTTTTGATTTGGGACTAGACAGGAGACCAGTTTAAAATCAAGTGGCACCAATTACGTCATAACCAAAGGGCGGTAACTCTGGCCTGTTTAGCTCGGCAAACAAATACCTCATATTGGCATTACATTTCAGCACTTATTTTGAGGGTTATACTTACATTGTAAGAAAAATGAGTGTATATTTTCAAACATTGGTATTAACTAATTAAAACAGTTCACTTTGATTCATATAAGAATAAATGTGATTTATTCGTGTACACTTCCCCTTTAACTTTGTGGAACCCATTTCAGTTATATCCTACCGTGATATTGCTGATAAGTTTATAAAGAATGTTATCATGCATGAAGTCCTTCCTTGATTGTAGTAAAGAAAATCATGTTCATTGAGGTTTATAAAGGATGTTATCATGCATGAAGTCCTTCCTTGATTGTAGTAAAGAAAATCATGTTCATTGAGGTTTATAAAGGATGTTATCAAGCATGAAGTCCTTCCTTGATTGTAGAAAAGAAATTCATGTTCATTCTCACATAGAGGTTTATAAAGGATGTTATCATGCATGAAGTCTTTCCTTGATTGTAGTAAAGAAAATCATGTTCATTTTCACAAGAGGTTTATAAAGGATGTTATCATGCATGAAGTCCTTGTATAAAAGATGACCTATTTTCAGACATTTCCAACTGAAAAATATATATATAGTATGTACATTTTCAGTCGACAGAATGATGTTTGTTGTTTTTCTTTGGCAGGCCTGTCCAAGGACAATTATTCTTGTCGACCTCAGAAACGAGGCGTATACATCCTCAACAGTAATAACCTCAGCTGCCGGGTCAGGGTAAAGATCAACTGCCAGGATAGCTTCTGAAGGACAACTTAACCTCTCACCTACATCCACACTCTGGTACTGACCGTATACAAATATGTGTATGTATGTTTGTATATACTGTCACTGACCGCAAATCCATCATCCATCCATTCATCAATATACCTTTCAAGAGCGATTACTATACAAACAACTAATAGTATGGTCATAAGAAAGTGCTAGCAAGTGGTGATGCACTCTCAAAACATTCATTATTATCATTTCAACCTTGATTGACTCCGATATATCTCTAAATTTTTCAGTCGTCAATCAAAAATGAAATTTCTCCTACAGTTTTTAAGAGTAAAGAAAACGTCCGGCTGCTGTGTTGCATTAAGCAACGTATCGATGAAGATTAATACACCGTACTGACTCAAACCCTCACACACACACACACACACACTCTCTCTCTCCCACTCTCAAACTCTCACACACTCACACACTCTCTCTCTCTCTCTCTCACTCTCCCTCTCTCTCTCTCTCTCTCTCTCTCTCTCTCTCTCACACACACACATACTCTACGCATACTCCACGCATACTCGTGGAGTTGTGAACAACCTCACATTAATAGTGAACTATGTGTCTAATTATATCATTATGTCCTTATATTTATAGTGAATGGTCTAATTGAATATATGGCATTGGTGACTGATAGTGTTTTAAGGTTAAAATGGGAGTAACCGTGAATATGAGTCAACAATTACGACTGTCGGAGCTGACCTTGCCCACTGAACGGGAAACGTGTTGACAATCTTGATGCACATGCGCCAAACTCCATCACGTGTTGATCTTTACAACGCATGATACAAGTGTCTTTACTATTTTATGTGGCCCTTAACGAGTATTTGATCAATCGGCTGTACATTCTGTCGGGAGTAATGAGAAATAGAGAGCTCGAACAAAAAGATATATGCTTCTCATGTATTGTTAAAACATTGTTTTTATTATCTGATGCTACCTAATTACTTTAATACTAATATCGTTACATTTGTTATATGACGTACTAATTATGCATATTATCTAGATTATACAAATCTGAAAATACTGAATAGTTTATTTAACAACTTTTGACATGGTCGACTACAACATAACCGTAAATTATATACAGAGGAATAATAACATGTACATGCACCAATCAGTTGATTTTATCATATGCTTTATATTAAACGAATTGTACTGGCGCTTAACCAACATTGGTAGTTGGTTGTATGTTTTTTTAGCAAATTGGTGCGTTTCGAATCCTTTCTTAAAACATTAAGCTGACTTCTCTGTTAGCATAAGAATTGAGCGTAGCACCCCCTCTCCCTACCCCACACACCAAAAAGATTTTTAAAACTTAATAATTTAAAAAAATAACAATTAAAATGCAAAATTCTAAAAATGATCCAGGTTACAATTCAATACAAGTTATTGCAAAGGAATTGAACTGGCAGTGCAAAAACAATGGCAGTATACAATAACAGTGCAAATACAATGGCAGTATACAATAACAGTGAAAAAGAGTAAGCGATAATATTCATTATAGGCGGTAGAATATTAACCCAAGACATCATTGAACCACAATATTTTTACAGATTGTTTTCCAGCCTCATTTTACGTTTTACATGTTTTAAAAGTAAATGAATACATTACACATAATCACTTTAACAACGGTTCCTTCTTTTTACATTTAACTAAAACTCGGTATACGTTTTTCAGTCCTTAGTTTAGATGGTTGAGAGTCACATGAAAAATATGCTCAATCAATGAGTTAGTGAGTGAGTTTAGTTTTACGCTGCACTCAAGTCAAGTCAAGTTTATTGTATTCAAGGCCTCCGGCCCATATACAGGAGTTACATACATATACATAACTATAATACATAATACAATGACAATTATGAAATTACTTGGATAACCTATCATTTCTCAAGACAACAGCATGTTTTACAAATAGAGAAAGGTTACGGATAACAGTTTCATTTCTGGAAGTGAGAATCGAGACAAAGGCTATTGTTGGGTAATTTGATAGATAATTACTTGAAATATATTTTCTTCTCTAAGATCATCATAATATGGACATACAAATATAAAATGAATTTATCTTCAAAAGATGAAGTGCATAATGGACAAATTCTCATATTTCTTTCTACAGACAATCTTCTTCCTATATTAATACTTAAATCTAATAAACCTAGTCGGAGCTGAACAAATGTGCGTCTGATATTTCTTGATGTAATATTCCAGCTATATGGCGGGGGTCTGTAAATAATCGGGTCAGGACCAGACAATCCAGTGATCAACAGCACGAGCATCGATCTGCGCAATTGTGCTCATTCAAACAACAGTGACATCACATTCACCTTTTGTAACCTTAGCCTCGGTTACAAAGTGAAGTTGTCAAAGATGTAATAAACACATGTGTTAGGAAGGAATAGGAATAGCCACATCTTGTTCTGATGGGTTTAGTGAGTGAGTGAGTGACTTTGGGTTAAGGCTGTTTAAAACGATATTCCATGAAACCGTTGCATAAAGCTATCGTAGCGTTAAGGTGATCTCCGATATTTACGATAGTGGCAGCGCTAATATCCCTTTGTGCAACATGATCTAGTTATACCACTCGTGTGATGTGAGACGAAAGTCCGTGGTTTACCATTTTGGCGAAAGTACCAAGAACGGATATGGTGGTAAGAACCAAACTTACAGCCTCTGTGATGACTGGCCATCCCTCGCCCAGGCAGAGGAAGGGAAAGGCAGGGCCATAACACGCGTCAGACAGACAGACAGACAGACAGACAGACAGACAGTTTACTAAAGTCTAACCTTGTTACATTACATAATTAAAATTTTACATATACATAAGACGTAAAAAGCCACCCTATGTGTGAGTTATGAGAGACGAACCATAAAATATTAACACGTCACGATAGCATCATGAAAACTATTACAACAGTGTACAAAACTTATAGAATGAGGTACATGAATAAAACCAAGTAAAATTATCACATAACATAATAACGATTTAGACACTATATAGATCATTTACCTATATACACAAATACATAAAAAATACACATAATGTCATACAATATCTGTTTTCGGATAGATAAAATAGTTTTCAGTCCTTGACCGCAGACAAAATCACTTCTGGTCTGGAGAGTATAAAACCTGCTTTCTGAGTATAATTAAAATTGGCAAATTAATCTCTGGTATCTATATAAACTGTTCAGTGCAGAAAAACGTGTGCTTCGTCTTCCATAAAATCGTTGCGTCATGGGCATGTTCATTCTTCTAAAGAAGTGTTGTTGTAGCGCCCTGTCTCAATTCGAAGACGTGCTACTCCACATCGAAACAATGTCACTTCTCTGCGTTCTGCTAAGACGACTATAAACGTAAGGTTCTATTTCATATTCCTTAAAAATGCAGTAAGTTCTTAGTTTATTGCCGTGGACACCATTTCTTCCTGTAGGTTGGCTGATTTGATGGCGCCAAGAAGGCACAACATCTTCCATCATGTTCCTGTTATACAAGATACCACGTAGATACCGCCATAAGCATGATTAAGTTGTCTAGAATGACTGGTTCCAGTATAATCAAACTTGTGGTGGATTCTAAAAACCTGCTTTCGCTTACGACGAGATTCCCAGTTACTTACTCTAAGTACTTCACTCAGTACATGGTGAACATAGTAACAACGCTTTGGATTGCAGCATTTTAAAGATATCACTTAAATGCACACAAAAGACTTAAAATACCCAAACCTAAGTGCTAAATTCTTGGGGCGTCATTGAAATCTTCATCCATGTTTAAATTTCGCATATTTTACGGATAAAGTGCACACAAGACACATATATTTTTCCGATTAAACAGAAAAAAGAAAACAAAAGTCGACATTTATGCAAGTATGTCCAAAGGTAGATAACTCAGGTCTGACCTTGTCACAGGAGACCCTGACCTAATTTCCTGAACAATTAATCCAAATCCCTTTTTCTCTTCTTACAAACTGTATTGCTTTACCCAAACTGACAAATAATCACCATTATCTGTTTAAATACTCCCTGATTATAGCCTTCCCGAAGAAATCAGTTGTTTCTTTTTCAGCCAGGGTTGACCCCATAATTAAAACGGTGAAACACATAGTTGCCAGAAGTTGATTTTCCTTGGGGTTAGTATGGTGTAAGATAGTATGTTTATAATTCATATTAACATGAAGTGTGTCTGTTATAAAATGTCCTGTCTAAATATGTTACAATATTTCTACTGACCTAATTATAGAAATACACATAGATATATGACACGTGTCATGTCTAAGTAAAGGCTACAGAGGGATGTTGTTTTGACAAGGAGGAAATAATTCTACTGTGCTCTCAACCAGAACGCTACGAGCTGTCAAGCAAACGTTTGTGAGGATACGGTGTCAACGGTCACATTCTCGGCTGGCCTTTTGCCAATATGAACTTAACGCACAATTATCCTGATTTGATGACATAAATATATAATTGGATAAGAGCACAATTGAGGAAACACCGCTCTGACCATACAAGCTGCCAGCTGAACAGTGGAGGACAACATTCGAAACATGGCGGACCTCGAGAGCAAGGAAGACACAGTAACAAGCAATGTAGCTAAGAAAGAAGGGGGGCCTCTTCCAACTACCCAGGAATCTACTGCATCAGGACCCGCCGTATCAACTCCTGTAACTAGCTTTGATGTCGAGGACCAGACGGCTGTTTCCCCGGGCGTGGAACGGGGGTATTGGGGCTCCAATGCAGAGTTTATAATGGCCGCTTTGGCCATCACCATAGATTACAGTCTGATATGGAGGCTTCCCTATATGTGCTACAGGAACGGAGGGGGTAAGTGCTCTGTGTTGCTCAAGATTGTTAACAACACAATGCTGTAGTTTTCATACATTTGTTGTTGTGTTGTTAAAGGCCGGATTCAGCAATATCTCAGCAATATGGTGGCTGTCTGTAAATAGTCGAGTATGGACCAGACAATCCAGTGATTCAAATCATGAGCATCGACCTTCGCAATTGGGATTCGGTGATATGTGTCAAGATGTCAGCGAGTCTGACCATCCGATCCCGCTAGTCGCCTATTACGACAAGCATGGTTGCTAAAGACCAATTCAAACTTGTATCTTCACGGGACGTTTTAATATATGTCCATGTAAATATAACGCGTATTCAGTGTTGAGTTTGTGTTGTCACGTACCCAATACCAAGAGACTTACATGGGGGTGATACTAGCCGACAATATGCAGGTTCTTATATGTGGGGATGTAGCCGGTATTCCAGGGCTTACAGATAAACGTATATACACTAATCAGGTATATATTACTTAGGAGAAGTGTACATAATATCAAAGAACACGGAAGAAATGGATAGGAATATATAATAATGTAATTCTGAATATATACAAATACATTCTGTCCAGGAATATGTAAAATCGTACATTCTGTGAAGGAATGTGTAAACATGTCCCTGTGAGGTGAGATGATGTGAAATTGGGTTTAACGTCTTGCTTGAGAATATTTCGCTCATATGACGACGTGCATGCGTGTGTATGTGTAGGTGCTGCTGCTTGTACTAGCCCAGACTGAAGCTAGTTTTATAGTGCTAGCCCACTGAGATACCATGCCACAGCGAAGCATGAACACCCCACTCAGACACATTATACTGACTCCGAGCTGACCAGTCCTTGTTGTACCCATTAATGCCGAGCGCCAGACAGGGACCAACAAGTACCATATTTTAACGTCTTTTGGTATGACGCGATCGGGGATCGAACCCGCGACCTTCCGCTCTCCGGGCGGACGCTCTGTGTACCTGTGTCAAAGAGTATGACTAAGTGTACAAAAAGGCATACGCTAAAGAGTACATTCTACATTCTGTCGAAGTGTACATGCTTTGAAAAAACATTTTGAAGAATTAATGTACTAGTGTGAAGCAATATGAAATGTCAGGGAGTATGTTGAAATATGCACTTAATGTCAAGGAATATCTAGAAATGTCCTGAATGTCAAGATACATGCTGAAATGCACTTAATGCCAAGGAATAACTAGAAATGTACGTAATGCCGAGGAGTATGTTGAAATGTACTGAATGTAAAGGAATATCTAGAAATGTACATAATGACAAAGAACATGTTGAAATGTACCTAATGACAAAGAACATGTTGAAATGTACCTAATGACAAAGAATATGTTGAAATGTACCTAATCACAAAGAATATGTTGAAATGTACCTAATGACAAAGAATATGTTGAAATGTACCTAATAACAAAGAATAGGTTGAAATGCACCTAATGACAAAGAACATGTTGAAATGTACCTAATGACAAAGAATATGTTGAAATGTACCTAATGACAAAGAATATGTTGAAATGTACCTAATGACAAAGAATATGTTGAAATGCACGTAAAGTGAAAAGAATATGTTGAAATGTACCTAATGACAAAGAATATGTTGAAATGCACGTAATGACAAAGAATATGTTGAAATGTCCCTAATGACAAAGAATATGTTGAAATGCACGTAATGACAAAGAATATGTTGAAATGTACCTAATGACAAAGAATATCTTGAAATGTACCTAATGACAAAGAATATGTTGACATGCACGTAATGACAAAGAATATGTTGAAATGTGCCTAATGACAAAGAATATGTTGAAATGTACCTAATGACAAAGAATATGTTGAAATGTCCCTAATGACAAAGAATATGTTGAAATGAACCTAATGACAAAGGATTTGTTGAAATGTACCTAATGACAAAGAATATGTTGATATGTACCTAATGACAAAGAATATGTTGAAATGCACGTAATGTCAAGGAATATGTTGAAATGTACCTAATGACAAAGAATATGTTGAAATGCACGTAATGACAAAGAATATGTTGAAATGCACCTAATGACAAGGAATATGTTAAATGTACCTAATGACAAAGAATATGTTGAAATGCAGGTAATGTCAAGGAATATGGTGAAATGTACTGAACGTCAAGGAATATGGTGAAATATTCAAAATGTTTGTTTGTTGTTTAACGGCACACTCAGCAATACGTCAGCTGTATGGCGGCTTGTACCTAATGACAAGGAATATGTGAAATGTACCTAACATCAAAGAATCTGTTGAATGTACTTAACGCCAAGAAATATATGGAAATGTACGCACTGTCAAGGAATATGTTAAAATGCACTTAATGTCACAAAATATGTAGAAATAAATGTAATGTCAAGGAAAAGATGTATTTAGTGTAGATATGTAGACAATGTTCGGGAAAATACATACTCAAAAGTATTTCGATATCCACAAAAACATTCTGCTAAAGGTAGAGTTCAGTCAACAATTCCGACTATGTCCTCAACATGAGTTGATGAATCACTAGGTTGTTCCAAAGTTTCACAAAAAAGGTGAGCGTATCCTGCCCTTCCGGTTACATTCGTCACAAATATATACTATAGTAAAAGTGTTTGATGGTGTGTAGATGATATAGGAATGTATCCAATACATACTCACAGGCATCCGACAAATCTGGCAGAACTAGAGCACTTACATTTAGGTATGTAGGTAATGATAAAGCACATTTCAAATAACTTTCGAGGGGCATTCATTAAATATTTCCCCTGACCTACTTCCGACAGACTTAGACAAACAAAACTAAGAACAATTATTAGTCTTTCTCAAATAGACACCACCAAGAGTTATACACTTTTCCCATCGTTGTATGCAACTGTGGGGGCCATGTTTGTGAAAGTCGGTGGGTGGAGCATCAAGCCACGAGTTCGCTGCGGAAATCAGTGTTTCATCATCTGGTAAACGTGTTCCCTTCAAAAATGACATCATGGTTGGAAACGGGTGAAGTCAGATACTGCCAGTTCAGCAGAATAGGGTGTGTGTGGAAGGATTTCATAGTCACAGTAGCGAGCTTCTGTCCGGGCAATATGCGAGTTGTGGACTGGGGCATTGTCTTGCAGGAGACGGACTCCTCTGGTCAGCATACCGCGCCTTTTGAGTTTGATAGCATAGTAAGTCCCAGTCTTTGTGGTACCCTTTGCCAAGAAATCCGCCATCACCACTCCGTGCTGGTTCCCGAAGACAGTGAGCATGACCTTTACTGCAGAGGGTTGAACCCTTACCTTCAGTGATGGTGGTGAGTCAAAATGCTTCCACTGCATAGACCGGACTTTAGTCTCTGGTCATAGTGATGAACCAATGTTTGATCCTGTGTGACATGTCTGCTCAAAAGGCTTTCTGGTTTTCTGTACACATGTCAAAAAGAGTCTTTGAACAACTGACTCGCTGCTGAAAAGGAGTGAGCTGTCCCGGAGTCCACCGTGCACACACCTTATGCACGTGAAAGTAATCGTGAATGTTTTTTTCCACAGACCCTACACTTATCTTGATATTTTGGGCTAAGTGGCGAACAGTTATCACGTCTAAAATGGCAGCCTCCACTTCATGGATGGTGTCGTCATCAATGGCAGAATGGGAGCGCCCAGGAATGGAAGCGGTTTCAAAAGATGTTCGGTCACACTTGAATTGACGATGCCACTGTTTTACAATGTCATGGGGCATCATCCCCATTAGTTTCTTTCATTTCATCGAAGGTCTCCTTTGGCGTGCGAACTTTCAAATATAAAAACCTGATCACTGCTTGGTACTCGACTGGCTCGATTGTCACACTCCAATCTAACACTTGTGAAAGAGGAAGCAGAGTTCAGTGCTGAAATTATCATGTGACCTTTATCTTCATGTAACGCTACATAGATATAATTGCAGCCAGATTTGAGAACAGGGTCAGGGACAATCTTTAATGAACGCCCCTCGTATTTTTAGGATATACGTCCCTAGTTTTTAGCCTATACCTTGACCCGATACATCAATGTAAGAAAGAAGCATCAGTTGTCTTTGAATGTAACCCGTCAAGTTTGTCCTTTAAAATGCTCATATCCAAGAGAGCTCCCTAGGCTTCACTGCCTCATCAGGCGTATGTTCTTAGGATGATATACAAGAAAATGAAACATTTTGTAACGCTGTCCAGATATCCTATAAAGAAATGGGGCGGTGGGGTAGCCTTGTGGTTACACCGTTACGCTGAAGACCTGGGTTCAATTCCCCTCAGTGGGTGAAGCCCATTTCCGATGTCAGCTCGCCTTGATATTCCTGGGCTATTGCAAACAGTGAGGTTATACCATGCTCACTATTAGTACCATGTATGCTTTGAATAAGCCCTGAGACTATGTGTTCCTGGACACATTTATAAATGAGTGCGTTCAGTCCATTAGTGGTATCGGAAAATACGAGAGTTTCAACAGCAAACAGAAGCAGGCTGCGTTTGTCAACAGGTTCCATTAAATGTTGATAACATTTAGCACTTATGCAATCCCATGTTTGTTTGAAGGCAATGCGTGCAGACATGTTTAGTGCATGGAATGTGATTGTATTCTTTCATCTGAGGTTCCGTGTCAATTATATATGACATTTTCATTAATTACATGGTAGTTGCCGAGTACGATTACATGAAACTGACCAGGGCTAATAGCTGCTTGCTGGCAACTCTAGTGCTAACACACTAAAAACCACATCCTTCCTTCCTGAAAACGGGAACAGGACAATTTTCATTAGATTATAACACATTTTTTTAGGGCATCCACCCTGTCCGGCATATAATAACCTTTAGCAGAACTATTTTCCAAAATACTGATGCAACCATTATCATTATCATACCTTACGCATTAGTATTGCTGTAATATAGAAACATGCGGCGTAGCCGTGCTGTTCAATCACTTACACACTTGTTATGAAAGGTCAACAGCTCAACATTCACCCTATTTATTCCCTGTTATAACATAAAGCGCATGACACGAGAAAGACATGTTTTTTATTGATAAGTCATTTGCTCTTAATATAGGAAACAATTACCTAGACAATATCATACCATTAATGCAATCTGGGAAAATAATCATAAATTTATATACATATTTGTAGGTAATGATCTGGCAACAGACGAGAGGTTATAAGATCAAAACATATTTAACTATGTTAGTTTCAGTTCGATTGCATTTCTACCTTATGACAAGAACAAAGAAAGTTGAAGTTACAAGTTTGGTCGCGGGCTTTTTATTCAATATCTATGAGAGCGAATCTGATATTTTGCTTTTTTTATGGAATCAGTTCGGATACTTGTAGCCGAGACTGGGTATTCTCTGGCATTGACGTTCCATATTAACTTTCCAAAACGTGTGTGTAAAGATGTAAAACAAGTTGTATGTTGAAACGGGCTTTGCCTGGTAGAAGTTGCTCCCAGGTCAAGCTGAGTCGCCTGTATACACCACAGTTGACTCACTCACTCTGTCACTGCGTCTTTCCAGTTGTCTACATGATCCTGTACGGCATCTTCCTCCTCCTGTTCGGAGTCCCCATCTTCTACATGGATCTAAGTCTGGGTCAGTTCTGTGGGAAAGGCCCAGCCCACATCTATAACCTCAGTCCACTACTCAGAGGTAAGGTCACAGTGTCAGAGGCGCAACCTTTGTACGAAACACCAGTCTAATCGCTCATTGTCGTGTAGGCAATAGTTTCTGAAACTGGAATTCAATTTACTTTCATTGTCTGGTGAGCAGTATTTAATGAAACACTTGCGTGAACTACACTCTCCTTGTCTTGCAAGCAATATTTTATGAAACACTTATGCAATCTACACATTTGTTATCTTCTAAGCAATGATTTATGAAACACTTATGCAATCCAAGCTCTCACTGTCTTGTAAGCAAATAGTTTATTAACATTAATGCAATCTACTCATTCATTGTCCAGTCAGCATTATTTCATAAAACACATGCACCATCTATACACTGATTATCAAATAATCACTATTTAATAAAACAAACACGATCTACACTCACATTGTCTTGTAAGATATATTTTATGAAAAACTTATGAAAGTTTTAACATTCATTATCCAGTAAGCATAGATTAATAAAATACCTGTACCATCAACTCTCTCACCGTCAAGCAAACATATTATAAACTACATAAAGTACATATTTTTTTCGATGCACTTCAATCTTAACTACTGAATTTCATTAGGAATATGTACAAAAATAGCAGAGTGACACTGTTTCTCATGATATGTAGAAATGCTGTATAGGTGTTAGTGTAAGGCTTCAGCCATATATCGAACACATTGTAGAAATGCTGTCTTTTCCAGAAAAGAATACTCATGTTTACTAGTTAAAACCAGCGCCTTCTTGGATATTATATAAGTGGTGCATCGTTGCCGAAGTGGGGCCAGTGTCTCGCCACTTGCTGTGCATGTTAACCGGAATGCATATACCGAACTACTGTTATAACGAACTAAAATAATGGCCACTTTCAGTTTATTATAACCGTTATTTCGATTTCGATTTATATCTGTTTCATTAACAGAGAATACATATTCATTTTGATGTTTGACGACATATATTCAAAATCAATTCTGCTACGTTGAGTATATGGTTAAAAGAGAAATGACAAAACCCTTTCCACTTTCGAAAGAAATCTGTGCTAAAACAAAGACGGTTGTACAATTCTGACTGTATCATGACTATGTATTTGCTTGTTCCCGAATTCAGGAGTATTACAGCTGTACGACACAGTCTGTAAACAATCGAGTCAGGACCAGACAATCAAGTGATTGACACATTGGGATATGATGACTGAGCATGTGTTTGTGAATCACATGCAACTTTTAAGCATGTAAGATAGTGTAGTTTCTATATGTAATCTGTTGATGGTGTACGGCAACTTTTAAGCATGTAAGATAGTGTAGTTTCTATATGTAATCTGTTGATGGTGTACCGCACATCTGTCTTAATCAGACTCAGACCTGACCAGCCACAGTCGTCCAGGTTCACACTGGGGGATGTTCATTCCTTAGGTATTTCCATTGTACCTTCTGGCATATGTACAAGCAGGAGACCCGTGAACATCCGGGTTACAACTGGCCTTCAGTAACCCATGCTTGTTGTAAGAGGTGACTAATGGGATCGGATGGTCAGGCTCGCTGACTTGGTTGACACATGTCATCGGTTCCCAATTGCGTAGATCGATGCTCATGCTGTTGCTTGCATTGTCCAGACTTCATTATATAGCTGGAATACTGCTGAGTTACACAACAAAAGACCAAAACAACAACAAAACAACAACAACAAAAACAAAAACAAACAACTACTTTCAGGAGATGGACGTTCTCAAAACTGTGTATGTTTGTTCTCTCTTGCAACAAGTACAAGCAAAACTTATCATGAGGGAAACCGTATTTCGATTTTCTTTGTTGCAGGTATCGGCGTGGGAATGGTCGTAGTGATAGCTATGTGTCATCCCCTATATAGTACGATCACGTCATGGAGTCTGTACTACCTGTTCCAGTCAGGGTCCACTGTTCTACCATGGTCTACCTGCAGCAACATGTGGAACACCATCTCATGCATAGATGATCATACGGCATCATTTAATACAAGTCAGGACTCGTACATGTTCCGTATGCTGTCGTCCCCTGGGGAAGAATACTTTAAGTAAGGCACAGTTGGAAATATATCATGTAGATTGTCAACATTCGGATAGAATTCCTTCAGTAGGGCACAGATCGAAATATATCATGTCTATATCTAATAGAGTGTCAACATCCAGATAGAGCTTCTTGAGTAAGGCACAGATGGAAATATATCATATCTATGTCTAGTAGAGCGTCAAAATCCGGATAGAGATCCTTGAGTAAGGCACAGATCGAAATATATCATGTCTATATCTAATAGAGTGTCAACATCCAGATAGAGCTTCTTGAGTAAGGCACAGATGGAAATATATCATATCTATCTCTAGTAGAGCGTCAAAATCCGGATAGAGATCCTTGAGTAAGGCACAGATCGAAATATATCATGTCTATATCTAATAGAGTGTCAACATCCAGATAGAGCTTCTTGAGTAAGGCACAGATGGAAATATATCATATCTATGTCTAGTAGAGCGTCAAAATCCGGATAGAGATCCATGAGTAAGGCACAGATGGAAATATATCATGTCTATATCTAGTAGAGCGTCAAAATCCGGATAGAGATCTTTGAGTAAGGCACAGATTGAAATATATCATGTCTGTATCTAGTAGAGCGTCAAAATCCGGATAGAGTTCCTTGAGTAAGGCACAGATTGAAATATATCATGTCTGTATCTAGTAGAGCGTCAAAATCCGGATAGAGTTCCTTGAGTAAGGCACAGATTGAAATATATCATGTCTATATCTAGTAGAGTGTCAACATCCAGATAGAGTTCCTTGAGTAAGGCACAGATGGAAATATATCATGTCTATATCTAGTAGAGTGTCAACATCCAGATAGAGTTCCTTGAGTAAGGCACAGATCGAAATATATCATGTCTGTATCTAGTAGAGTGTCAACATCCAGATAGAGATCCTTGAGTAAGGCACAGATGGAAATATATCATGTCTGTATCTAGTAGAGTGTCAACATCCAGATAGAGTTCCTTGAGTAAGGCACAGATGGAAATATATCATGTCTATGTCTAGTAGAGCGTCAAAATCCGGATAGAGATCCTTGAGTACGGCACGGATGGAAAGCATTGTTTAAGACACAAGGTCATTTTAATTACACATCACAACACAAACAGTGTTCCCGTGGTCTCACTTCATAAGCAACAGCTCAGAAACCATTTAATATATTTGATGTTAAGAGGATTTTCATAGGATCCCATCTCCCAAAGAAGCATAATCGTCATCTATGTGCAATATCAAGTTGCTGAGCAGTTTAGTTCATATATACTATGTTGTCTATATTGACGAGTGATTAGAATATACGTGCCTCAAATGAGAAATAAAGTTTTCATGCATATTTATAGCGCAATAGTGCAGTGGTAAGGCGTCTGCCTATCCCGCTGAAGGCTCGGGTTCGATCCCCGGTGGAGGCACCTAGGTTCGGGTCCCGAGGTGGGCACATTTGCGTAGTATCCTTGGATACTTAGATTCACATTGTCTCAGTTCACCCAGCTGTAAAATGGGTACCCGTGTGGATGTGCTGGCAATGTGAGTGTTTAGTTCATTGCGCCTAACATGCTGCATGGCTCTATGATCCCCAGGGAGTTGAAAAAGTATCGGAAAGTACGACAGTGTCCTATGATCGGGGATAGTAATGTACGTAGCGCTGTGAGCAGGCAATGTGCCTGTATGTGAGCGCCATATAACCGGACTATTACTATTCACGTAACAAGGCAGGGATGATCTTCTGGACAGGATCTTCAGCTGAGTAAATGTTGGTCGAGCTTTGCTACCACCGGTGTATATATAAGAATGTCAGTAGTTTTTACAGAAACAAACTCTAGAATTCACTAACTGCATTTTAACTGTGTTTATTTTAAACTGTCAGGAAGTATTTTATAGTAGCAAACTCAAGAATTTACAAAATACATTTTAACCGCAATTCATTTTAATTCTTGAAAAATTGCAGATATAATAAAATTAGGTGTTCTGATTTAATATGTCCACACAGGAAAGAATCTATATTGACTCATTTATGTTTTACATAGAATGATAGTCAGTGTGTGATTATGGTTTTACGCAGCTTTTAGCAATATTTCAGCAATATCATGGCGGGGGACACAAGAAATGAGCTTCACACATTGTACCCATGTGGGGAATCGAACCCGTGTCTTCATTGTGACGAGCGGATGCTTTAACCACTAGGCTACCCCACCGCCCCAATGACAGCCAGATCATGCCTTGTCGGAAGTGGAGAGAAGCATTTTAAGAAATTTTCCAGCAAGCAGCGTGAGGCTTGAACAATTCAAAATAGGATACCTGTACGTGTGTCTGTCTGTCCTACATATCCTGTATTCACATGTATTGTATATCGACTCCTTTAAGTGCACGGACCCTCTGGTGTGGAACATGTCGTTGTAAAAGGCTGGTACGAATGAGTTTAGATTCCGTGTAGCCTCACTGAATATCCCATAAGAATATGCAGTTGAGACTTGTACCATAACCATCATCAATGAAGTAGTGTTTACTTCTGTCATATTGCAGTAGGCGAGTCTTGGACATTTCTACTGGGCTCGAACAATCCGGTGGACTTCGCTGGCAGCTGGTCGGGTGTACATTCGCCACAGCGCTTCTCATATTTGCTGCTTTGTTCTGGGGAGTTAAGGTTACTGGAAAGGTATGTAAAACACATTTGCCCATTTGTGCATACCACCCGTTTGAGAAGTGACTCATTTGGCGATTTTACAGAATAGCACAGCAAGGTTCTTGAGAGGCATATAGAAGTTGGTTTTCAAGCATAAGACAAAATATTGGATACCAACTTCTTCTTTATTGTATACACAACGTTTCTGGGCTATTCCTTGCCCCTTCGTCAGGTAGTCGTGTGTGGTCGTGTAGGGTAGTGTGGGGTGGTCAAAAGTTGAAATTTACACGTGTTGGGGTTGAATCCCAGTAATGACCAACGCTTGAGCGCTACTTCATTCCTACCCGATTATCTATAGATATATAGTGAGGTACACTACAGTGCTCAGGTTTTCCTTTATTTCCATGGAATTCTAGACTTATGAATCTTTTTACCATCTTGAATAACCTGTCTTTGTGTTTTATATAGAATGATAGCCAGATCATGCAAGTGGAGACAAGCATTCAGTTTTTTTTTAGTATGAGGCTTGAACATGTCAATATTAGTTACCATTCCATGTTTTTTCCTAATACACTACCCCGAGGAAACGTGAAAGGGTGGTGAGGTCGTGTGGGGTGGTGAGGTCGTGTGGGGCGGTGTGGTCGTGTGGGGCGGTGTGGTGTGGTCGTGTACGGTAGTGAGGTCGTGTGGGGCGGTGTGGTCATGTAGGATGGTGTGGTCGTGTGGGGCGGTGTGGTGAGGTCGTGTGGGGTGGTTTGGTGTATTTTCTGGAACATGATAGGCCCGTTTCTGACTGTAGACCGACTGTCTCTCCAGGTGATGCTCGTCACGGTGCCACTCATCTTTCTCCTCCTTCTGGCACTGTTTATAAGGGGCATGACGTTACCAGGGTCACTGGAAGGTGTAAAATACGCCCTCCTACCTTCCGCATCAAGTCTCCTGGAGCTACAGGTGAGAGTTGCTATACCCGTATTAATGAGTGCAGTCTTACCCTTTGGATGGTATTTTGATTATATCATGGAGAGTATGTGGCATCTAGCGTTGACAAATAACGGGTCATCATTTTGGCGAACATTGGATTCGCAACCAGGATCAGTCACACGACAAAGAAAGCACAATCCTGCTTCACCCTCGAACAGTGTGGGGCAGTAGGGTAGCCCAGTGGTTAGAGCGTTCGCTCGTCACGCTGAAGGCCCGGGTTCGATTCCCAGCAATGTGTGAAGCCCATTTCTGGTGTCCCCTGCCGTGATATTGGTGGAATATTGCTAAAAGCGGCGTAAAACCATACTCACTCACTCACTCACTCACTCAAGAAATGGGCTTCACACATTGTACCCATGTGGGGAATCGAACCCGGGTCTTCTAACCCTAGGCTACCCCACCGCCCCCACTCACTTGAACAGTGTACCCTAGAGGATTGGTGTGTGAGTGGAGGATTGGTAGGGTAGGGCTGGTGGGGTGATGGGGGGATAGGGTGGGTGGTGGTCCTGGTACAGACTTGATTCTTTCAGTTCAGTTTCTTCATCTGACTTTTCTTCGATTCAGACGTGGACCTCCGCACTAATCAGTGCATGGTATACAATCGGGATGGCAACAGGTGTCATCAGCACTCTGGCAAGCTACAAACGCTTCAAATCTACGGCACTGAGGTCAGTGTTACTTTCACCATTCATGAACTCACCAGGGACTTTTCTTCAAATGAACCGAACCTACCAATATCACATTTCCATAACATGTTCTACATGACGATGATTAATTGGGTTTTTAAATATGCAATAGTATCGGCATTTGTTTTGTGCAAAGTCAAGTAAACTCTTTCATTGGGCTTATTCGACACTGATACCGGAAGTTTACAGAGAAACAAGTTGTGAGTAGCTGGACTTCGTGCATCATACGAGTGGAGTTTTCTATGTGTATTTATAAAATCAAATTAAAGGAATTTGGACCAGATAGTTGACCTTCGATCAATTATCAGTGCGTCTATTAACAGATATTGTTCAATTATGGTTAAATAGCCAATTACCTTTCACGGAATAGCCCCCAAGTGCTGGAAGTAACAGAAACTGCCTCATCTATTTAACGCTAAAATTTAACTAATTTAATTAGAATTGTGATAAAAAGTAACAAAAAGTATCCACTATCCACAAGACTATCTCAGTATGTCGGGCAATATACCCGCAGTTTCTACGGAGATATTAAAGAGCGTCACGCGACATGCATAAATTATCAGGGCTACAAGATTCAAGACATGCTTATAGCATTCTTGCTTGGGTAGACATTTCCATTTCAATATTTTTACTTGCAGCACATATATATGCACATATACCAGATACACAAATACTTGTCTTTGCATGTGTTTATGACACTGCCACAAGTTGCGTTAACAAATTGCGAAAACATCGGAGTCTCGTATTGATTCATGAATACATGATAGACTAACAAAAGTGAGAGACTAACAAAAGACGATCTGCTTCTAGAAATTATATCATGATTATGGAAAAGGTATTTTTAGCTTACGTTATAATACAAGCATTTCACACTGGCTTCTTGGTCCATATACAATCGGTATGGAAAGAAATGTGGCATTTGACACACACAAACCAACATGAAGTTGTAGTTCTGTATTCTTAACCCCAAAATGTCAAAAAAATGGATTCTTCAAGTATAGGTGATTAATCTTTCTCGGTAAAAGTACTTAATTTGCCATATAAATGTGTCGCTTACTAAATACAAAACATCTTTGTCAAAGAATAACCAGTCTTCACTTAGTTGACCATCCTCAGACTCAGAACTCATTTGGTCTAATCGATAAAATAGCTGTGACAATTACACCAAAGGACCTCACTCTTCCCTCACCTTAATAGTTCCTTACTTTATTCATAAATGTAATCAATTTTGATTTCAGGAACAGGCTTTGGCACAGCAATCGATCCATCATGGCTTTCGTTTGCATTCAGAAATTCTTACATTACTTTTAATTACTTTATTCTGTGAACATGCATTCAAATGATCCATCCATGTTTCTACTCTTTGATTTGATTTATTCAGGGTTTTTTATGAACAGGCATTGTCACTGGTATAAGAAGTAATCTTTATATATTCTGATGTTTTCAGGGATTCCTATATAGTGTGTGGCGTGTCACTTGGCGTGGGTATGATTACAAGCATGATGGTGTTTGCTTTCTTTGGGGCAATTGCTCAGCATAAAGGTGTGGCCATGCATAACGTGGTAACGGCAGGTATGTACATGTGTATATTTTGAGTGAGTGAGTGAGTAAAAAGATTTATCATAAACAGTGCGAATCTGGGAATGTCACTTATTGGATTGTGACGTGAGTGAAGGATTGGATAGTAGGTTCGTCAGATACCACAATAAATTCACTCCTAATTACAAGAACTCACATAGTATGTACAAGTTCGATTTTAGAAGTTCATCAAATATCAAATATGTCTTTCAAGCGTTTGACTGTACTTCAAATAAATTTTTTTATGTATGCATTTGTTTCAAAGACAGGTTTTTTTAATGAATGCCAATTTTTATATCAGCCAGAACCGAATTGATGACATGACTATTTTAATTTGTGATACAAATGATTGTTGATATAGATTTATAGCTGATTTACCTGACCATGTGAACAAAAACGTTTTCAGGAATATGGAAAAATATACAAAGAAAAGAAAACGGTGGAGTCAGCAGTATCAGTGTCCATACGTTTCCTTTTATCATTTCTCCTTCCTACGTAAACGGGCAATCCCATAAACAAATGCTCGTGACACAGTGGGAACTGAACATTGCAGAGATGTCTCATGGGTATGGGAAGGGGTGTTGTCGCCTTTTTTCTACAGACATTACAGATAGGATTCTGTCATTTAATGTACTAGTTGTAAATGAGAATACTTGAAGAGGGCGTTCTCAGTCCAATAATATCCATGAAAATATAGTGTAAACTAATAGACAAGTACAAAACAGTTTTCTGTGTATATATACAGGTCCGTCGACAGTGTACATTGCCATGGCGGAAATGCTTGCACGCCTTCCGGTCCCCCAAGTCTGGAGCTTTGCGTTGTTCTTCATGCTTTTGTTGATGGGACTCAGTACACAGGTACAGTCTGTAACCAATATCAGAGGAAGCACACATATCTATGTGTAGTGCTGGCTATCTGTATAGATATCGATATAGAGGTCGATAATCGTTAACTAAATATCGATCGATTATCGAAAAATATCGGAGACATAACTTTGAGCAAAAATGTGTGAAAGAAAGAAATGACTATATTTCACATCACTGGTGAGTGGTGACATGTTTTTGCATGGATTACAAAACAAACCGAAACATGAGTCTCATTAACCTATTCAGACAATGACCTACTTTTCAGCCGATACGAATTTTCTCTTGTGAAAGTGAAAATAGACATCACAAACAACTATGGTTACATTGAATTCCAATTCCTTGTTTCATAAGAAAATGGTATTTACAATGACTTTTAGTTTTAAACTTTAATACCATCGTACTTCTATATTTTCTGGTGAGGTGTAGGCAGCATGACCTTAACTAAGACGTCATAGACTGCCCCTGTTTGTGAGGTCGTAAAAAGATTCACAATGCATCTGGCTCACTGGTTACACCTGTCGTGTGTTTTTTGCGCTTATTCAGTGTCGTTCTGTAACGCACAATGAAATTTATATAATATCAATTCCGTACCAGACGCCAAACTTTTCTAGCGGCAGACCCTCGTTTTTGAGATTTCCACGATTTCCAGGTTTCCGGTTGTCAGAGCTCGCTGTTCGACAGAGCACGCTACACGACGTGTTTGCAAGGATTAGAAGGAGCGTAGTGTTGCAATATACAAGTGCTTAGATGTATCAAATAATACTGATTGATATTTATGTATCCAGTTAAATGAATTGGTTTCAAAACTCTCGACTGGTTATTGTACTCAGTTGTGCAATAGGACGGAACCCAGTCAACAGGAAACTAGACTGTTGAGTAATCAATGTTTTGACTTGAGCGTCTTGAATATAGGTTAGAAACCGACAAAGAATTAAGTCCTGAATATATTTGTATATTGTGTGAGAAAATGTATAGCTCTTTCTATAACAAAAGTTAATATACGCTATTATCAATAACACATTTTTTCATATCGATAATTATTAATAACCTTTCTTATCGACGATATTTTCCTATCTATGTGTTACTAGTGCAGTGCTATTGTCTTCATTAATATTCATTTCACGCATTTCAGTAACACTAAAGTAATAACCATAGTCACTAATCCCTTCAGTTGTATACATATACATGTATTTTACATTCGATCTGAAATTACACAACGTTTGATGGCTTATACTGTGAAGACTATCTTAAATATGATGGTTTGACACAGGATTAGGATTCGATTATCAATATTGCGCATAACAGAACTAAACTATCCATGATAGCAATTATGTTGCACGTAGAATAACTTGTGACATATGTCACTGCAGGTTTTAAAAAATGGCCGTCAGGGCGGCCATATTAAAATTGTATTTGTTCTATGACTCATTCGTTTTGATATACTGTAATTATAACATGTTTGATTCAACAATTATGTAATCATAAGAAATATTTGCTGACAGCAGTATACTTTGTAGGACTCCGAATTTGTCATTAGTATGTGTTTGCGAACCGCGTTCACGAAAGGGGACTCGTGTTATGTGTTGACACATAACATACGGAATATATATCAACCTTAAAAATGAATTGCAGTGGACCTTTTGAAAAAGACCTCAACATCTTTACCGTTGTGAAGAAACATCATCGTGCAGCTGTAATACTGCTGAAACAAATATATACTCATGATATAGCCACAATCCTACAATCGACTCTGCTTTTAGCAGAGATTTCTTATGGATGTGGAAAGGGTTTTGTCGCTTCTATTATTATAGCCTTGAGCAAGAGGGTTGGTTCTTAAGTTGAAATTTAAAGTTAACTGGGAAAAATCTGTAAGACAACTATGTTTGAAACAAAGCAAAAACTGTGCTGTAATTAAGAATTGTATTCTAAACTTAACTAATTTCACTAATCAGTACAAATTAATACAAAGTATCATTACATTTCAATTTCTTTTATTCAGGGTACTGAAGAGGCCACAGGCAATAATACAGTGTGTACAGTCACATAATATTTAAAACAGATTTTCTATCGTTGAACCCATGATAGATATACGTTGATAGAGTTTTAACAATTTGTAGATTTGTTGCTTTCAACAATAACTTTAACTTATATTTACAGTGATTGATGCGGTAAAATGGAGGGATATATAACATAAAAAAACCATTTTAAAAAGTATCATTAGGGCACTACCAAATACCGCTTTTAGCAATATTCCAGCAATATCACGGCAGGGGACACCAGAAATTGGCCTCACACATTGTATCCCACCGCCCTATTTTCACATATTGTTTTCTCAGTCAACGTCAAATGGTTGTCCTTCACGTATGATACGTAGGTTGTTCTGAACCTTTGAAGATAGTGATGTAGCCATATCTATGATCACTATGTTTAGGGACAAATAACCAATATACTTAAGTCTCGCCTTAACTTTGTTGAGTGTCATAGTTGTATATAATGTTGAAAAATCAGTGTTGACGCGATCGATATTGAGTCCCACATTGCAAAAATGCAAGCCAACCCTTTGCGCTTTTGAGAAACTAAACAGCACTAACTCTACTTGTCTCAAATGTGAATATATAGACAGTCATTCCTTTATTTTTTTGGAAGTATTATAGTTAGTCGTGTTTGAGAAGTATCTGGTGGCACATTTGCTGGGCCCGGCAATACATCTCTCTATGTAAGGGGCGGTGGGGTAGCCTAATGGTTAAAGCGTTGGCTCGTCACGCCGAAGACCCGGGTTCGAAATCCCCACATGGGTACAATGTGTGAAGCCCATTTCTGGTGTCCCCCGCCGTGATGTTGCTGGAATATTACTAAAAGCGGCGTAAAACCAAACTCAGTGTCTCTCTATGTACATACAGTGACAGATGCTAATGAAACTTTGGAATCCAGTACACATGACGAATGGACACGTCTTCAATCAGTTTATTGTATGATGCTTGGTTTGTGCACCTCTCTTCCTCAATTAACATACTTATTTGATATGTCACTTGTACCAAGTTCTTTGATCAAACAATCAATTATATTATATTATCGGAGACCTTGTCAGTGGAAACAAGACGTTATTGTTCATGAAGGGCAGTTAGACTTTTGATGACAGCTTGCTGTACCAAATTGGTTTAATCCAATTCTGATTCCTCTTTTTCAGTTTGTATATTCTACCAATAACACTATAACCCAATCCAGAAGATTTTTATTAGCTTCCTATTCTGTTTGGGCATATTTTTCATATTGCAGCAACCATAATGGCATTGAAGTTCAATTGATTGCAATTTCTAGGAGGCTCCTTACGATATTTTGGTTTTTGCTTAACCTCTGATCGTGAACCAATATCTTGGTACCAGTATGATGAGCGTGTTGCGCTGAAATGCTGAAAGAAATTTGGAATTAAGGGGTGTTTCTCTGAACATTTTAAGCTGGTGACTATGTATCCAAGGGAGCTACAGTGGCATTGTGTCTATAATGATAAATAATTAAGTATAGTATACATATGACTAGTTCGGTGCTATTATTTCCCATGTTGTGCCAATCCATTTGGAGATATTTAGGTAACATTTTGAAATTTGTTTCAGGTCCTTACTGCTGAAGTTGTAATAACGGCAGTGCTGGATAGCGTGCCCCGCCGATCTCGCCTGATACGAATCGTCATCACTGCCGCCGTCTGTGGAGTCTCCTTCCTTCTCACCTTTCCTTACCTTTCAGAGGTAAACGCATTCACCAAGTTTTCTAACAGTTAGTAACACGATGATGTTAAATGCAATCACAATTTTCATCCATTACACAGAGGCTTAATTTCTTTCACATGATACTATATGTATCAAGACCTAACTCTGTATTACGACATATGCTTTCGGAGTTGACATTTACATTGATTTTACATTGTCGCAAAGTACAAGGTGACTAAGCTTTTGTTGCGACCTGTTTGTTTTCCTTCCTCCACAGTAAACATTACCTTTTGTAAATGTATAATGTATATGCGTGGTATCAATTTCGAACAAACCAGATTCAATTGGGCAGAAAAGGTAACATAGCGGTGTAAAGGGATCGCTGAAAATCAGTACTCCGTGCGGATATATCCATTACACGACGACTTTTGTTCAAAATGTAAGTTGGTTGGTTTGTTGTTTTACCAGGGGCGGTGGGGTAGCCTAGTGGTTAAAGCGTTGGCTCGTCACGCCGAATACCCGGGTTCGAATCCCGAAAATGGGTACAATGTGTGAAGCCCATTTCTGTTGTTCCCTGCCGTGATGTTGCTGGAATATTGCTAAAAGCGGCGTAAAACCAAACTCAGTCAGTCAGTCAGTTGTTTTACCACTTACTCAGCAATATCCCAGCTATATGGCGGCGGTATGTATATAATCGAGTCTGGACCACACAATACGGTGATCAACAACATGATCATCAATCTACGCAATTAGGAAAGGATGACATGTTCTTACGACAAGCATGGGTTACTGAAGACCAATTCGAACCCGGATCGATCAATGCGTAGATCGATGCTCATGCATCACTGATCACTGGTCCAGGTTCGAGTATCTACATACCGCCGACATAAAGCTGGAACATTGCTGAGTGCGGCGTTAAACAACTGACTGAGTTTGGTTTTACGCCACTTTTAGCAATATTCCAGCAACATCACGGCGGGGGACACCAGAAATGGGCTTCACACATTGTACCCATGTGGGGATTCGAACCCGTGTCTTCGGCGTGACGAGTCAACGCTTTAACCATTAGGCTACCCCACCGCCCCGGCGTTAAACAAACCAACAACCAAACGAATAATGCATGTACTATACATACTTTCCAGTTTTGTCTTTACCAAGTACAGTTACATATCGAGACATTACAGTGAAAGTGCATGTATATTTTTGTCTGTTATTTCCAGGGTGGTATCTACTTCTTCACTATGGTAGACATTAGTGTTATGAGGCTTTCTCTCTATGTATTTGGCTTCCTGCAGCTTCTAACAGTCGGATGGATATATGGTAGGTGAACCTAAATAGTCATATGTCGAAACCGCCTCCGTGGTTTAGTGGTTATAGCGTCCGCTCGGAGAGCGGAAAGTCGCGAGTTCATACCAAAAGACGTTAAAATATGATACTTGTTTGTCCCTGCATGGCGTTAATGGACTGGTCGGCTTGGAGTCGGTATACTGTGTCTGGGTGGGGTATTCATGCTTCACTGCGGCATGGTATCTCAGTGAGCTATCACTATAAAACCAGTTTCAGTGTGGGCTAGTACAAGCAGCCACACATACACACACATGCACGTTATCATATGACCGGAATATTCTCAAGTACGACGTTAAAAATTACATTGTGTATTCGTAGCTTTCAGCCGTGGGAGCCGTGCCAATTTATACTTGTCAGAGGGATACACAAAGTCCGCAGTCAAGACTACCGGTTGTCCGACTTCCATTTTGTGGAAGCCGCGGTGGCTGAGGGTTAGACGGCTGACTTTGTGTGCTGGCGATTAGGTGCCTGACCCTGAGGGTGTGGGTGCGAATCCCGGACAGGACTCAACCCAACAAAAGTACTAGAATTTGAACTTTACTGAGAAAGTGTAATAGCAAATATAACATATGTTACGATAAAAATCATTTCACCTCATCGAGGCCGTCTTTGGGCTCTCAATGCTCAAAATGACAAAATTATTCATAATATGATATGAGATATGACATAATGGACTCTATGCACTTTCACACAAATACATTTCCTGCCTGTTTTATACTAGTTTGTGGGAATTACCCCCGAACCGGCCCCAAGCCGAACCGTCCCCTGATATTTAACCCGAACCGGCCCCTGATATTTGCCCCAAACCGGCCCCGAGAAGTAAATATTTCTACATTGACATATGAATTAAAGTTCCTTTAACATAAATGACGAAAACATATTACTCATATGTCTTTACATGTAATATCGATTTTTGAAAATATATTAGCGAATATTAGTGTCGATGCGAGGCAAGTGAACATGCACGTGCTGCTGATCACGGAGATCCCGTGGTAGAGGACATTTTATGTAATTCTTTTAAGAATCTAGAAGATCAATTGCAAAACAATACTAAAGTAAAAGGTGTACTTACATTTCGTTGTATCGTATCCACAGAATTGACACATTAATTCAATACAAGAATAGCACATAAATCCAATATAATGAATTCACGTTTCACCTTTGTTATGTCCAAGTTTCCAGTAACGAAAAATAATGTTGTCCTTCATCTTTTCCCATGTTTCCATGTGTGGAACATTTGTCAAGATTTTCAACACACATTAACCACCTTTCACATTCTGCTAATATTATGAAAACTAAAACATTCTTCAGCTCCAAAATTAAACTGTTATTTTACGCGCGTCTCACTGAGCGATTAAAGTGAATGTGTTGTTTTAATATTTCCTTCAACGGATTATCGTGAGCGAATTAATTTACATGTTGTCTTAAGCGTGTGCTCTTACTTGACACTGATTGCGTTCACTCAATGTCAGCTGCACCGTATACTGTTATCTTCACCTTGCGTATAATCTTATAAAAGACATTATCTGAAGGACATGATTGAAATCTTCATGTCTGTATCTATATAATAAATTAATTGAAATCTTCATGTCTATATATATATATATAATAAATTAATTGAAATCTTCATGTCTGTATATATATATAATAAATTAATTGAAATCTTCATGTCTGTATATATATATAATAAATTAATTGAAATCTTCATGTCTGTATCTATATATAATAAATTAATTGAAATCTTCATGTCTGTATCTATATGTTAAACTAATTGAAATCTTCATTAATTGTCTGTCTGATTATCGTTAATTAACCCAGGGGCCGGTTCGGGTGCGGGGACGGTTTGGGTTAAATATCCAGGGGCCGGTTTGGGTTAAATATCCAGGGGCCGGTTCGGCTTGGGGCCGGTTCGGGTGTATCCCGTTTGTGGTTGGTAATGGGTAAATTCACAAATTGCTTTCCTTTTTCGATTATAGATTAGACAAGATAATATTTAAACGTTTCATTTGATTTCCGACGTATTGCACATTGATGATGTCAGGATGGGTCTGCTGAAGGTGGGAGGGAAGCCCGAAGTAAGGCAGGCCTTAGACATATCTACAATTCTGGTGCAACCCACTGATATAGAGCTATTCAAAGTATCAAGGTATTCGAACCAGCGTTCGAAATAATCGTCGGCCCGGAGGCCCAGCGCCGGTTGTTATTGTATCGGGCCGGCAGTTTAAAATATGTTCAGGCCCTTGTTGCCTTCAGTAAATTATATTCTTTTTCAACTGGAATCCTTCAATTGTTTTTATGTTTTTTCTTTATTAACGTTCGGGAATCATCCATGATCCACTATGTTACGATAACTTAGTTTCACTTCCTGGCATTTCAACGATTTGCGCATAGGAATGTCAACACCAGTCTTTAACAAATAAAACGTCTCCCTGCGCCATAGGTTTACCTAATTGACTTGTAGAAACTGTGAACAATGTAGTCTATTGTGTTTTTATTGGTTTGACTTTAACAAAATGGGCCTGCAGATTTCATTCAGGGCCTGTAGATAATAAAGCCTGCAGGCGACAGCAGGCACTGATGGCCAACTGGCAAGTTAACGTATTGCAAACACTGATTCGAACCGATTGTTATAAGTGGATATTTGGGTATCACTGCTTAAGGTGGCAAGGAAATTGCATACGCGTATACTTTAGATAATGTTCCCATTTTAGTCATGTGGATGTATTTGTGTGACGCACCATCACAGAGACGTACAATGTCACGGCAACCGACGTTATGTTCCAGGCATTGAGCAGTTAAGCAGAGACATCAAGATGATGACAGGTCTCCGACCTCCTGTCGTCTTCAAGCCCATCTGGTGTTTCGTCCTTCCACCCTTATCCTGGTAATGTCTTCCTTATCCTGGTAATATCTACCTTATCCTGGTAATGTCTTCCTTATCCTGGTAATGTCTTCCTTATCCTGGTAATGTCTTCCTTATCCTGGTAATGTCTTCCTTATCCTGGTAATATCTACCTTATCCTGGTAATGTCTTCCTTATCCTGGTAATATCTACCTTATCCTGGTAATGTCTTCCTTATCCTGGTAATATCTAACTTATCCTGGTAATGTCTTCCTTATCCTGGTAATGTCTTCCTTATCCTGGTAATATCTACCTTATCCTGGTAATGTCTTCCTTATCCTGGTAATATCTACCTTATCCTGGTAATATCTACCTTATCCTGGTAATATCTACCTTATCCTGGTAATGTCTTCCTTATCCTGGTAATGTCTACCTTATCCTGGTGATGTCTTCCTTATCCTGGTAATATCTACCTTATCCTGGTAATATCTACCTTGTCCTGGTAATGTCTTCCTTATCCTGGTAATGTCTACCTTATACTGGTAATGTCTTCCTTATCATGTCTACCTTATCCTGGTAATGTCTACCTTATCTCGGTAATGTCTTCCTTATCCTGGTAATGTCTACCTCATCCTGGTAATTTCTACCTCATCCTGGTAATGTCTACCTCATCCTGGTAATGTCTACCTTATCCTGGTAATGTCTACCTTATCGTCCATTGTCTGAACATTGGCTGTTGTTAAGGAACGTGAAGTGCACTCAGGATTGTCTGATGTTTATCAGGTATTTTACTTATCCAAACTTATCAAAACCTGCAAATGACAACCATATGCATGTATATGTATACAGCAGAATTACAGCATTCCACAATTTTGTCCGAACTTCTACAAAAATGAACATGTCAGGGCTGGCCTCCAGTTGTCAGTGTATTGTCAACTGCATGACGCCAGCGAGCTGTAAGTAGGATGTTGTTTAACTGGAGACTGACACGTGCCCCTCATGTCGGATCATGTGGTGATCACCAATTTAGTTATCCAGTCTCTTTTGTTACGTAATTTACTTCCAGGGACCACGAGAAGACGTTTAGTTAAATGGTATTGACTCTAATAGTGATAATTAATGAAGACATTTGCCGGGACCAAAGAATAGTGTTACTTATCTGGTCTGTTTAGTTAAGCAGTCTTTACTTAGGCGGTTTCCACTGTATATATATTTGTAAGAATAGGATCGGAAGATTTAATTCAGATTTCGTCGCAGCGCAAATCAGCACAGAAGCAGCATTGCGAGTCACGTAGACGTGACCTTTGAAACTACCAGTTTTATAATTTCTGTTGATGTTACCATACATTTATTTAAGATTTGTTTTGAAGCCAATGTTTTATAAAACTTTATTCATGTATGGATCTTCGCTGTAGTACATTTGTAATGAAGGTTTTAATGAAATGTGCTTGATCGTAGATTCGTAACAGCACCTTTTGTCATTCCTTTCAGTTGATGTTTTTACATTCCCTCATAAACCACTACCGGCTTGTTTACGGCAGCTACATTTTCCCCGTGGGGGCTGAAGTGCTGGGCTGGTTCATTTCACTGGTGCCCCTTGCACCACTACCACTGTTCGTTTTCGTCGCGATCTTTTTTGCTAGAAGTCAGGTGAGATGAATAGGAAACAAAGGTGACAGATTATGTAGAGGCTGAGTGTGTGAATGGTTGTGTGGAGGCTGAGTGTGAGACAGATTGTGTACAGTTTGAGTGTGTGACAGATTGTATAGAGGCTGAGACAGAAGTTGACTGGCTGTGTGACAGAAGTTGACAATCTTGCTGATTGTGTGTAGAGTTTGACTGTGTTGCTTATAGTGTGTAGAAGTTGGCTGTGTGACAGATTGTGTAGAGGCTGACTGTGTGACAGAAGTTGACAATCTTGCTGACTGTGTGTAGAGTCTGACTTTGTTGCTGATTGTGTGTAGAAGTTTACTGTGTTGCCGATTGTGTGAGAGGTTGACTTGTGTTGCTGATTATACGTAGAGGCTGATTGAGTGATTGATCGTGTGTTGAGGCTCTCTTGTGACTATTTGCTTGTTCATCAGAGGGTACACGAGGGATGTTTTACGTTGACTACATTTGTCAAAATGTTGAACTTTCAGCCTGTTTTGAGTCCAAGGCCCGACTGTGTTGCTGACTGGGGTCCCGAGTGTGAGAGGTTGACCTGTGTTGCTTCCAGGCGATTGAGTACCACAGCCGGAAGTCCAGAAACATGACCCTGACTGACAAAATCACGGCAGTGTTCAGCATCTGAGGTTATCACTGATCTTTGTTCAGCATCTGAGGTTATCACTGATCTTTGAGCTCGTGTCATTTTCATTTTGGAGGAACTCAATTCCTTGTAACACTTCGTATATCTAGATCAGTGACAATATTCATAATATACCATGCAAAAAAGTCTGTATAATTTATTGTATTCAGTCAAATATATTGCCCCAACCTAATTATATTTCTTCATGGAACACTGATTCTCGCTTTACAGTATCATTTGATGCAATGTCCGTAACCTTTTAGATGGTTGAAGGTGATCTGAATTTTGAGGTGTGGAGTAATTATAGTAACTTAAGTGCAACCAGCAGTCTATATCGTCTTACATCCCATTGTGTGATGGATTACAGGTTTTACATTACTCATCAACTCCTGTTTGAATAAACCATTTCTGTTTTTGTGTTTATCTTTGTTGTTAACCCACTCAACAATATAGGGCTGTATGACGTCGGTCTTTAAATGGTCGAGTCTGGGTCGGACAATCCAGTTACAGACATCATGAATGAGTGAGTGAGTTAATATTTAACATCACATCAGCAATATCTCAGCCATGTCGTGACGAAAACAATTTATATAATACAAAAATGAAAATATTGTGAAGAGTTAAACCTGTCGACGATGGACAGGAAAAAAATACGAGAGTATCACAGATATGAACATAAAACTAGCATGTAAAACTAAAACAGTGTAATTAAAGAAGACAATACAATATAAAACACTGGCTATAGATCGCCAGCATCTGAAGGTAGATCGCCATACTAGGAACCATGGGGATACAGACATCATGAGCATCGATCTATTTAATTAGGATGCGATAAAATGGATCAGCCAAGTCAGCGAGCGTGAACACCAGATCCGGTTGGTCGCACCTTTCGACAAGCCTTGGTTGCTGAAGATCAGTTCTTACTGAAATAGATCTTCACAGGCCTCATTTCTGATGGCATCTCATTTGTCAGTGAATCAACTGAAGCAGGATATTTTGTCGGCATCGTATTGAAGTGAGTGAGTTTAGTTTTACGCCGCTTTTAGCAATAATCTAACCATATTACGGCGGGGGACACCACGGGCTTCACACATTGTACCCATATGGGGAATCGAACCCAGGTCTTTGGTGTGACGAGCAGACGCTTTAACCATTGGGCTACCCTACCGCCCCGCATTTGTATTGAAGATATACGGTCAACAACGTTTATAACCAACTTAGTTTTACGCCGCTTTTCAGCAATATTCCAGCAATATCACAGCGGGGGACACCAGAAAATGGCTGCACAACTTGTACCCATGTGGGGAATCGAACCTGGGTCTTCGGTGAAGAGCGTACGCTTTTACCACTAAGCTATCCCACCGGCCCCACCTTTAACTAACGGACTAACGGATATAACAAACTGGTGGTTTATGGACCACTCCCTGTACATTTTAGACGAAATGGTATACATCATGCTAAAATTGTGCTTCCTTTGAGTTTATGTTGGTAATTTACTGCATTGAGAACATTAAAGTGAACAGAAGATATGACAAAGGAGTTCGATGTTCTCGAAATGGGAATGGAATGTGAACTATCACTTTGTGAATAAGCATGAATAATTAAATGGACGTGTTTAAGGATGTCTACTGTCTTTGCTACTGGGAAAATACGAAAACAATTTTGTTTAACATATTTCGTTAAATATTATATTTATTTTGCTTGGCGTTTAATGCCACAGTCAGCAATATTCCAGTTATATAGCGGCAGTCTGTAAATAATGGAATCTTGACCAGTCAATCCAGTGATCAGCATCATTAAACATCGATATACGCAAATGGGATACGATGACATGTGTCAGCCAAGTCATCAAGTCGCCTCTTACAACAGTGTTCACGAATGGTGTTTCAAAGTAACAGGACATTGGGTCCTGTAAGTTTCAGATGTCTGTCTGACCCATTGAAAATTCACAGGACTCATAGAATAAAGTCAAACACAAATTTCAGATTTAACATTTCTTATAATTGGCATTGAAATTATTAACAAACATAAGATTTATAAACAGCAAACAAGTGACACATGTCACATATAACAACTTCAGTCAAAGTCATTGTGAAATATACAGTCGGACACTGGGGCCGGCGGGTTGTAGACTTCTATCAGACCTTTGGCGAATCTGCCGGATTTGTCAGAGGGTCAGACGCTATTCTTGAACACTGTTACAAGCATGGGCTACTGAAGACCATTTCTAACCCGGATCTTCCAAAAATGAACTCTTTGAGAAACCAACAAACAACAAAGGCAATATGATATAATTATCAAGTGTATTATGAAATTAATTACGTTTGCAAATTGATACAAGTCACTAAAAGATATTACAGTGGTTGTACAAATTCACAGGCACCATGACTGATACAAGAACAGCCGTGATTGTACCAATATTACCACATTTTCTCATAATCGATATTAAACGATTTTGGAACTACTGTTTTAGTCTTTGCAACATTTGACAATGGAACATATCTTAGAAGTTGTCAGGGCCTGAAAACGTGTTTAATTCTTAGAAAACCGACTTCACTAACTGAAAAGTCATGACTGAATATTTCTCTAAGACTCCAGGAAGTTTATGTCCATGATATACTAGTCATCACTTTAAAGTAGCAAGTTGCATCATGTTATACATATCAGCAATAACAACTTGGATAGGAAAATCTTAAAAATGATGCTAACCAATTTTCTTCGATGATTGTTCGTTGGTAATGAAGCAATCATCAATTGTGAAATTTCAACCAATTCCAAACACTAGTACATACACATTTAGTGTATGCATGCGCTTGTATAAGTCTGGATTGATAGTGCTGGCCCATTCAGATACTCATCTGCAGTTTTACATGGATACCCACTCACACTGAATAAGAGGACCCTTGTGCTGTCGAACACCTAGCAGCCCTCACTGGGTGAAAACACTTCAAAACAGTACCATCATTTAAGGTATTTAGAAAGACACAGCCAGGTGGTAAAACCAGCAACTTTCTGCTCTTGAGGCAGATGTTCTAATCACATCAGTGAGGTATATAGGTTTGAAAGAAAACACCAAGCTGGGTCTAATAAAACAAATTACTTGCATCCTGACATATCTATGTATTTGAGTGTACACGGAATGTATATACCTTAACGTATCTATTGGAGGTAACATACAGTAAACCATCATCGTCTAGACAGATGCCATCAGGACAATGAAGACCATCCTGTCCTTGGAGAACGTATCTGACAAACTGCATAGATTCTGACAGTTGAGTCACGTTGTTGGAGGTTTCATCAACCAGCAGGATGTCTCCTGTGGTGGTTGTAGCGATACCTTGAGGGCACGTCAAAGTTCTGTCTCCTGTTGGAGTGTAAGTGAAAACAGGATCCCCTTCACTAGTTAGAGACACAAGGGAATGAACATCTTCATTACTGAGTATAAGATTCTTGTCACTGGTGACATGGATAAAGTCTGGACTCCCTATCAATCCCGTGTTGAATGACTGAAGTACATTCCCTGCCATGTCCAGGATGTCCACATTGTCAGCATATGTACCTGCCACCAATTGTGAAGGACTGAGATAGGCCAGAGCACAGTACTGTTTGCTTGTGTTGAGAGTTGACAATACAATAGGATCTGGAGTTATGTCAACTGTAACTATTTCATTAATGTCAGGAATAGTGACAGCTACCTGACTCCCACTTAACTTTGCTATCTGCCATGGATAATCAGAAAACAGCAGATGTTTATGAAATGACTTGGAATTCAAGGTGTAGTATGTCTTGAGCTTATTATTGCCACAATCTGCCACTATTGTTACTTTGATCCCATTCACCATCACCACTGTGACATCATGCAAAGACGGATCACAATTATCCTCATCGTCCTTAAAGTCAATGCTGTGATGTAAAACAGGAGAAGAATGGCGGTCACTAATGTCATGAACAACTTCAACCTCGCCAAGTCGAAGTTCATCCACTTCTTTACTCAGCTTGTCAATGTTATGAGTGAATACAACCCTTCCTGGTGCTGGTGGGTTGTCCATTTGTCTGTGGTCAGTAGCTTCATCCATCGACTCATAGATGGCAAACATGTCCATCTCACAGTTGGATGTCACAGCACTGGCTGTGGTCTCATACTGCTGTTGGTACAACTGAAGCTCATCCTCCTGGTGTGCCACCTCACTTTGTAACTTCTGGGAGTGATTATGACAAAATTCATCAACATCATCAATAAGATGCTTCTCTTTCTTTACAATCACATCTACCAATGTTTTCCCTGCGTTTCGGATTTGATCTTTAATGTTCTGTGCATTACTCTTCATATCTAGAATTGTATCTTTTCTCAAGTCGATGCATTTTTTTGCAGCTGCCATGTTGACCGTAAGTTGTTTCATTTGGTTTGTCAGCTGTTCCTTCACAATAGGGACCATGCTCTCAATTGTATCAACTTCGTCACATTTCCTGTGGTCAATACTGCAGCATACTGTACATATTGCCTTCCTGCAGTCTTTACAGAACACCTTCAACTTTTCATCTCTGTGGATGTTACACATGAAGGAACGGTTTGTCTTGGGGTGATTGGGCAAATCCGCTACTTCATGATCACGTGACATTGGCATCACGCTGTGCATCTTGAGACATCCATCACAGAATGCACAGTCACAGATGGAGCACCATGAACAGGCTGGAGATGTCTTCCCTTGTGTTGTGCAAATGTTGCAGCCACTGTCATCTGAAAGGTTTTTTTTAGAAATTACACAGCATGTTCATTAAGTTCAATATCAATCAATCTATGGTTTTCTTATACAAACATATGTATACTCCTCACAAAAAGTTAAGCAACACATGTTTTTAGTCTCATTACATTTTGATTTATTGAAATTGCAAATCATGGAATGATGCAATAGAAAGGTGAACAAAATGGAATGAAATGGTATTGAGCAATTATAGACTTACAAATCATCAAAAGCATGTGCCTGTGAAACAGTCATGCAAATGTACTGCATTGATGGAATAAAATGTTAACACTAAGGTTCAAGTCAATTTTGGACAGTGAAGCAGTGTTCAGTAACGCGTATGACCACCATGAGCACAAATACAAGCTGCTACACGTCTTTGCATTGACCAAATGAGCCTTTAAAGTTGCTGTTGTGGAATGTTCTGCCATTCTCTCTTTAACGCCTGCTCAAGGTTATCCAGAGTCTGGGGGTGAACATGGAGACCGTAAACACGACTTCAATAATGTCCCAAGCATGTTCAATGGGATTAAGATCAAGTGACATTGCAGGCCAGTCCATATGTGTGATGTTGTTGATCTAAACAACATCGTTAACAACTCTTTCTCAGGCATTATCATCCATGGACGGGCATTATCATCCATAAATATGAAGTTAGGACCCACTTGGTGTGCCAGAGGAATGATTACAGGTAGGTTTACACCGATCAAGGTGCATGTGTGAAGAGTGGATGGAGCACATTCATCGCCACACATTTTGCATGTTGTTTCTGAGGGTCGTTGTGTTTGGGTGATGTTGTCAATGTTATCAGATAAATCAATTTGACAGTCACTAAAGTTTTATGTATTCTTAGAATATTTACTTTTCAGTAACATGTGGGCAGATTGATAAAGAAATTACACTGAAAATACTTGTTGCTTAATTTTTGTGAGGAGTATATATAATGCAAACATTCACAGATAATGGAAAGACACACAAAAGTAAAAGTGGGTGTGTTTTCTCGTGTCTGCATCTGCATGTATGTCAGTATGTGTGTGTTTCTGTGTATGCAGTGAGTGAGTGAGTATTGGAAAGGGGACTGAGAACATCATTAGGAAATGGTTTAATACACCCCCAACCCACCCCTATGTGTGTGCCCCCAAAATGGAAACATCCATTTTCATGGTAACAATATTGAGCTTTCCATCAATGTTTGTGTCAAAACATTCAGATATGTTAATTTTTCATCATGAGGATTCGGGGCGGTGGGGTAGCCTAGTGGTTAGAGCGTTGGCTCGTCACGCCAAAGACCCGGGTTCGAATCCCCACATGGGTACAATGTGTTAAGCCCATTTCTGGTGTCCCCCGCCGTGATATTGCTGGAATATTGCTAAAAGCGGCGTAAAACCAAACTCAGTCAGTCAGTCATGAGGATTCGAGCAATATTTGCACACTATTTCCACACTAACACACGAAAGAGCACTCCACTGGTGTTTGAACCAAAGAAGTTACGGAGATCTGCAACGGATCCTCCAGAAACAGGTGTAGGGTTCACAGAATGCTCTGAAGCGAGGTAAGCTTTCTTAACAAATTCCCCATGCAGTCACCATAAGCTGCATGAGGGTTAGTGGTGGTCCGATTAATTGAAATAATCGAAGATTGGTCGCAATGACAAAACGACCAAGCAATCGATCATGTTTTCTCATAATCGAACACAATCAATTTTGGAACACTTGTTTGCAATAACAATATTTTTCACAAGTATGGTTTTTTCTGTTAGATTTCACCAGCACTCCAAGCTCTTCCAATTCATGATTGAATTTATTTTAAAGACTCCATGAAATTCATGTTCCTAACATGCTAGTCATCCTTTAAAGATGTGAAATTTGCAAATGCATTTTGTGCAATTTGCAAAGAAAACAAAAGAACTACAAGAACCAGGAAAATTTGATAAATGACCCTAACCAATTATTTTCGATGATTGATCGGTTGTAATGAACCAATCATCAATTATGAGATTTAAACCAATTCCCAACACTAATGAGGGTCATGCGCTAAAATTGTCTGTTTGCAACTGAAGCACACTTTCCTTTTCCCTTATTCTCATCACTCTCGATAAACTTGTTAGAGAAGTAACACATATCAGAAAACCACCAAAACACCTATGTAGAGATTAGTAATATTGTTAAAAATTTCTCTGTGTCAAGGTTGTCTTCTGCACATGATGGCAACAAATCGTACTCAGTTTCCTAAGTTTAGTCACATATAAGGTTAGCATTAAGTGTTTCTCACCTAATATACTGTGGCTAAAAGGTTTGTCTTTCAAAGATACCTGGGCTCATTTAATTTCGAAATGGCTTATTCAGTTTAAAAATATATCATACTGTTTTATAGATCAATGAGCCAATGACACATTGATACAGCAGCATTTCTTAGTCAGTACTGGGAATTGAAGCTGCAGCAGGCATGTTGATGACAAGAAATATAGCATAGCTTGTAAGTAACATAAATGATAATCACCCTGTACTTCATGCATTGCAGGCAAAAAGTCATCCATCAGCCCCTGTATGACGTGGCTTGGTTTCAGCTGACTGACCCACTCCTCTACTGGCCTGTCAGGGGTGGTCAGCTTCGTCAGTTGTCTGCAGGATGGGCATTGGATAGACTTGTCTTGTATTGCTTCTGGATGTGTTTTGATGTATTTCAGCAGACAGGCCTTACAGAATGTGTGATTGCACTGAAGTGTGGCAGGGTCTGTGAAGACTGTGGTACAGATGGCACAGGTGAGGTGGTTGCCTGTCAACTTCTTGTAATCAAAGGTTGCCATCTACAATAGAAAGAGTTTATTCCTTTGATAACGTGGACTAAGTTGCACGCAATAAGAATACACCATTTGTGGAAAACGTAGCACTAAGGGGTAATATACCAGTTCACAAAATGTGGCTGAATATGAGCTTGTAATGTCACTACTGTTGTCTGAAATTTTGAGTGAAAAAGGAATACTAGCTCCTCTGATCCAATACCACGTCATAAATGTTTGTGTCCAACCACATCAGCCAATGACACTCCATTTTATAATACCAATGAACATCTGGGTTATGATTGGTCTTCGACAACCCATGTTCATTGTAAAAGGCAACTAACAGGATCTGGTGGCCATGCTCGATGACTTGGTTGATGCATATAATTGTATCCCAATTGGGAATATTGATGTGCATGTCAATCAATGGATTGTCTTGTCCAGACTTGATCATTTACAGACTACTGTCATATTGCTGGTCTATTGATCGGTGTGGTGTTACAGTAAAAAAACTTACACCATTTGTACACAATAAACAAACAAACAAATTCACCTGGTAAGGTAGTAGCGCTTGGTACCTGATGGAACATGGGTTACTAAAGCTTCATTCCTGAACATGTATCATTTTGATAAAAGTATAAAACCAAGTAACTCTATTATTATTAAAACAGAAAAGGAGCCCCCACCTGTGTGAGCTTGGAGATTCAGACACTTATAACATCTGCAATTGTAATTAAAAGTCAGGAAAGAGTTCCTTCCGTGCCCCTAACTCTAAACCTAACCCTAAAACTAGCCCTAACTTAAATTTTGGACTTTTAATCATTTTGTGAGTTCTCTAGTATTAAGTTTTGTTTATAATTCTAGAATATTTATACATATTATTTGGGATGGGGGAACGGGAGGAACTCTTACCAAAAGTCAAATTCTACAACCATCAGATGAAGGGTTAAATAATTTAAAAAACTGGCATACTTATTGGACTTTCTTTACAACCTCTGACCTCTCTAATGTCTAAATACAGTCTAGACCGAGTGCTGCACCTGAATTATATATTCGTCATCTGATAAGAATGACTTTTAACACGTTTCTTTAATTGTATCTGAACATACTGAAAGACATATCCAACTTCTAAAAGTGCCACTGAAAGAAATTGTCCCTCGTCGTTAAAATTTAGGGGTATAGGGGCGGAAGTCTTACCAAAATGTTGATGCAGCCAGCTATGTCAGTTTGATGTTTACCTCGGCCGTGAAGTGAGTTACTTTACTACTTGCTGATGATAACAGACCCTGAATCTGAGGAATCTGTACTTGCTTCGTGTAGGGGTGTCTGCATTGCAAAACCTAAAAGGGGTTGTGGTGAGGGGATCAGTTGGTTCTGAGATTATCAAACAGACTAGCCAGACTGACTGAATCGAGGCACACTGGCTTCGTGTCTCAGCTGCTTTGGACGATGCTGATTCTACTTGTGGTGTGGAAATTGTAATCGTTAGGTGCATTGAACATTGATTGAAAACGTTGTTTAATGATGAAGTAGTGCCAACGAGACCCAGCGTAAACATTTCACCTACCTCAAATCTGTGTCGTTATACCTCATGCAGTGCGTCTGCTTCTCTATCACAACTTGGTAAACTGGTTCCCGGCTCCCGAGATATGCCAGACGGAGCCCAGCCTATTTGGCAGCGTTGAAGCGTTAGCGCAACAAACTCCGGGAACCAAGGCTGCCTACTAAGCTGGTTCACGGCTCCCTGTGCGCGCGCTAACTTGCATTCATTGTGATATGCGAGACGGGGCCCAGCTTAGGCTGCCTATAGTTTAGGTTGTCTTCAAGTGTTTTTATCTTTCTGTTTAACATGAAATGCGTCAAATACTATGGGTTTATGTACAAGAAATATCTTGCAATATATTTAAAGACGTATTTAATATCAGTAATTGTATGAGACATTTTGGTAGTATAATGAGAGGGAGACATTGTTTTCCAAGCGTCAATTGTCAGAAGACGTTTGCGTATATTTTACGGAAGCTTATGTGACAATTAAAGGTGCGCTGACCAACATAGATAGATAGATAGATAGATAGATAGAGAGAGAGAGAGAGAGAGAGAGAGAGAGAGAGAGAGAGAGAGAGAGAGAGAGAGAGAGAGAGAGAGAGAGAGAGAGAGAGAGAGAGGGGGAGAGGGAAGAGAGAGGAAGGGAGAGAGAGAGTTGGTTTGGGACTAAGGCACTGGTGCCTGAGGTTCCATAGCAACAGCTTTCAGCCAATGACCTGGGACTATGTTTTCTCATGACTCAGGAGGTACTTAAAAGTCAAACGCCCGCTTTCTGCCTGTTCTCTGCCGATGTGACATCCCCTTTCAATCTGTGGATTGCGTTTTAGGTAAGAACATCAGCTTCTCCCGTCTGCCGCTAGACCTTAGCATGCTTTTGAAGTAAATCCCAAAGCATAGGTATTACCTTAACATGATAAGTAATTGCTGCCTTTAAAATCATATATTGATTACTAAATAATCAATTCACTGTCTCGTAAGTCATTTTGGTAAAATGTCACTCATTTTTTCACTGTCCAAAAGTGCTCTCAGTGGCAATAAAAGATAACAAGAATATTCATTGTAATATATATTCCTTTTGGAAATAAATTAACTTTAGTAAAATACTCTCTGTATTTGGAAATAACTTCCTAATTTGATCTGCCCGTCAAAATTGCCTCTAGCTCATTGCTAAATTAAAAATTCCACTAATTCCAAACATGCTGTCGTTAACAACAGAACTATGTTGCCATTTGTTTCTTTATTACAAAAGTGGTTGTGTCGTTGTCTGTGTTTGCGATCCATCTACTCAGCCAAAGCATCATGGTGTCATCTGGGTGCCGTTCCACTAACCGATCTTAGCCTATGCCAATCGTAAACCCCCAAATCCCAATCTTAGCGTGACGTTACGATCGGCATACCGTTCCACTAACCAATCTTACCTAAGTCAATCGTAAAGTTACGATTCAAAGTCTAAGTTGCTCATGACCAACTTAGGATAGCTAAAATCAATCGTAGAGAAACCAAAATGGTGGCTTTCCTATTCTATGTGCAAAATAAGAGCGAGCATTTCACCGTGATCGTCCCCTAAAATCCCCCATGAAATGAATTTGTATATTTCTGTGATGTAAACAAACACTGCACTGAAGCCTTACAAATGTCAGGCCAGTCTGACTACTGTCGTCATGGGAACACAACCGAGCGAGTCGGTGTGACACATTTGTACAACAATATTGCAACGTCATGGTTATGAATAACGACAGCCGTGTAGTGAACAATGTTCTGAAGCAAAAAGATACAAATATGTTTGATTTCACTGCGCATATTTGGTGGGGGATTCTAAAGGGAAGCCGCGTGTGATCTTCTACCCACTGACAGATTCTACATACGTTATAGCCTCGTCACGCCTTGTTTATTCTCATTGACAAGGTACAGGCACATCTTAAAAGCTCTGACACAATTGACATTTTTAAAGTCCAGACTTAAAACCTGTTCTCAGTATATTACTTATAATCTCGGCTGTAAATATTCTTGTGTAAATTATCTGTACACAGCGCTTTGAGCATTCCCAAGGATGTGGAATAGGCGCACTATAAATATGCATTTATTATTATTATAGTATGCTTGATACTCACGCACTTGCACCTGAAACTTTGGTGCGCACTACCCTAATATTTTGCTCTAGGTTTTTTCTCCACGTTTACACTTGGTTGGAAAAATACCCATGAAGGCCCGGGTTAGAATATTTATCTTCAATAACCCATGCCTGTCGTAAGAGGCCACTAACGGGTTCGGGCGGTCAGGCTCGCTGACTTGGTTGACACGTCATCGGTTCCCAACTGCGCAGATCGATGCGCATGCTGTTGATCACTGGATTGTCTGGTCCAGACTCGATTATTTATAGCTAAGATACATAGCGTTCACTAACATGAACGCTCATATTGGTGAACGCTGTGCATCTTAGCTAGATTATGTACAGACCGCCGCCATATAGCTGGACTATTGCTGAGTGCGGCGTAAATCTAAACTCACTCACTCACTCTGTTGGTTCGTAAACTACTTTCTATCTTTGCTAGACTATGCAAAGGGAGATAACTCTGGCCTCGCATTCCTCTATCTCTGGCACGAAAGAGTCTCGATCTAAGCTTGGATCGGATCGTAAGATCGGGACCGGCTACGATCGGCCTAAGATCGGTTAGTGGAACGGATGTAACTTTTAGCTAAGACGATTGTAAAATTGGCGTAACTTGCTAAGATTGATCTTAAATAAGATCGGTTAGTGGAACGGCACCCTGGAATCTATTAAAGGCAGCCCGCTCACTGACAACTGCACTCGTCTTTTGTATTTCTTCGGTTGTTGTCGGCATTCTTCGGCTCTCGTTCGATTACATAATAAAATGGCTGCAACGGATGAAAACGAGGTTTGGCTCTATCGTCCGGTTCATGTTCATCTTAGCATAGCAAAAAATACAAAACACTGGTGTCATCTTATGTCATATGTCTTATACAAAACTGATGTATATATATCCATACCTGCATCATGAACTTCTGGCATATATATACAAACTATATATTTTTTTTGCATAGGGTAACTATCTCCTTCTCTTGGCGTCTGGCTTTACGCAATCAAACAATGACAACAGGCGTAAGATTGACCATCGTTCTAATATATTAATTAATTCTGTGACATATTTATCTTAGTTATTTTCTTACTAAATGTGTTGTGTATGTATACTTTCAAACGTTGTGTAAACGTATTCTTTAATATTTAGATAATAATATTCGATAATATTATATTTCCCCACTTGATGTGAAAGTCAAGTCACGCTGATTCAATACTATATGCATTCTAATATATAGCCGATGATATACGTGCAAATTCTAGTGATATAAAGTGTGTAGTATTTCTATCCTTATCAATGTATTTTCTAATATTAGGTATCCATTCTGGGTTGCTGCAAGTGGTTTACAAATGACTGTTTTGGCAGAGAGTTCTTAGGGATGTGGAATGATTGGGTTGCTTATATCTACCTACTTGGTGTATTGGCATACTGGTGCGGGAGGGGCGGTGGGATAGCCCAGTGGTTAAAGCGTTCGCCCGGGTTCGATTCCCCACATGGGTACAATGTGTGAAGCCCATTTCTGGTGTCCCCAGCCGTGATATTGCTGGAAAATTGCAAGCAGCGGCGTAAAACCATATTCACTCACTACTGGTGCTGGAGCTAGTTCCATGTGAACTGGTACGATCATTCAACAGGTACACACCATAACTGGTACGATATTCAACTCACTATTCTGGTGCTGGAGCTAGTTCCACTGGTACGATCATTCATCAGGTACACACCATATTCACTCACTACTGGTGCTGGAGCTAGTTCCATGTGAACTGGTACGATCATTCAACAGGTACACACCATATTCACTCACTACTGGTGCTGGAGCTAGTTCCACGTGAACTGGTACGATCATTCAACAGGTACACACCATATTCACTCACTACTGGTGCTGGAGCTAGTTCCACTGTGAACTGGTACGATCATTCAACAGGTACACACCATATTCACTCACTACTGGTGCTGGAGCTAGTTCCATGTGAACTGGTACGATCATTCAACAGGTACACACCATATTCACTCACTACTGGTGCTGGAGCTAGTTCCACGTGAACTGGTACGATCATTTACAGTGGAAACCGCCTAAGTAAAGACCGCTTAACTAAACAGACCTGATAAGTAAACACTTTTCTTTGGTCCCGGCAAATTTCTTCATTAATTATCACTATTAGAGTCTGGTTAACTAAACTCGGATAAGTAAACAATACCGCTTAACTAAACGTCTTCTCACGGTCCCTGGAAGTAAATTACTTAACAAAAGAGACTGGATAACTAAATTAGCGATCACCACATAATCCGACATGAGGGGCAGTCGTGTCAGTCTCCAGTCAAACAAACATCCTACTTACAGCTCGCTGGCGTCAAGCAGTTGACAATACACTGACAACTGGAGGCCAGCCCTGATAAGTTGTTCATTGTTACATATGCATACATATACATGCATATGGTTGTCATTTGCAGGTTTTTATAAGTTTGGATAAGTAAAATACCTGATAAGTAAACAATTTTGGCGAGTCCCTTGAAATTTTACTTATCAGGTTTCCACTGTGATAGTGATAGTCCTATATATATATAGGATCACACTATATATATATAGGAGCATACTGTGAAAGTCACCCACCTGGCCTGTACCAAATATACACCTGGAAGAAAGTTATTATATAACCTTTGGTAGAAAGGAACCCGTGAAGATATGGGTTAGAATTGATCTTCAGTAACCCAAGTTTGTCGTAAGAGGCGACTATAACGGGATCGGGTGGTCAGGTTCGCTGACTGGGCTGACACATGTCATCGTATCCTAACTGCGTAGATCGATGCGCATGCTGTTGATCACTGGATTGCCTGGTCCAGACTCGATTATTTACAGACCATCGCCATATAGCTGGAATATTGCTGAGTGCGGCGTAAAACTAAACTCACTCACTGGTAGAAAGGATGTCGATTTTTTTGAGGAAATGTTAAAATCATTTTTATAAATATTCATTGTAACTGTATGCTTGCGTATGCACCTATGTTCCTCACACGAGTATTGTGTTTACATATCCCCATAAAAAAATATTTCAACACATACTTTTTCGTCACATACTGTATATATCACTTGGATTAGACCTGTCGTTTCTTGTATTTTTCAAGTACTCTTCCAGCCAGCACTGTCGAGGTTACAACATCTATCAATCTAAGGACTTTGTACTTGATTTCCTCAGGAATCACTTGCAACCTGTAACCAAGATTTCATCATAAAACGAAACTATTGCTCTCATTGTGTTGGGCCATCTGTGATCTCCTATCCCTTTTTCTTTGAAACATAATTCCGTTAGACAGTGGTAATTCAACAGGTGTTAAGACCCTAAAGAAATACCTGAGTACGTTCATTTCTACCAACAATAATAGCACGTTTCCACATTTCCCCCGCCCGTGACGCATGCTCAAGCTATTCTCGCTGTAGCGTTTACACCCAGCCAATGTCAAGGTCGTTCACATAACTTGTGCAATCTGTTTTCCTGTGCGCTTTGGCGGAAAAGGAAAATCCCGCTAACACAAGCAGTAACGTTCTGTATGACATCACGCACAGTTTAGTCCGTGCAACAGAATAACATATAGTACTACCCTGTGTGGATTAAATGTTGGCTTAAACGTGAATGCAGTGGAATTCCGCCATGTGTAGTCAACGGACCGGCTGTTTTGAGTGCAAATGTTTATAGTGAATATTCCCGAGAAAGCCCGCGGCGGTTAGGTTCACCTGGAAGGGCTACTGAAGTAGGGAGAATTCGTCAGTGGTAGGTACATGCTGTGGTTGAGTGAACCCTCTACTCCTAAGTCCAAGATATTATGTAAACAAGACTAACCCTCTACAGTACGGACACAGTTTAATACAGACAGTATCGCGTCATGTCTTGACTGTATTATATTATAGGACTGCATCGCGGCTTTCGGCTATTATGCACTGGGTGTGCACTTTGCATATACATGTACATCATTATTGTGTACTATATCTTTACGTTGCATATTGATAACAACAAATCATATCGACTGTGATGTCAATGTCACAATATATAGTATTTCGTTTTTTTAAATACAACAGTTAATTACATTTAAAAGCGAATCCCCACATGGGTACAATGTGTGAAGCCCATTTCTGGTGTCCCCCGCCGTGATGTTGCTGGAATATTGCTAAAAGCGGCGTAAAACCAAACTCAGTCAGTCAGTCATTTGTATCTCACTTTTTCTGTGTCATCGTGACATATTTTAGTTTGTTTACACGAGGTGTGTTAGCTGGGATATATGGTTTGTGTGTACTATCGAGGTGAGTCATTAGATCTCAGATATTGTTGTATCGATCTGCGTTATTAGGTGAGTGAGTGAGTGAGTGAGTGAGTTGAGTTTTACGCCGCACTCAGCAATATTCCAGCTATATGGCGGCGGTCTGTAAATAATCGAGTCTGGACCAGACAATCCAGTGATCAACAGCATGAGCATCGATCTGCGTAATTGGGAACCGATGACATGTGTCAACCAAGTCAGCGAAACTGACCACCCGATCCCGTTAGTCGCCTCTTACGACAAGATAGTCGCCTTTTTATGGCAAGCACATGGGTTGCTGAAGACCTATTCTACCCCGGATCTTCACGGGTCTCTGCGTTATTAGGAGGGATTGTCCAATGTCCGCTGAGGTGCATCACGTCACAGACTGCAGCTACTCGTGAATGTTGCGACATCCTCGCAGATGTCATTTCCGGACCAAGATATATGTGTGGCGGATATAAGGAGGTCGGGAACACTTCACCCCGTGTGTTACTGGCTGTAGGCTGGCAGTCTAACTGAATCTCACCAGGGTTGAGGTTTGTTGTAACGTATGTTATATTTGGGATTGTTTATTGTTTAACTCAGATACATGGCGGCCGAATGTAAATAATCGTGTCTGTACCAGACAATTCAGTGACTGACATCATGAGCTTCGATCTACGCAACTGGGTCAAGATCAGTATTCTCTGGCTTCAGAGATTCTAACTATTTGATGTCTAGATCTGTAGACGTTACTCGATGTAGAGGTTCTACAGGGATTTTCATCATATGGGTCCGAGTGTTACTGGTTGATTGCACACAGCTGAAATACACTCCGTCTGAAATTACTGTCACCGTCTGTGGCCTGTAAACTGAAACTGTTCTAATCTTGACGTTTGCGTATTTGAACTATGATTTGACAACAAAAATAGATAATTGGATAATAGCTTAATTAGGAATACTCCTGACCTTGACCAAGCACGTTTACTTTACAGCAGCGGAGAGCCACACACGAAACATGGCTGACGTCGAAAGCAAGGAAGTGACAGTTCCAAGCAAAACAGAGGAAGAGCAACCTCTTCAGCCTGCCCAAGAGTCTGCCACATCGGTGCCCGTGGTATCTACCCATGTTACTAGATTTGAATTCGCGGACCAAACAGTTGCTCCACAGCAGGGTTTGGAGCGGGAACACTGGACCTGTAATGCAGAGTTCATCATGGCCGCGTTGGCCTCTGCCACGGACTACAGATATATGTTTATGTTCCCGTATTTGTGTTACTCTCTCGGAGGAAGTAAGTGCTCAGTGTCATTATGTACTGCTTATATTCATTCATTTCACACACTGGAGAACATAACAGATTGTTTACATGCTAACCCGACGTTCATGTAGACACGTAGGTACCATTAAGGTTCTAGCGTATGCCCAGGGACGGTGGGGGAAGACCCGGGTTCGATTCTCCACATGGGTACAATGTGTGAAGCCCATTTCTGGTGTCCCCGCCGTGATATTGCTTGAATATAGCTAAAAGCGGCGTAAAACTAAACTGTGTCTCTCTAACGTGTCGACCTGTCGGTAATACTAAGACGCCTACGTATCGGCATCGCATGTAGGTAAGGTGGCTTCAAGTTGACAGCATGAAGGCTTGTGGTTGTGTAGGCAATATTCAGGTACGTGTCGAGAAAATGTGATAACTTTTACATGTAAAATGTCGACTGTCCCGTCTAAATACAATTACACGCTGATACTACCTGACCGTAAATACATAATTGCTTGGAGTCAAAATAGTAATAAGCAGCGCAAGTATAGTAAACCATTATTCAGCAACAAAATCTTATTAAATGAACTTATATGTAGATTAGACTAACGCTTAGTCTCTGAATGTAGATATATTTGATAGTAACAAATAAATAAATTGAAAAGGAGCCCCAGTGAGATGGGGATTCATAACCTGAACCTAGGGAAAACTAGACTTGCTTCACTTAGGTATTTAGCATTGCAGGGAAGGCTTGGACAGTTGGGAAAATAATCTGGTTCATTGACTATATGTAGATATGCAGTCATGGTGGCGATACAAAGGCTGAGTGAGTGAGTTTGGTTTTACGCCGCTTTTAGCAATATTCCAGCAATATCAGGGCGGGAGACACCACAAATGGGCTTCACACATTGAACCCATGTGGGGAATAGAACTCGGGTCTTCGGCGTGACGAGCGAACGCTTTAACCACTAGGCTACCCCACCGCCCCTCAGAGGCTCAGATATGTGCAGGTAATGCCTTGGTATTTATGGCAGGCATTGTAGAGTACATGGAACCTTACGCCTTTTATTCCAATCTACATACAATTGGTTATTCAGGTCTGAATTGCACTTCTGAATTGCTTCAGAATATGAGAATATTATACGTAGCTGAAGCTTAAGTGCAATTGTGAACTCTGTGTTTCAAAATTCAGAGTTAAATCCTTAATTACGAGTTTGTGTTTTTGAGATTTTACTTTCAAAGGAAATGTTTAAAGGTGGACTGTAAGATCTTTTGATTCTTCTTTCTCTTGTGGGTATGGAAATATGTCTTGTCAAACATTATGGGGGCTATTATATGTCATTTAACGAAATCTGGACACGTTTGCAACCTGTTCCACTTCCACTGCCTTACAGCAGCGTTGAACCCATTGTACTCACTCACTCTGTCACCGTGTCCTTCTTCCAGTTACCTTCATCATCCTGTACGGCACCTTCCTCCTCCTGTTCGGAGTCCCCATCTTCTACATGGATCTAAGTCTGGGTCAGTTCTGTGGGAAAGGCCCAGCCCACATCTATAACCTCAGTCCACTACTCAGAGGTAAGGTCATAGGTCACGCCCACAACCTTTGTACGAAACACGAGTATCATCTACTCTGTCCCTGTCTGGTATTATTTCACGAAACACTTATTGTTTACACTCTCACTGTGAACAAAATTCTATGAAAAGCGATTGAAATATAGCGAACATAATTATTTCAATATTGCTTTTCATATATTATTATCATTGCTTTTCACATAATTATTTTCAGGATTGCTTTTTCCTCCTATTCCACCATTTCATTTATGTCCTCCTTGCCCTGCTCCTTATTGTCCCCCGCTTCATCAGTTATCGCCTTGGCCTCCTCCTTATCCCTCTCCTTATCGTCTTCCTGTCTGTCGGTTGTCCTCCTCATTATCCTCCCCTTATCCCTCTCCTCATTGTCTTCCTCTCTGTCGTCCTCCTTGTTCTCCCCTTATACCTCTCCCCATTGTCTTCCTCTCTGTCGGTTGTCCTCCTCCTTTTCCTCATCGTCTTCCTCTCTGTCTGTTATCCTCCCCTTATCCCTTTCCTCATCGTCTTCCTCTGTCAGTTGTCGTCCTCTCCTTATCCCTCTCCTCATAGTCTTCCTCTGTGTCGGTTGTCGTCCTCCTTGTCCTCCCCTTATCCCTCTCCTCATTCTTCCTCTCTGTCGGTTGTCGTCCTCCTTGTTCTTCCCTTATCCCTCTCCTCATAGTCTTCCTCTCCCGGTTGTCCTCCCTATCCCTCTCCTCATAGTCTTCCTGTCTGTCGGTTGTCCTCCCCTTATCCCTTCCCTCCCATTCTTCCTCATCTTCCTCTGTCCCCTTATCCTCCCCCATGTCTTCCTCTGTCGGTTGTCCCTCCCTCATTGTCTTCCTCTCTGTCGGTTATCCCCCCTTATCCCTCCCTCATAGTCTTCCTGTCTGTCGGTTGTCCTTATCCCTTATCCCTCCTCATCATCTTCCTCTCTGTCGGTTGTCGTCCTCCTCTTATCCCTCTCCTCATCGTCTTCCTCTCTGTCGGTTGTCATCCTTGTCCTCCCCTTATTCGTCTCCGTATCTTCCTCTCCGTCGGTTGTCGTCCTCCTTGTCCTCTTATCCTCTAACTTGTTCTCCTCCTCGTTTTTCTCTTTGTTGTCCTCGTTCTTTTAATCTCGTCCTCCTCCTCCTCCTCTTTCTGTTATCCTCCTGATTTTGTACTCTTCCTCCTCTCTCTGTCTTGATATGAGTTTGACACATGTCTTCGTATCCCATATGCGTAGATCGATGCTCATGCTGTTGATCACTTGATTGTTTAGCTGGAATATTGCTGAGTGCAACGTAAAACTAAACTCACTTACTCACTGTACAGCTGCTGGCATGAATGGTTGTTGTGAAGACTACATTGCTATTATTCTTGTTACAGGCATCGGCGTGGGAATGGTAGTAGTGACAGCTATGTCCCATCCCCTATATGGTGCGATCCCGACATGGAGTCTATACTACTTGTTCCAGTCAGGGTCCATCGTTCTACCTTGGTCTACCTGCAGCAACGAATGGAACACCATGTCATGCGTCGATAGTCAAACTGTACCCCTTAACACAACTGGAGACTCCTACATGTCCCATGGACCGTCGTCCCCTGCGCTTGAATACTTTTAGTAAGTCACTGCAATGTTGGAAAAACAGCCATAAATACGCATATGATTGTTAATGTGGTACATGTGCAATATGCAATGTTATGATTTTTGTTTACATCTTATTACACAGCGTGGATAGCCATGGTATACAAGTCACACATCGTGAGTTGAACACTTCATCAACGACTGCTCAGAAAACATTAAATATACTGGGGGCGGTGGGGTAGCCCAGTGGTTAAAGCGTTCGCTCATCACGCTGAAGACCCGGGTTCGAGTCACCACATGGGTACAATGTGTGAAGCCCATTTCTGGTGTCCCCCGCTGGAATATTGCTAAAAGCAGCGTAGAACACAACTCACTCACTCATCACAGCTTAGGCTCTGTATTTGTTGATAGGAATAATATATGTTTAAGTTAGAGAGTAATCTATAAATCGTAATAGGAAACGTCATTAGAAATTCTTGCTATAATGTTTGAAGTGTCAAATACCTATCACGTTCAAGTACTAATTCATCCAATGATAGCGTAGCCCAGTGGTTAAAGCGTTCGCTCGTCACGCTAAAGGCCCGGGTTCGATTACCCTCTTCCAATTAAGATGAGCTTTATGATTTTCCGTTTTTCAGATTTCGTGAGTGAGTTAGTGATTGGGGTTTAATGCCGCTGTAAAAGGCCGGTACAAACTATTTCATCTTACCTCACACATAAATGTCGTTTTCCGCCACTGTACCCCGCTTATAACATTTTCTATGTTACCTGCTGGGAATGCCGAACTGTGGGAATTCATTTCGTGTTAGCAGTGTTTTGGACGTTGCCGGTATTGGCTAAATGCCTAACTCTGGTACTCCTTATTATGATCCGGTACCCGTGCTTCGGACAGTTCACAATTAACATTGAGGTGTTCGGTAAGATAAATACGTTGTTCACTGGTCCCTCGGGGCCCATGGGTTGATGTACCTCGACTATGCTCAAGACAAGTAAAACTATGCACTTGTAAAAACATGCGACTTATATATTATGTATTATAAACACTATGAAAATGAAGTAGTGTTTACGTCCTTTTCATTGCAGTAATCGAGTCTTGCAAATGACCCCTGGAATCGAACACTCCGGTCGACTTCAATGGGAGCTGGTTGGGTGTAGGTTCGCAACAGTGCTTCTCATATTTGCTGCTTTGTTCTGGGGAGTTAAGGTTATTGGAAAGGTATGTGAAGCACGTTTGCCCATTTATTCTTTCTTGACTGAATTATCCATTTCACAGCGTCAGCAAGGGTGGGATTGACACATTGTTCTCATATGGGGAATCGAACCCGGATAATGAGCCCCCACTACACTATCCTCTACCTACCAGAATAGTTATATGTATCTTTTCACTTGTATGACACATTGTCATGTCTTAACTTCTAGCTGTTTTGGGCGGTGGGGTAGCCTAGTGGTTAAAGCGTTGGCTCGTCACGCCGAAGACCCGGGTTCGAATCCCCACATGGGTACAATGTGTGAAGCCCATTTCTGGTGTTCTCCGCCGTGATGGAATATTGCTAAAAGCGGCGTAAAACCAAACTCAGTCAGTCAGTCTAGCTGTTTCCCGACGTTTAACTCGAATATTTTCAGACCATATCATAAGATGTTTGTATTCATTTGCCAGGTTGCAAATGAGAAACTTGATGATTGAACGTACGATGGGCTAGTAAACTTAATTCAAACAACATTCTAAAAAGAATTCCCATGAAGCATTATCAGAAGTCAGTGGTCGGCCACCTACATTATCATGTCATTATGCCATGTGGGGTTTTTAGTGTTAGGTTTGGGGTGGTTTGTGTGTGTTGGTCTATATATATGGTGAGGGTGGAGTTCGGGGGAGGGGCGTGGTCAGGAAATAAACACAGTTGGAAACTGTTTTCCGTCACTGAGAAAGAAGGCGCTGACCAATTGAGTTACATTTTTTCAGCATTCAAAACAACATAACCTTATCATGTATTTTCTGAAACATTATATTCCTTGGTATGACCCTACAAACTGTCTCTCCAGGTGATGTTCGTCACGGTGCCACTCATCTTTCTCCTCCTTCTGGCACTGTTTCTAAGGGGCATGACGTTACCAGGGTCACTGGAGGGTATACAATATCTCCTCATACCTTCTGTAAGGGGTCTCCTGGATGAACGGGTAAGGCTTGCTATACCGGTATAGGCGAGTGCAGTGTCACAGTAATAAACTAATGTCCAAAAGAAACCATACCAGGTATTTGAAAGGACACGATACAGAAATTTTAGATTGGTATACATGTATTTCATTTGAGAATTTTTCCAATAACACGTGTACAAAAATTCATTTCAATCAAACCTTACAATCATAAGGACAGGTTTGTAATGGGGCCCAAAATGAAAATTTCATTAAAACACTCATGACAAGGCAAGAGTGGAAAATGTCGCAACAGACGTCTCAAAGTCACGTCAGTATCGGGTATGTCCACCGTGACACGATGGTGCACGTCTACGGGCTGATGACGTCAAACGTCGGATGACGTTGCCATTCATCAAGGAGGCATTGTTCAAATTCCCGGAGGCTGACTGGAGGCTCAGGGCGATTTCTGATTTGGCGATCGAGATGGTCCCATAAGTGTTCGATTTGGGTACTTCCGGCGAATATGTCGCCCATGGTAAAATCTGAATGTTGGCTTGGCGAGTAAGTTCTGATTCCAAGAGGCTTTTGTTGGATGAATGACTCCACAACTGGTTGTAAACTTTCATGTTGATAAGTTGAACGCTGTGCATACAGATTTCGTCGAATAACGACTGGACTGGTTAAAGCTTTCGCTCGTCACGCTGAAGACTTGGGTTCGATTCCTTGCATGGGTACAATGTGTGAAGCCCATTTCGGGTGTCCCCCGCCGTGACATTGCTGGAATATTGCTAAAGGCTGCGTAAAACTAAACACACTCACTCAGTCACCCACACTTACTTGAAATCTGGTATTTGTCGTTTACAAATGAAGCGTCGTCATTTTTTCGAACTTTGGATTCGAACCAAGGACCTGTGGATTAATATATATCAAAGAGAACACAATCCTGTTCCGCCTTAGCATGTTTTGAGTCTGAAAGATAAGCGTGTAAGGGAGGCATGCTTGGAAGAGGGTGCAGATTGGCGTCAGTTATTTCAGTATTTCATGTTACTTATATTCAGACGTGGACCTCTGCTTTACTCAGTGCATTGTATACTGTGGGGGTGGCATCAGGAACCATCAACACGCTGGCAAGCTACAAACGCTTCAGATCTACGGCACTGAGGTCAGTTTTAATCATCATTTGTGAAATTACCATGACCTTCAAACCTAACGATCATATCAATATCCAATTACTGTATGCCCAAGTTTGAACATTCAAGTTGGAGATACTAACGATTGCATTGTAACAGTTAATTAAGACATCAATTTAATTTAATAAATATTGTCATTGGTTTTCTTCATAAACTTAGAATTGTTATTTTCAATGATTTCTTGACACTTTATCTAATTTAATTTAATTTCATGAATATTTATTGTCAGCACTATAAGAAACGATACAAAATGGCTTCTGTTGTTTTCAATGATGTCTTGACACTTTATCTAATCTAATTTTATTTCATGAATATATATTGTCAGCACTATAAGAAACGATACAAAATGGCTTCTGTTGTTTTCAATGACTTCTTGACACTTTATCTAATCTAATTTCATTTCATGAACATATATTGTCAGCACTATAAGAAACGATACAAAATGGCTTCTGTTGTTTTCAATGACGTCTTGACACTTTATCTAATCTAATTTCATTTCATGAACATATATTGTCAGCACTATAAGAAACAATACAAAATGGCTTCTGTTGTTTTCAGAGATTCCTTTATTGTTGTTGGAGTGTCACTGGTTGTAGGAATTGTTTCAAGTTTGATGATGTTTGGCTTTTTCGGAGCACTTGCTGAACATAAACACGTGTCGATGGGCCAAGTAGTGGACGGTGGTAAGTTATACATTTTTACATCTGGTTTATTTAGATATACATATACATCTGTGTGGTGCAAATTGTTTACCTGGTTTCTTTCTTTTTTTACATTTGTTGGAAAAGGTTGACCTCCTTTCTTAATTTACATTTGACCTAATGCTTGAGTTTTCAGCATCTACAAAACGTAATTACGACAAAAAACAACAACGTATGAAATCTTTACCAGGGGCAGAATCCATTGAACGGTTCTGAGTAAGCATTGTTCACTATCAAAGTGATTGTACCAGGTTCTTGCTTTTAAAGTTCGCGTATCCTGCTTCAGTGCTGACACCTGTCACAACCACATTCAACAGCAAGTAATTTATTCACCTACAGTAAACAAGGGATGACATATTTCAAGTGTTCAAGTTTTATTACACATCATTCTTGTCAATGATGCTTTAAATTTGGAAATGACCTTCACATTTCCACCGGGGCGGTGGGATAGCCAGGTGGTTAAAGCGCTCGCTCGTCACGCCGAAGGTACGGGTTCAATTTCCCACATGGGTACAATGTGTGAAGCCCATTTCTGGTCTGGAATATTGCTAAAAGCGGCGTAAAACTGAACTCACTCACATACCCACCAAAAGCATGGATATTGACATTAATCGCAAAACGCCGTACGTTATTTCTTCTAATTCTGACGGTGATCTTGCCCTTCCTTTACGACTCCAAGGCAATATCTAATCAGAGTCGAGGTGACAATTTTCAGTAATACAGAATATGATACTTAAAATTATATCATGAACTGGCATGTTTAATACAAGGATACGTATTGCGAAGAAAATAAACTCAGTAGACGAGGTAGTGTTTACCAAAGATACGAGTTAAGGAATGGGTGAGAGTGTGAATAAGCTTTTACCCTGCTTTGAGCTACGTCCCAGCAACATCATGACATCACACATTGTACCCATGAGGGGATTCGAACTCGGGTCTTCCACGTGACACAAAACATAATACATGGGCCTGTCAACAACTGTAGAGTTTAATAACGTCAACTTCAACACAGCGACATTTGGCTGCAGTCGAAATGGTTTCTATCACAACTACAACTATAAGTTAATTTCTCATCCAAAACTTTGATCCACAGGAGATAATGCTTTTGTGAGATCAAACGATATCTCCTTGGATATATCGTTTTGACAGTAGATTTTGTACAATGCTATGACGTCATGAACTTGATGACGTCACAATGCTATGACATCGCTGCACTGCAAGTCTAATGGCAGTACTGTGTTCAGTGATGTACATTTTTCATTGAAAACTAATGAAGAGTGATTTTTGATGATAAATCAACACTCGTTGATAAAAGTAAAAAATATCCTCGGCAAGCCTCGGATATTTGTAACTTTATCAACGTGTGTTGATATAATTGACATCAGTAGACACTTGGGTGAGATTCTCTATGCATACATTTATTAATCTATTACAGGTATTCAGGCGGTGTTCGTAGCATTGGCGGAAATGACTGCACAGCTTCCAGTTGCCCAATTCTGGAGTTTTGCGTTGTTCTTCATGCTTTTGTTGATAGGACTCAGCAAGCAGGTACAATCTATATCCGAGAATATATAAGAAAGCATATCTATGAGAGACAAATATTGACAAAAAACGTTTCGGCAAATAATGAAATTAGTGGACGAATAGTAGGTGAAAGCCAACTTGTACACTCTTAATGTGTAGAGGATAAAAAGGCCTGTTCGTTTTTTGGGGGGTAAGAGTCAAACCCAGAATTATCGGAACATGACACGCTTAATATTGTCACAACCACTTTACGCCATCTATGATTATTTTTTTTATAGAAAAGGCATATTAAGTAACATTACGAAATCTGTTTCAGATCCTTTATGCTGAGGTTGTTATTACGGCAGTGCTGGATTGTTTGTCTCGCCGGTCTCACCTGATACGATTCATCATCACTGCCGCCTTCTGTGGCGCTTCCTTCCTTCTAACTCTTCCCTACCTTTCACAGGTAAAACTAAGCTCCCCACATGTACATTTGCCTAACATTAAGAGAATTGAATAACATTAAATGCAAGCAATAGTACAAAATTGCATTGACATATTTTCAATATGGCCGTCAGAGGAGCCATGTTATTAAACCCAATGACCGCTTTTGTTGAAAATCAATTGACACCTGGTGTTCTCTCTGCAGGAGAAAACAAAATCTTTTCCAGTTGAGACCATGTCGCAATAATAAATTCATCAAACAAAATAAACTGTTTAGAACCAATGAAAAACACTTCTACAGGCAACTGAAAACAAAAGGTGATGGTGAACATGACAAACGGCCTCCCATGGATGCCAATGAAAGGTTCTGGAAACAGTTGTGGTCTGTACCCGGCAACTGTAACCTTGAGGCACAGTGGGTCCGTGATTATGACCATGCAATGCATGAGAAGGTAACTAGGTCGTTTGTCTGTTACATCTCACCAGATTGCCTGAAAAGTGTTATAAAAAAGTCCAAATCTAATACAGCTCCAGGGCCTGATGGCATTCGAAACCGGTATTGGAAACTGTTCCCCTGTGTCCAAACACCGTTACTACACTGTTTCAATACTCTCGTGGACACAGGTGATGTTCCTCCATGGTTCTGCAAAGGTCGCACAATACTTCTCCCCAAGAAAGGAGACTTGACTGATCCCAAAAACTTCCGCCCTATCACATGTTTGAATACACAATACAAAATATTCACAGGGTGTTTGACAAACCTCGTGTCATCTTACTGCTCTTCCAATGATATCATTTACAGAGAGCAGAAGGGAGCAAGAAAGGGATGTTGGGGGTGCAAGGATCAACTTCTTGTACAGAAAATGATTTTGGAAGAGGCTAAAACTTATCACCGCAACCTCTCCATGTGCTGGATTGACTACAAAAAAGCATACGACTCTGTCCCTCACGAATGGATTCTGAAGTCTCTTCATTGTATTGACCTCCCTGAGCGACTACTTGATTTACTCAAGTCTTTAATGAGTTGCTGGTCGACTCAACTTGAGATGTACTCACAAGGGCAGGTGCAGACTTCGGAATCTATTCCAATCAGAAGGGAATATTTCAGGGGATTCCTTTAGTCCTTTGCTTTTTTGTCTTTCCCTAAATCCTTTGAGCTTTCTGCTCAATAAAGAGGAGGGTTACCATCCCGGACCTCCTCAGCACAGATCCCCAACACCTCTTACTCATCTCCTTTACATGGATGACATCGAACTCCTTGCCAAAGGAGATTCCAATTGAAACAGCAGGTTCTCCTTGTCGAGTCCTTTTCTAATGATATTGGCATGACATTTGGACTCGACAAATGTAATACTCTTCATTTGAAACGTGGCAAGGTAACTAATGATGGATCGGTCAGGTTACAAGGGGGAGGAGTTATTGAGCATCTTGTGGAAGATCAGGCCTACACCTATCTTGGAATGCAAGTTCGAGACAAGCTCCAGAATGCCCAGATTCAAGAAAAACTTCGGGCCGAGTATAAATCTCGTTTAAAGAAAATCTGGAGTTCAGAGCTAAATGCTCGAAACAAGGTCAAAGCCACCAATACTTTTGCTGTGCCAGTCCTTTCCTATTCCTTTGGAGTAGTTGATTGGACGAAACAAGACATCCAGAGTCTTGACCGTCTGACCATGTCTGATAACAGAGCCCACCACCCTCGTTCCTCTCTTAACCGTTTATACATGCCAATCAATTCTGGAGGTCGGGGTTTGATTAATGTGGAGGCTCTTCATGACAGAATTTTATTGTGTACTTTTGCACATATTTATTTATCGGATGATCCTCTGGTGATGCATGTGAAGACTCATGATGAAAGCAAGGAATTCCACAGTTATTTTAAGCGTGCCAAGGTTGTTGGACAGAATCTGAGATTTGAGGTTGACTTTGCTGATGGCAATGTACTGCTGGACGGTACAGCGATGGGAGTAAACCAGGTGAAGTCCTTCACCAAGTCTGCCCAGAGTCGGTCTTTTGTGGAGAAGCTTTCTGAGAAGCCATTGCATCGTGTGTACATGCAGTGTGTTGAACAGAATAGCAATCCCACCGACTCGTTCGCCTGGATGAAGTCGGCTGGTCTTAAATGTGAAACTGAGGGCTTCCTTTTTGCTGCTCAGGACCAGTCACTTCCCACTCGTAGTCGCCTAAATGTGATTCTTAAAGAGAATATTAACATGAAATGTCGACTTTGCAATGAATTTACAGAGACTGTCCAACACCTTGTCAGTGGATGCCCTTCCTTGGCACAAACAGCATATCTTAAACGACATGATGGCATGGCTCGTTGCTTTTACTACCGTCTCCGACATGCCTGTGGCTTTGACTCCGAGGTCCATCCATGGTACGACCCTGAACATGTCCAGGGCGTCATGGAAAATGATGCTTTCAAACTTCTGTGGAATAGGCCCATATACAGCCTCAGAAGAATTCCAGCTAACAAACCTGATCTTGTCCTTTTTGATAAAGCCAATGAATTTATTTATATCATAGAATTTTCTGTCCCTTTTGACACCAATGTGATTGGCAAGATTAAGGAAAAGCATGATAAATATGCGGACCTCGCCTTTGAAATGTCTCGCTTGCATCCCAAGTACACTGTCGTCAGGCTCCCCATTGTTCTCGGTGCCCTTGGTTTGGTACCTCCTGATCTCTTGGCGCAGATCAGGAGAGTGCCCGGGTTCTCCACCGGGAGTACAGCCCTTCTGACACTCTGGGTAATGCAGAAGGCTGCAGTGTTGGGGAGCCTTCATATTCTCCGGAAGGTTCTTGGTGGGTTCGACTAGGCAGCGTTTCCTGGGAGAAGTCCCATTCGCTGTCTGGGCTGCGTGTAGAGGGGGCAAGGGCCCTGAGCTGATGATGAGCCTTACCAGCCTGACTGTGCCAGGATCACCCGAACCCTCTCTGCTGCATACAATCTTTAATCTGTAAAACATAATAATAATAATAATACACAAGATTTGTATAGCGCCTTATTTGCTTTTTTAAAAAACACTCTAAGGCGCTTAACATATATAATACTGTATGGTGATATACTGGTGGTACACAAGTGATGCTAAAAGATGAAACATCTAACACATGGTAAAAATACATACAAGGAGTAACATTCTACACAGTGATAAAACCAGTGATCCATTATATGGAATAAGCAGCTTTAGAAAGATGAGTTTTAAGAGCTTTCTTAAAAATGTCCAGTGAGGATGAATTTCTTAGGCTAATTGGTAAACTGTTCCAAAGATTTGCTGAAATGGTGTCAAAACATCTGTGGCCATACGTTACTGTACGTGTCTTTGGGATTCAGAGACGGGATTCAGATTCTGATCTGAGTGACCTGGTTGGATGATATGGTACAACAAGTTCCCGAAGATAGTATGGGGCCAAACCGTGGATACATTTATAAGCATACATCAAGATCTTATACTGGCATCTCTGTCTGACTGGAAGCCAGTGTAGCTTCTCTCTCACAGGCGTAATCTCCTCACGTCGGCTAGTCTTGGTAATGAGTCATCAGCAATGATTTAAAAACACGTTTATCTGTAGTTAAACACGTTGAAGTAAGATGTATAAGTGACAAAGGTTTGTTAAGGAATTGCAGAAGTATATTATACCCCAGAAAGTCAAAACATTAAACAAAATGATAAGTTGAAGTGAGATAAGCTTGGACTAGGGCGGAAGCTTGCACTTTGACACCGCTCTCCCATAAACGTCCACTTTCTTCCTGATAATCACGACATATCTTTAGAAGTAAACCCAGCCAGCTCATAACACCCTGTGACAGCTATCTTCCCCAGTGAAAGCCAGAAGTTATAGACATTCACCAGCGTCTGATTGGTGTTTATGGTGTGGACCTCCCAAGTATTCATAATTGCAAAATGGTGTACTGAATTCAAGCGAGGATGAGAAAGTCTTACAAATCTGGTCTCGCCACTTAGTTTTATTTCCGAATTGATTTTACTTCCGGATAAACTCGCCACTTATTCCATGTTAACGTCAGATTTTATTTCCGGAATTGATTTTTCCATTTTGTTATTGTAGCTGATTTGGGGCGAGGAATGGCCTGTCTGTTATTTATTCCATATGTTAACGTCACTGTATTGTTATTGTAGCTAATTCTTGGTGAGGAATGGCCTGTCTGTTACGTATTCCATGTTAACGTCACAGTATTGTTATTGTAGCTGGTTTTGGGCGATGAATGGACCGTTTATTCTAAACATGCAACAAGGAAACCTGAATCAACAATAGACGAAAATGCAGAATTCAATGTAACCATAGCAATGACCAATCAGAGGAATATTCCAATGTCTCGTTTCTTGGGAGACTATATGTAACGTGTTTCATCAGATCGGGGCGGGTCAGTGCCCTAGAAGCTCCCAGGGCCCCGTTCCTCAAAGCGATCGCAGCGCTAAGGTGATCGTAACTCCCATACTTTAACATAGACTTACAACTGTCGTAGCGCTACGATCGCTTTGAGGAACGGGGCCCAGGAGACAAACTAGACGAACACGGTCTCACAATGTTGTTTGATTTCGTGATCCATGGCCTTATAGGCGACATTCTGAAATACGCAAGCTATGATAGGAAAAAAAATCACCAACATTTATGTATCACAGACGGTCATATTATAAACTGAATCACAGATGATTCATTGTTCCAGTTGAATCATTTTGTCATATTAAACCCTTCTTCCGAATAGAAAAAGAAAAGGTACAGTTGCAAATAGAAGCTTATGTGTGCGTGTACATATATACAAACACTTGTTAGATTATGATCTGTTTTTGTTTCTCAGGGCGGTATCTACTTCTTCATCATGGTTGATGCCAGTGCTATGCGGCTTGCCCCCTATATACTTACCTTCCTGCAGCTTATAACAGTCGGATGGATATATGGTATGAGAATTTACTGCTCAGGGCGGGCGGGTATCCCAGTTGTTAAAGGGTCACGCCGAAGATCCGGGTTCGATTCCCCACATGGGTACACTGTGTGAAGCCCATTTCTTGTGTTCCCTGCTGTGATATTGCTGGAATACTGCTAAAAGCGGGGTAAAACCCAGCTCACTCACTCACTCGTTCAGATACCGATCCGCAGTTTTACATGGATACCCCACTCACACTGACTGCGAGTATCCCAGAGCTTTCGAACATCTACTATTCATGACAAAATCATTCAAAACATGACATTGGATATACCATAACGTACGTCAAGGCAAATACGAAGCATTCATGTCTGTTTAAACGAGTTTTCCTTGGCATGTAACTGGTAAAAATCTATTTGAAAACAATCGTTTTCAATTTTGATGGAGTTTTGTTTAACTGCATTAATATTATTTCATTTACATATCGGCTTCATGTAGGAGACTAGATCAACCTGGAGCAGGTGCTATACGTTTAAGTACTGTCTAAAAAAACGGACATCGGTACTTTGTTAAGACATGAAAGATTATAACGAGGCAGTGATGTGCTTCGAACACACGGGTTTTTAGATACCACTGGTCTCCGTCGAGTTAAGCCTATACGGCGTCTAGATAGATATTTGTCACCTTTCTCATGGTGACTGGGAAACTGTATGCGTATATTCTGAGTTACCCCTAAAGTCAAAAGCATTGTATATGTGTATCACGACCAATGCCACGGCAATTGACCTTATGTTCCAGGCATTGAGCAGTTAAGCAGGGACATCAAGATGATGACAGGTCTCCGACCTCCTGTCGTCTACAAGCTCATCTGGTGTTTCGTACTTCCACTCCTTATGCTGGTAATGTCTTCCTTATCCTGGTAATATCTACCTTATCCTGGTAATATCTTCCTTATCCAGGTAATGTCTACCTTATCCTGGTAATGTTTACCTGATGCTGGTAATGTATTCCTTATCCAGGTAATATCTACCTTATCCTGGTAATGTCTTCCTTATCCTGGTAATGTCTACCTTATCCTGGTAATGTCTTCCTTATCCAGGTAATATCTGCCTTATCCTGGTAATGTCTTCCTCATCCTGGTAATGTTTACCTTATACTGGTAATGTCTACCTTATCCTGGTAATGTTTACCTTATCCTGGTTTATCTTGGTAATGTCTACCTTATCTTGGTAATGTCTACCTTATCCTGGAAATGTCTACCTTATCCTCGAAATGTCTACCTTATCCTGGTAATGTCTACCGCATCCTGGTAATGTGGACCTTATCTTGGAAATGTCTACCTTATCCTGATGTCTACCTTATACTGGTAATGTCTACCTTATCGTGGTTTATCCTGGTAATGTCTACCGTATCCTGGTAATGTCGACCTTATCGTGGTAATGTCTGCCTTATCCCGGTAATGTCTACCTTATCCTGGTAATGTCTTCCTTATCTTCGTAATGTCTACCTGATCCTGGTAATCCTGAAAATATCTACCGTATCCTGTTTATGTCTACCTTATCCTGGTAATGTCTACCTTTTCCTTGTAATGTCTACCTTTTCCTTGTAATGTATACCTTATCCTGGTAATGTCTACCTTATGCCGGTTTATCCTGGAAATGTCTAATTTATCCTGGTAATGTCTACCTTTTCCTGGAAATGTCTATCTTATCCTGGTAATGTTTACCTTATCCTGGTTTATCCTGGAAATGTCTACCTTATCCTGGTAATATCCTTATTTGCTTTTTTTTTAAAAAACACTCTAAGGCGCTTAACATATATAATACTGTATGGTGATATACTGGTGGTACACAAGTGATGCTAAAAGATGAAACATCTAACACATGGTAAAAATACATACAAGGAGTAACATTCTACACAGTGATAAAACCAGTGATCCATTATATGGAATAAGCAGCTTTAAAAAGATGAGTTTTAAGAGCTTTCTTAAAAATGTCCAGTGAGGATGAATTTCTTAGGCTAATTGGTAAACTGTTCCAAAGATTTGCTGAAATGGTGTCAAAACATCTGTGGCCATACGTTACTGTACGTGTCTTTGGTTGACAGAGACGGGATTCAGATTCTGATCTGAGTGACCTGGTTGGATGATATGGTACAACAAGTTCCCGAAGATAGTATGGGGCCAAACCGTGGATACATTTATAAGCATACATCAAGATCTTATACTGGCATCTCTGTCTGATTGGAAGCCAGTGTAGCTTCTCTCTCACAGGCGTAATCTCCTCACGTCGGCTAGTCTTGGTAATGAGTCATCAGCAATGATTTAAAAACACGTTTATCTGTAGTTAAACACGTTGAAGTAAGAAGTGACAAAGGTTTGTTAAGGAATTGCAGAAGTATATTATACCCCAGAAAGTCAAAACATTAAACAAAATGATAAGTTGAAGTGAGATAAGCTTGGACTAGGGCGGAAGCTTGCACTTTGACACCGCTCTCCCATAAACGTCCACTTTCTTCCTGATAATCACGACATATCTTTAGAAGTAAACCCAGCCAGCTCATAACACCCTGTGACAGCTATCTTCCCCAGTGAAAGCCAGAAGTTATAGACATTCACCAGCGTCTGGTTGGTGTTTATGGTGTGGACCTCCCAAGTATTCATAATTGCAAAATGGTGTACTGAATTCAAGCGAGGATGAGAAAGTCTTACAAATCTGGTCGTGTAATAAACTCGCCACTTAGATTTTATTTCCGGAATTGATTTTACTTCCGGAAACGAAACATTCGAATGGACTGTCTGTTACTTATTCCATGTTAACGTCACAGTATTGTTATTGTAGCTGATTTGGGGCGAGGAATGGCCTGTCTGTTATTTATTCCATATGTTAACGTCACTGTATTGTTATTGTAGCTAATTCTGGGTGAGGAATGGACTGTCTGTTACTTATTCCATGTTAACGTCACAGTATTGTTATTGTAGCTGATTCTGTTATTTATTCCATATGTTAACGTGAGGGGTGAATGGCCTGTCTGTTACGTATTCCATGTTAACGTCACAGTATTGTTATTGTAGCTGGTTTTGGGCGATGAATGGACCGTTTATTCTAAACATGCAACAAGGAAACCTGAATCAACAATAGACGAAAATGCAGAATTCAATGTAACCATAGCAATGACCAATCAGAGGAATATTCCAATGTCTCGTTTCTTTGGGAGACTATATGTAACGTGTTTCATCAGATCGGGGCGGGTCAGTGCCTAGAAAGCTCCCAGGGCCCCGTTCCTCAAAGCGATCGCAGCGCTAAGGTGATCGTAACTCCCATACTTTAACATATAGACTTACAACTGTCGTAGCGCTACGATCGCTTTGAGGAACGGGGCCCAGGAGACAAACTAAGACGAACACGGTCTCACAATGTTGTTTGATTTCGTGATCCATGGCCTTATAGGCGACATTCTGAAATACGCAAGCTATGATAGGAAAAAAAAATCACCAACATTTATGTATCACAGACGGTCATATTATAAACTGAATCACAGATGATTCATTGTTCCAGTTGAATCATTTTGTCATATTAAACCCTTCTTCCGAATAGAAAAAGAAAAGAATTACAGTTGCAAATAGAAGCTTATGTGTGCGTGTACATATATACAAACACTTGTTAGATTATGATCTGTTTTGTTTTCTCAGGGCGGTATCTACTTCTTCATCATGGTTGATGCCAGTGCTATGCGGCTTGCCCCTATATACTTACCTTCCTGCAGCTTATAACAGTCGGATGGATATATGGTATGAGAATTTACTGCTCAGGGCGGGCGGGTATCCCAGTTGTTAAAGGGTCACGCCGAAGATCCGGGTTCGATTCCCCACATGGGTACACTGTGTGAAGCCCATTTCTTGTGTTCCCTGCTGTGATATTGCTGGAATACTGCTAAAAGCGGGGTAAAACCCAGCTCACTCACTCACTCGTTCAGATACCGATCCGCAGTTTTACATGGATACCCCACTCACACACTGACTGCGAGAGTATCCCAGAGCTTTCGAACATCTACTATTCATGACAAAATCATTCAAAACATGACATTAGATATACCATAACGTACGTCAAGGCAAATATACGAAGCATTCATGTCTGTTTAAACGAGTTTTCCTTGGCATGTAACTGGTAAAATCTATTTGAAAACAATCGTTTTCAATTTTGATGGAGTTTTGTTTAACTGCATTAATATTATTTCATTTACATATCGGCTTCATGTAGGAGACTAGATCAACCTGGAGCAGGTGCTATACGTTTAAGTACTGTCTAAAAAACCGGACATCGGTACTTTGTTAAGACATGAAAGATTATAACGAGGCAGTGATGTGCTTCGAACACACGGGTTTTTAGATACCACTGGTCTCCGTCGAGTTAAGCCTATACGGCGTCTAGATAGATATTTGTCACCTTTCTCAAGGTGACTGGGAAACTGTATGCGTATATTCTGAGTTACCAGTACAGTCAAAAGCATTGTATATGTGTATCACGACCAATGCCACGGCAATTGACGTTATGTTCCAGGCATTGAGCAGTTAAGCAGAGACATCAAGATGATGACAGGTCTCCGACCTCCTGTCGTCTACAAGCTCATCTGGTGTTTCGTACTTCCACTCCTTATGCTGGTAATGTCTTCCTTATCCTGGTAATATCTACCTTATCCTGGTAATATCTTCCTTATCCCGGTAATGTCTACCTTATCCTGGTAATGTTTACCTGATGCTGGTAATGTATTCCTTATCCAGGTAATATCTACCTTATCCTGCTAATGTCTTCCTTATCCTGGTAATGTCTACCTTATCCTGGTAATGTCTTCCTTATCCAGGTAATATCTGCCTTATCCTGGTAATGTCTTCCTCATCCTGGTAATGTTTACCTTATACTGGTAATGTCTACCTTATCCTGGTAATGTTTACCTTATCCTGGTTTATCTTGGTAATGTCTACCTTATCTTGGTAATATGTACCTTATCCTGGAAATGTCTACCTTATCCTCGAAATGTCTACTTTATCCTGGTAATGTCTACCGTATCCTGGTAATGTCGACCTTATCTTGGAAATGTCTACCTTATCCTGATGTCTACCTTATACTGGTAATGTCTACCTTATCGTGGTTTATCCTGGTAATGTCTACCGTATCCTGGTAATGTCGACCTTATCCTGGTAATGTCTGCCTTATCCCGGTAATGTCTGCCTTATCCTGGTAATGTCTACCTTATCCTGGTAATGTCTTCCTTATCTTGGTAATGTCTACCTGATCCTGGTAATCCTGAAAATGTCTACCGTATCCTGTTTATGTCTACGTTATCCTGGTAATGTCTACCTTTTCCTTGTAATGTCTACCTTATCCTGGTAATGTCTACCTTATCCCGGTTTATCCTGGAAATGTCTAATTTATCCTGGTAATGTTTACCTTTTCCTGGAAATGTCTATCTTATCCTGGTAATGTCTACCTTATCCTGGTTTATCCTGGAAATGTCTACCTTATCCTGGTAATATGTACCTTATCCTGGTAATGTCTACCGTATCCTGGTAATGTCTACCGTATCGTGTTAACGCCTACCTTATCATGGTAATGTCTACCATATCCTGGCAATGTCTACCTTATCGTGGTAATGTCTACCTTATCCTGGTAATGTCTACCTTATCCTGGTAATGTCTACCTTATCCTGGTAATGTCAATCGTATCCTGGTAATGTCTACCTTATCCTGGTTATGTCTACCTTATCCTGGTATTGTCTACCTTATCATGGTTTTGTCTACCTTATCCTGGTTATGTCTACCTTATCATGGTTTTGTCTACCTTATCCTGGTTATGTCTACCTTAACCTGGTAATGTCTACCTTATCCTGGTAATGACTACCTTATCCTGGTAATGACTACCTTATCCTGGAAATGTCTACCTTATCCTGGTAATGTCTACCTTATCCTGGTAATGTTTACCTTTTCCTGGAAATGTCTATCTTATCCTGGTAATGTCTACCTTATCCTGGTTTATCCTGGAAATGTCTACCTTATCCTGGTAATATGTACCTTATCCTGGTAATGTCTACCGTATCCTGGTAATGTCTACCGTATCGTGTTAACGCCTACCTTATCATGGTAATGTCTACCATATCCTGGCAATGTCTACCTTATCGTGGTAATGTCTACCTTATCCTGGTAATGTCTACCTTATCCTGGTAATGTCAATCGTATCCTGGTAATGTCTACCTTATCCTGGTTATGTCTACCTTATCCTGGTATTGTCTACCTTATGGTTTTGTCTACCTTATCCTGGTTATGTCTACCTTATCATGGTTTTGTCTACCTTATCCTGGTTATGTCTACCTTAACCTGGTAATGTCTACCTTATCCTGGTAATGACTACCTTATCCTGGAAATGTCTACCTTATCCTGGTTATGTGTACCTTATCCTGGTAATGTGTACCTTATCCTGGAAATGTCTACCTTATTCTAGTAACGTTTACCTTATCGAAGTAATGTCTACCTTATCCTTGTTATGTTTACCTTATCCTGCTATATTCGTTTATTGCCTCTTGGGTACTATCAACATTGAATAACTGAGTGTACTCTTGTCTTTCAGCTGATGTTTGTGGATTCACTCAGAAAACAACACCGACTGGGTTTTCGCAGCTACCTTTTCCCCGTGTGGGCTGACGTGATTGGCTGGTTCATTTCCCTGCTACCCTTTGCACCACTTCCAATGTTCGTTGTGGTCACGCTCATTGTTACGAGGAGTCAGGTAAGACGAACATGTTAAAGTCTGAGAAGGGCTACAGTGACACTGAGTGAAATAACACTGATAAACACAGTGCGGGAGAGTGTGGGTTGACAGAAATATATCAAGGAGACGGTATTAAAGAAGTGACAGCTCCTATATTTCATTATAGACTTAGGTCAAGACGACCTGTGTGTAGCAATATGTCGTCCAGATAAGACGGTGTAAATGTGTTTAACGACCAACTGATATGTTAAACTGAGGTGGAATTGGAGTTAACGGCGTCCATTTCAAGTGACTGATTGTGTGAAGAAGCTGATTGTGTGCAGAGTTGGTTGTAATGGCTGAAAGTGTGATTACTCATGGTACGAGCTGACTGTGTTGCTGAAAGTGTTTATTGCTCATTGTACGAGCTGACTGTGGCTGAAAGTGTTTATTGCTCATTGTACGAGCTGACTGTGTGGCTGAAAGTGTGATTACTCATGGTACGAGCTGACTGTGGCTGAAAGTGTTTATTGCTCATTGTACGAGCTGACTGTGGCTGAAAGTGTTAATTGCTCATTGTACGAGCTGACTGTGTGGCTGAAAGTGTTTATTGTTCATTGTACGAGCTGACTGTGTGGCTGAAAGTGTGATTACTCATGGTACGAGCTGACTGTGTTGCTGAAAGTGTTTATTGCTCATTGTACGAGCTGACTGTGTGGCTGAATGTGTTTATTGCTCATTGTACGAGCTGACTGTGGCTGAAAGTGTTTATTGTTCATTGTACGAGCTGACTGTGGCTGAAAGTGTTTATTGTTCATTGTACGAGCCGACTGTGTGGCTGAAAGTGTTTATTGCTCATTGTACGAGCTGACTGTGTGGCTGAATGTGTTTATTGCTCATTGTACGAGCTGACTGTGGCTGAAAGTGTTTATTGTTCATTGTACGAGCTGACTGTGGCTGAAAGTGTTTATTGTTCATTGTACGAGCCGACTGTGTGGCTGAAAGTGTTTATTGCTCGTGTGTCGAGGCTGACTGTCTGGGTGAATGTTGAGAGAGCTGTATCGTTGAATGATTTTAGATCCGACTGTGTCGTTCATTGTATGTAGAGGGTGGCCATGTAAACAAAACTGTCGACTGTATGACTGATTGTTGTAAGAGATGACTGTGTGACTGGTTGTTGTAAGAGATAACTGTACGACTGATTGATATAAGAGATGACTGTGTGACTGGTTGTTGTAAGATATGACTGTTACTGATTGTTGTAAGAGATGACTGTGTGACTGATTGTTGTAAGAGATGACTGTGTGACTGATTGTTGTAAGAGATGACTGTGTGACTGATTGTTGTAAGAGATGACTGTGTGACTGATTGTTGTAAGATATGACTGTGTGACTGATTGTTGTAAGATATGACTGTTACTGATTGTTGTAAGAGATGACTGTGTGACTGATTGTTGTAAGAGATGACTGTGTGACTCATTGCTGTAAGAGATGACTGTGTGACTGGTTGTTGTAAGAGATGACTGTGTGACTGATTGCTATAAGAGATGACTGTGTGACTGGTTGTTGTAAGATATGACTGTGCGACTGGTTGTTGTAAGATATGACTGTGTGACTGGTTGTTGTAGGATATGACTGTGTGACTGGTTGTTGTAAGATATGACTGACTGATTGTTGTAAGATATGACTGTGACTGATTGTTGTAAGATATGACTGTTACTGATTGTTGTAAGAGATGACTGTGTGACTGATTGTTGTAAGAGATGACTGTGTGACTGATTGTTGTAAGATATGACTGTGTGACTGGTTGTTGTAAGAGACTGACTGTGTGACTGATTGCTATAAGAGATGACTGTGTGACTGGTGACTGTTGTAAGATATGACTGTTACTTGTAAGATGATGACTGTGTTGTAAGACTGTTGTTGTTGTAAGATATGACTGTGTGACTGATTGTTGTTGTAGTAGGATGATGACTGTGTGTGACTGACTGACTGTTGACTTGTTGTAAAGATATGACTGTGACTGATTGTTGTAAGAGATGACTGTGTGACTGTGACTGATTGTTGTAAGATATGACTGTTACTGATTGTTGTAAGAGATGACTGTGTGACTGGTTGTTGTAAGATATGACTGTGACTGATTGTTGTAAGATATGACTGTTACTGGTTGTTGTAAAAGATGACTGTGTGACTGATTGCTATAAGAGATGACTGTGTGACTGATTGCTAAAAGGTGTGACTGTGTTACTGGTTGTTGTAAGATATGACTGTGACTGATTGTTGTAAGATATGACTGTTACTGATTGTTGTAAGAGATGACTGTGTGACTGGTTGTTGTAAAAGATGACTAAGTAACTGGTTCTTTCACGTGAGGTACGTATAACGTTGACTGTATATGTATAAACGTTGTAGTTTCAGCCTGTTTTGAGTCCAAGGCCCGACTGGGGTCCAGCTGACCCGGCCTACCACGCGGAGTACCACAGCCAGAAGTCCAGAAACATGACCCTGACTGACAAAATCAAGGCAGTGTTCAGCATCTGAGGTTATCACTGATCTTGCAGACAAGTGCCCTTTTCATTCTCGAAATGTAATCTTGGATGAATTCATATACATGTATTTAAGTCACAAACATTGTTCATATCGTGAAATAAAATAACCATACTTTAAAGCAATTAGCAGAATTTGTTATTTTATGCCAAATATGCTGCGTTATTATGTTACGAGTTCTCGATATTTCTAATAATAAAAGGTACAAAACTTCCAATGTTCATAGCAAATCTAATTTGTACGACCCTGTCTTTATCATGAGCAAACACTGATGACACAAGCTGTTCGTATTTGTGTACCCTGTCCCACTGGTGGCACACGTCATAAACACATGCAAAGGCAACTCAATCATTCACATGAAAATAAATACCGGAGCATATGATACAAGTCCAAATAGGGAATTGCTTCCTATGTTATTTTTGTCACTGATGCATTATATCTGGAACTGTCATCCACATGTCTGACATAAAACCTGTTGATAGCTTTAATGAGACCTCGAGTGTTGAAAGATTGTCCGTGAAAAGAGTCATTTAATGTTTCAATCTGGGTAAAATAAAAAAGTGACTGAAAATTTAGCGTCACATCGGCAATATTTCAGCCAGATCGTGACGAGAATTTGAATCTTAAAACTAAATACATAAGGAATGAAAACCTGTCATCGATGGACAGTAGAATAACTAGATTATCACAGTTATAAGTTACAACTAGCTGATAGCTTTTAAAGGAATAGATAATAAACAACAATACATCGTATGAACGGGCTATAGATCGCCAGCAACTGAAGGTAGGTCACCATGCTAGCGGCCATGGGGACTTGCAGTACTCTTGCTACCTGCATGAACCCTAGCTGGATTTACACCATCCCTTCAAACACTGGTCATTGTACTTAGATTTAGACATTGTATAAAACAACAAATATAATACGGTTAAAAGTTTGGTAGACTGAAATTTACTTTGAAAGTTTGGGCCTTACGTACCCTCTCAGGGACAGTAATTTTACAGTACTGGTTAAAATGAGCATCCTCGGGGTCTTCTGTACCTGAGAAGTGGTGAAATGTAAACACTTAGTCTCTGAATATATATAACATGGATAATAACAAATAAACCCATTTAAATTGAAAAGGAGACCCCGTAAGTAGTGAACAACTTCTCTATAGGCCCTTTTTCAAGATGGCGGCACTTCCGGTCGCGCGATCCAAGATGGCGGACGCGTTTCAAGATGGCGGGCGCGTTTCAAGATGGCAGACGCGTTTCAAGATGGCGACGGACGGGGAAGGGAGGGAGAAGGAGGGAGGGAGGGTGGTGAGGGGACGATGTAGGCCTAGATAAGTGTGTGGTTAAAGCCATGGAATGTAGAAATTCTTTTGAGTGGGATGGGTGGCCCTGAAAAGGGCCGTTGGTATTGGTGGGTGAGAGATCACCGAGGCATGGCATCTATTGTGGTGATGGTGGGCCGCTGGAGGAGGTACTGGTGGAATCGTCCATGGGTTCAACAAAGTCCAAGACACGTTGAAATAGAGTGTGCATGGTGTCTATGCGATCATGAACGAGGAGGACTCTATCATTGAGTAGAGCCAGTAGATGTTTGCTTTCCCGTTTACTCACTTTCTTTGGCGGTTCACTTGGCTGGTTGGTGGGAGCTGGGCGTTTCTGGGTCTTGTTAGTGCAGATCATACTCTTATGGTCCTCTTTACCACAGTACCGGCAGGGGTGTGGGCAGTCGTAACTGCGATGGCCTTCGTTTTTTTCCACAGTTGTAGCAGGTGTTGTTATCGTGCTTGTTACTGCCGTTGGTCTTCTTTGGACATATGTAATGGCGATGGCCTTGAGCACCACACTCGGTACATGTCACCATGGGGGAGTGCAGATAACTGTGGTCATCTGTTTCGCACAGGCGGCAACGGAAGGAGGCAGAGGCGGGAGACGACTGCCTGCTTGCAGTTTCAGTCAGCAACTGATGTGGAGTTTTTATAGCTGACGTTGTCGACGTCATAGGGTGTGTGACGTCATGGGCAAAACCCATGGCCAAACCAAAGGGAAAAAACCTGTGACGCCATCCATCCAAAAAACAAAATGGCCTCACATCACCTTTTTATGATGAAACCTAGTGGGACACCATAGTGTTTTCCACCAAATGATCTCACACCACTCTTAGGACAGAATATTGTGACGTCATAGGGTGACGTCTATATAAACTAGGCTCAGCGTGGGTCTTGACAGTTCTCATCATGCAGTCACCACCAACGGAAGGAGAAAAAGAAGAAAAAGATGAACTTGAAGAGGTGCCTGTGCCCTAGCAGTTGGAGCCGACGTCCCAAATAACAACCAAGAAGTTTCGCACCGACAGCCATCGCTATAAGCTGAAGTTCAACCCAGCTTGGCTGCAGCGTCAACAACCTGAAGACTTACCTGTCGTTCTCAGGGAGCTGTTTGATGCTTTCTTGCTAGACCCGAGAGGCCATGTGAACGGACATGATGGTGATCGCATTGGATTGACTCTTGAATATCCAGCCAGGGATACACCCATCCGAATCACGTTTCGGCGCATGGAGGACCTCCAGGGGGAACACATTATGACCCAAGTGGAAAAAGTACAGCAAAGTAACTACGAGTTGCATATCGATGACACCATGGACATTTACTTACTTACTACACGTAGACGATCCGGCTCTACTAGGCCAGGGACACGGACGGGCAACACACATTGTTCGGTTAAACGCCTTCCTGGAAAAGAAGCATTGCATTGTACAAATCAAGAATGAGGATCAACTCTGCTTTGCCCGTGCCCTGATCGTTGCGGGTTACCATGCACACAAACCCAATCCTATGACCAAAGAATGGACCAAGCAATGGCAATACATACGTAAGGAAGAAAGACCAGCCCAACTGAAGGCCGCCATGGGCTTATTTCGTCAACTCAACATTCCAGAAGGTCCGTGTATAAGGGCATGCCACGGGAACTGTTCGGTCAACGTTTGGCACCCTACCACCAACTCAAAATCTACTCCCAAGATGTCATGAATCGTCTCCTGTACAAGAGTGAAGTGGCTCAACCCACAAAGATCCTTCACCTGTATCACCACCATCAGCATTACGATGTCATTACATCCATGCCAGCTTTTACAGGTTATCCCTACTACTGTGAAATCTGTGACCAAGGATACGCCCATGCTGAAGATCATCGCTGCACCCGAGAATTTCGATGCCACGGCGATTCTGTGGCGACATGGTTAGTGAAGGGCTCTCCTGTCTCCAATATGGCGGGTGGTTCCGAAACCCATACTGCTTTCAACGGCATCTGATGGCCTCTAACAAGTATCCCAGCACCTGTTCCACCATCCACACCTGTCATCGTCGCTATGCCAAAGTCAACGTGAGAAGAATCCAGGGCATGGGCAACCACCAGTGCGGGACAAATCGTAACTGCAAGATCTGCAAAGAACCCGTGGAACCCAACCACCAGTGTTATATGTCCGTCATCGAACCACCGAAACAAAATGAAGACGATGAAAACAAGGAGGAGGAAGACAAAGAATGACAACAGCATCAGTTCATCTTCTACGATTTTGAATGTACCCAAGATCAAGGAACTCATGTTCCCAACTTGTGCGTGGTGCATCTGGGATGGGGAAAATGTATTTCCGAGGCTTCAGATCAATTGTGTGAACAGTGTCCTTGGCGTGAGGAAGGAGAAGGGCCTAGTCGCATCAAAGTGTTTCGGGGATCTGCGACCTTGAAGGACATGGGCGACTGGCTGATGAGTCTGGCAGAAAAGAAACAGAAGAAGAAGAAACGTAAGGTACCACACCAGCAGCCGCCAGGCCATGCCTCCAAACAATCCAAACCATCACCAGAACCAGATGATGATCATGTAGAACTAGAACAAGAACGAAGAACAAGACGATATTTCCCCTACCATTGACGATGATGATGTTTTGGTCATTGCACACAACTACCGAGGGTATGATGGACACTTGCTCCAACAGTACTTCCATGAACACCTGGTGAAAGCACCCCAGATCACACTACGAGGGAATCACATCTTGCAGATGACCGTGGGGCGTCTCGTCTTCAAAGATTCACTCAACTTCCTCACGATGGCTCTGAAGCAGTTTCCAAAACCGTTTGCATTGACGGAACTCAAGAAAGGCTACTTCCCTCACTTCTTCAACACCCAAGCTCACCAAGGCTATGTGGGTCCTTATCCTCCAGTTTCTACCTACGATCCTGACAGCATGTTTCCTGCCGAACGCAAAGCTTTCTTGGCCTGGTACGACACACGCATGGCTGAAGGTACTGTCTTTGATCTCAATGAAGAATTGTTGACCTACTGTCAGAGTGATGTTGACATTTTGTGTCGAGGTTGTGCTGCATTCTGCAACACGTTCATCCAACAAAACAACGTGGAAGCAGTGAAGCAGTGACTCTACCCATGGCTTGCATGCTCACCTTCCGAAAATTGTTTTTGGAACCCCGCACCATCGCAATCATACCTCCTTAAGGTTATCGTCCCCAGCGCCGCTACTCTCTGCAGTGTCTCCACTGGCTCAACTGGGTCATGCATCAACACCCAGACCTCCACATCAAGCATGCCCGGAATGGCGGAGAAGTAGGCTTCAACTGTGCTGATGGCAGTCACTACATGGTGGACGGCTACGACGCTGAGACACGCACCGTGTACGAATACTTGGGTTGTTTCTGGCATGGATGTACTCGCTGTTACAAGACAGGTCGATGTGAACCCCACAGGACCTTGGGTACAGCACCTTGGGAACGATACCATCATACGATGTACCGACTGGCTGTGTTACGTCAACATCCCGACATCGACCATGTGGTGACCTTGTGGGAATGTGATTTTTTGAAGCAACAGAGAGACAATGCTGATCTAAGAGCATTCCTGACCACACTGCAAGTCCCCCATGCCTACATGCCTGAACCGTTGGATCCCAGAGAAGCCTTCTTTGGAGGACGCACCAACGCCACCAAGTTGAACTACGAAGCCAAGGAAGATGAAGAAATCAAATATGTGGACGTTTGTTCTCTGTACCCTTACATGTGCAAGTATGGTACTTACCCCGTGGGGCATCCTGAGATCAAAGATCATCCTCTCGTCTCTGACTTG